GCTACACTTATTCGTTTTTTTTGAGTGCACGGCTGTATGCTAACCACCTACAGAACTTAAATATAACAGGGTAAAGAGGTACTACTTTGATAAGGAAGCTCAGGTACAGCAACTGCAAAACACTGTTGCCCACCAGCGTATGTCTGCCTCCAGAACTGTGTTGGATGATAACGAATATGCCACCCGCTTGGGCCGTCTGGACGGCGCCATTAACAACCTGTCGTTTAACATCCGCAAGGACTGGAAGAACATACCTCCGTGGCTTCAAGGTGTCGTTAACGAAGATGCTCATACAGTTGGCACAAAGGAAATGACCGCTGTTGGGCGGGCTTGCCTTACGCGCTGGATCGTGGATGAATTATTCGACCGATATTTCCACCCCGGACTGGAGCCCAATCTCAGTCGCCAGCTCAAGCAGATCGAACGCAACGTTCGACGGATGGGCAAGTTCGTCACCGAAGAGGAGCAGGAGAACCATCTATCTAAAGTCTCCTCCTGGCGTCGCACCACCCTTGATGGGCTCGGTGATATTTTCCAGAGTAAACTCGCGGACGACCACCGAGCGCTCTTGACTCGAAACCTGGTTGAGAAGCTTACAGCCAGCTTGGAAATGAACCTAAAGACCCCGCCTCCGCCTGGTCTTGAAAATGGCGTGGCGATGATCGTTGAGCTTGCGGTCGGCATCAGTGCAAATATCCCCCTGGAATCAAGAGATATCTCCATCGACTATTTCCTCCCCGGCGCCACAATTGCAGAGTCGCATATGAAAATCGAAACCACTCTACCGCCTCTCTCCAACCCGGGAATGGAGCCACGTCTGGCCTCGGAGCCATCCTCTGCCGCAACAGACAGGGTAGACCAGTCGTCAATCAAGGGTATCGAGGCGGCCATCTCCTCGTCCGAGATACAGGGTGGAGATGATAAGGACCCAAACTTCCCCATTCAGCCTCAACCCGCCAGCCAGGGCCGCAAGAAATCAGTCTTCGGTTCGTTAATGGGCAAGAAACCACACCCTGGACCGGGTAATCCCGTCGATGCCATGCGGCCGCCGTCGGGCCATTTCCGAGAACGCGAGGAGGCCATCGAAGCCGCTCGTGAGAAGGAAAATGAAAACCGTATCCGCTTCGCGGCTTTTGTATCCGTCGAGGTTCGGAGCAAGGGAGCTGGCAACGTCATTGTCAAAGCACCCGTCTATCCATTCTCATGATTCACGATTCTATCTATGAGCCGCCTACCGATTGCCTTTCTTTAACTCGGCCCCTCTGAACTTTTTTCTTATGCCATGCTACCGACAAAAAAAAAAAAGATACGATCTCTTCTCTTCATTTACTTACTTTCCCTTTGACGTGGATCTGGTTTTCTAACCCAGGCAGTATATGTATATACATACATGCTTTTTTGCTCTTCTTCTGAAGCGGATACCTTTTCCTACCGTAGCGGAACTAGGGATATTTTTTTGTTGGACCTTTTTCTCGTCTTTTTAACCCGACAGTGTTAGGCTACTTTGATACTCCAACATAGACCTTATAGGGCTGACACTGATCCAACACGGAATATTTTATACTGCTATTGATAAATACACTACCTTGAATTCTTGGGACGCCAGGATATTACTGCTGGTTGTTGTCTTGTAGATACCAGACGTACCAAATCGCTTCCTCTATAATCTCAGCTACACCGTAGCTCTATCACCTTCACGCTCAAACCTTTCAAAGAATCTAATATATCGCCATCAACTGTATGATACCATTATCTATAACGCACTACATCTACTACCATCTATGTATCTCATGGTCGCCAGCCAATCAGAGTCCGTACATCATGTGACTCTTACATAATCCACCAAGCGAACGTCTTCACACAGACCAACCCAAAAACGGACTAGCGCCATTTTGAATCCCACACAAAAAAACATCGTGAGGAACTCGAAACTTCTTCTTTGCGACTTTCGACCGCAGCGGCAGCATCTCTGTTCATCTCAACAAAAGCGCCAGACGGCTGATTCGATATTTAATATATCGCCCAGCATGTGTATGTTCACGCCCTTACCACCCTTCTCCTCCCTGCTCTTTACGACTGCCGCGGAAGCCTGGAGTTTTGGCGGGCAGTCGCGTCGGAGCTACAAGCAGACGAACTTGGCTATCAATCGATGGAATACTGACGGGACGGTGGTGATGGTGATATAGCGCTCGTATCCGGCGAAAAGTCGAACTTCCAGTTCATCCTCCGTCTTCTCAACACCAATGTCGACGGAAAGCAAAAGATCATGTATGCCTTGACCAAGATCAAGGGTGTCGGACGCAGATACTCCAACTTGGTCTGCAAGAAGGCTGATGTCGACCTCCACAAGCGGTATGATACTTCCTCTCGCCTTTTGAGCCGGTGTGTTTTGCATATTTCTTGACTTACACATGTTTGTCCTGTTATTCGTAGTGCTGGTGAAATCTCCTCTGAAGAGCTCGAGCGAATTGTCACCATCATCCAAAACCCAACCCAGTACAAGATTCCTACCTGGTTCCTCAACAGACAGCGTGACATCAACGATGGCAAGGACAGCCAGGTTCTTGCTAACCAGATGGAGAGCAAGCTCCGTGAAGATCTGGAGCGACTGAAGAAAATCCGTGCCCACAGAGGTCTCCGTCACTACTGGGGTCTTCGCGTCAGAGGACAGCACACCAAGACCACCGGCCGACGAGGACGAACCGTCGGTGTCAGCAAGAAGAAGGGTTAAACGTGCTGTCTTTGGCTCCTTTTATGTCGGCGGGCGTACATGGTCGAGGGGTCATGAGAGAGGGAAAGGGGAAAGGCATCTTTACTCTTTATGCTTGTTGTCTCTCTTTTTTTTTTTTGAGTACGTGTGCGCCGAGCGGGTTGTGTGAATGAATTGAGAAATGTCACTCATGAACGGCGGAAACTGTTTTCTGCTCGGGGAAACAGACGCTTCTTCAAACTAACTCCTCGCCTCGGGATCGCTGGCCCCTCTACTGCCCACGGCGGCGTTAGTCTGATGTATGAAACAAAAAAAGAGCGATAATATATGGGGATTATCCCGTTTCAAAACAGTCATCTATTCCTTTGTGTCAAGCCATTGCTTCTTGGGTTTACAATCATAGACCTAACATCCTATTTATCTATTTGTAAAAGGTAACCGTCACCCTATAGAGCTCTAATCTCGGCTATACAAAGCTATTCAGCAAAAGGGGGATCATCTATCCCTGGTAAAACAACAATCCAAACAAAACGATACAACAACAGGCAAAAACAAGTACAAGACATTCAAAGTATGACATATCCGACAGACGGCCTAACGCCATTCACCCCTGAGCCAGCGGTTGAAAAATTCCAAACTGGCTTCGGGCTGGTTGAGTGGCACCATGTGGCCGGCGCCGAAGATACGCATGAAGGTGAAGTTGCCGCTGGACTTGACCTGGCCGATCTTCTTACCCTTGCTCTTGTTGTCCACGATCTTAAGGTCGTTCATCTTGGCATCGGCGAACTTCTTGTGGCCGGGCCATTCAAGAGCGTTGGTCCAGGCCAGGTTACCGAGCCAGTTGCAAATGAAATCGGCGTCGCCAGCATAGATTAGGACCGGGATTTTCTCGAGCAGGCTCGGGACAAGACGGTGGTAAGGCTTCATCCAGTCACCGTGGAAGAGGAAGTCACGGTTGATACCGCCGTTGCAGCTCTCATAAGACTCTACTTCTACGCCCAGAGCCTTCATGACGGACTTTTGATTGAGCCATTCGGTAATAGTGTTTAGTTGAGGATAGCAGAGAGATGACATATCCTCGCATTTGGAGCGGACATCATAAGGGTTCATGCCGGTCTGTTGGTAAGGGCCAATGATGGCGCTGTTGCAGTACATGGCAGCTGGAACGCAAACCCAGGCAGACTCAGAGCTGTAGCAGGTCTCAATCAAGGATAGACAGCGTTCGAGGGAGTTGTCCATAGACCGGCAGGTGCCTTGGTCCAAGACAGCGGGATAGCCACCATCACCACAGGCCATAGGACGGTACTGGGGGTACTGGGTCAAAGGGTCAGTCAGTCCGTTGCCGATGAGGACGGACTTGAGATTGATGTTGGTGTTCTTGTGGGAGAGAATTTCGGAAGCAAAGACCGGGATATAGTGTCCAGCATAAGATTCACCAGAAATGTGGAAGTCTTGAGTGGCATATTCGGGGAACTGTTTGAAGAACAGGGTCAAAAGGGCATAGATGTCCTTTCCGGCAGCGACGGTGTCGGAAACGGACGAGCCACTGTAAGAGAAGCCAACATTGACTGGCTGGTCAAGGAAGATGACTGATGCATTGGAGTTCCAGGAGTAAGGGTTGGGGACGATCTTGAGGTTCTTGTCGATTGTAGCAGGGCCCAGCTCGAGGAACAAGCCGGTCAGAGAAGAACATCCAGGACCACCGTTCAGCCAGAGAACGACGGGGTCGTTCTTGGGGTCATTTCGAGACTCAAAGAACCCTATATTATTGACGGTTAGCTAAGACTGATCCTCAATAAAAATGGCATGGTTACGAACAGTAAAAGAGATGTTTATCCGTCTCGTTATCATCAAGGTAGCCGCTGTACTGCTTGACACCGGGGTCGATACCAAGCTCAGCTGGGTCGACAGCCTTAACTCGGAGATCGTAGCTCTGGAGCTTGCCATCGATCTCTCTGTGCTTCTCCCCATTGGCACCCTGAACCCAGACGCTCTCGACATCGGCTCCACGCACGACATGGTCCCATTCGGAGTCAGCACGGCGAGTGTGCTCCTTGGGGACAGAGATAAGAGGGAGATAGTGCTTGAAGTTGGTCTTCATCTCGGACCAGAAATGGGTAATGCCCTCCTCAAGGCCAGACTCGAACTGCTTGAGGGTCTCGTCAAAAATGGACGGCGCAGGCTGCTGCTGTGCAGAGCCTTCTGCCTGAAGAACCTGTTGTTCCTGGGCGGCTGCAACGGCAGCACTGGCCAAAAGGCCAGTCATAAGAAGCTTCATGATGGGCTGTTTTTCTTTTCTTCAATGTTGCGGATGGTTGATGATACCAGAGAGAGAAGAAGAGGAAGAGGATGAGACGAGGAGGCCTTGAAGGCTGGGGAAAGGTGATCCTCTAGCGCCGGATGACGTTAGCGATCGATGCCGTCTAGGGTGGAGATTTTGGCCGTGGAGCCCTTGGATGACTCTCTGGAGAAACCTCCACAGCTTGCTGCAGACACTGTGATATATTCCCTTGTATCCAAAAGGACTCGCTATGAGCAAATGATTGCAATCTTTTGGTTCTCACGATAATAAGAATCAATACAATAAGCAAGTTGAAGATGAAAAACGTTCCAAAAACGGTAAGTCTCGCGTGACCTAACTTACATAAACTTATTATGTAATGAAAACTGCCAACGGACTATCTATATATCCGTTAAGACGATAAATATCGTATAACACGTGACTCATATTATCAACTTGTGTCAAAAAGAAGATATCTTGATATAACTGACGATTTATTTCATAAAGACACAGAAGAGATCAATAGAGGGATCACAGGAAAAACACCGCCAAAATGCCGATGATTATGCAGCCGTCCAATCAGATAAAATTCACAAACGTCTCCATCGTAAGGCTAAAGAAGGGTGAGTCGTTAAAAGGGGAAGAGAGATCTATACAGTTCAACTAATTCAAATGACCGTAGGAAAGAAAAGATACGAACTGGCCTGTTATAAGAATAAACTGCTTGAGTATCGCTCTGGGGCTGAAACGGACCTGGACAACGTCCTCCAGATCCCCACCGTATTCCTCTCAGTATCTCGTGGCCACACTGCCCCAACAGCCGAGCTGGCCAAGTCGTTTGGCAAAGATTACAAGACCGAGGATGTCATTCAGGAGATCTTGCGCAAGGGTGAGGTACAGGTGGGCGAAAAGGAGCGTCGGGACATACTCGATCGGGTCGAGAAGGAAGTGCTAGAGATCGTTTCTGCCCGACTTGTCGACCCAGTGTCGAAACGCGTTTACACCACGGGGATGATAGGCAAAGCATTGGACCAGCTAAGTGCGGCCAGCGGAAAGGAGCAACAGCAGCAGCAGCAGCAGCAGCATGAAAGTAGTCCCCGGCCGACCAACGAGGGGGAGGAAGGTGATGAAGAGGAGATGGCGAAGAAGGCAGCAGGTCTGACGCTCACACCACGGAAACCTCTCTGGACGGGTGTGACGACCTCAAAGTCAGCGAAGATCCAAGCTCTCGATGCAATGAAGGCCCTGATCGCTTGGCAGCCTATACCAGTGATGCGAGCCAGGATGCGCCTTCGTATCACCTGTCCTACGTCCATACTGAAACAACTCACCCGATCAGCGGTGTCATCGGCCGCCCCGTCTAGCAACACAGGCAGCGCGCCATCGTCCTCATCCTCGTCTTCAAAGAAGGACAAAGGCAAGGGCAGGAAAGGTAAGAAGGCTGCTGAGGACGAGGAAGAAGACACCGAAGACCCGAGTAAGCCTGCTGCCGGGTCTACCGGAGCTGCGACGGGGACGGTCAAGGACCGGATCCTCAGCTACCTGGAACAGATCGAGTCGCAGGAGGTGATAGGCGGCGACGAGTGGGAAGTCCTGGGCTTCGCAGAGCCGGGGGCCTTTAAGGGACTGGGTGAGTTCATCGGCGGAGAGACCAAGGGGAAGGGCAGAGTCGAAGTCATGGACATGGCCGTCACCCATGAGGAGTAGCCATGCCTCCTTTACTCTACGCATACACACGATTAATGAATGAATGTCTCCTGTATTGACGAGAATCATGGTCTATCGTAACTCCATGCTAAAAACAAAGCCAGTGTATCCTCCCAGTGCCATGTTCTAACATGCCCGTACTCCGTAGTTATATGTATGTATATAATAATAATAATAAATAAGAGGAAGCAAGGACATAGAATAAGAAATAGGCCGTGTGTATGTCGTTAAAATCTCATGTCTCGATGGCATTCAATGCATGGTGCAGGTCTGCTGCCGTGAAGGCTGTCGTCCGCTTCAGTCTCATCACCGACGGTCGTTGTTGATATTGATGAAGCTGCTGCTGCTGCTGCTCGTCTTCCGTGAGAGAAGTAAGAAGAGTCGACGAGCTGATGTTTACTCCATCAGAGCTCAGGATCGAGGTAGTGTTCGAGCCTTCGTCTTCATCTTCATCCTCGACGTCGCCAGGACGTCTCACTATCACCGTCGCGGTCCCGGCAGACTCGCCACTGCTGATGCTCCCCCGTCTCGATGGCATAGCCAGCGGAGAGACGGACGAGTCGGTGGACCGTCGTCTGTGGTCTTCAGTCGCCTTCACAATTGAGTATGCCGCCAGCACTGCCAGGTGCTTCTTGTCGACCGGCCCGCGGTACTTTGGGCGTGGGATCTCGTGTGCCTTGTAGAGCTCGATCTTGGGCCAGGGCTCTTCGCTCTTGTTGCTCTTCCGTTTCGACGGCCGGCTGAGCAGTGATTTGATGATGCCTGTACGGATGGAGCGGGTGAACGAGCGAGCCCTCTTCGTGGTCGCCTGCTTCTGGTGGTGCTGGTGATGCTGGAGATGCTGCTGTGGTACCGGAGAGACAGCGGTGTGCTCTCTTGCTTGCTCAAGCCGTTCAGCCAGCCTAGAGGAAGAAGCAGCCGGACTCAACGAGACAGGACGCGAGCTGAAGATGACTCTCTTCACTCTTTCTCGAAACCCCATTCTGGAGGTGCCACTCATGAAGATATATATGTGTGTGTATTATATATCTGTACGGGATTGGAGATATCCAGAACAACGACGAACGACCAACGGGCCAATGCAACAAAAACGACTAACAATGCAGAAGAACTGGAAAGAAATAGCTCAAGGCGGCCTGGTTTCCATGCCTCTGAGCACAGAAAACAGTAGGAAATCGAGACCGCTCGGGGCGAGCAACTGCGAAACAGCGGCAACAGGCTGGATCCTGACAAACGAAACACAGGGGCTTCTCTTCCAACCGACCCTAATTACTCAATTGATTAACGATAGAAGACGACGAAGGATATGAAGAAGAAGAAGAAGAAGAGAAAGAGAACACCCTCCCCAGAATTATTGGAGTTGAGAAATTATTAGCCATCGAAGAGTTGAAAACCTTTTTGCCAATTTTTTCCCGTTTCTTCTCGGCCTTCCATCCGGTGGTCGAGATGGAACCAGGGAGTCAAAAGAGACCATGGATATGGATCCTCTAAGAGCCCGCCACATCGTCTGCAGCCAACCAAAGAGGAGGCGGATGTGAACGGCTGGGCGAGTTGACAGTGACAGCGGCGGGTGCCCAGCTGGCATGGCAAAAGATCTGGCCGTCGGGCTTCTTTTCTCCTGCGGTATTTTCAACCGGTGGCGCAGCTCGCGAGGACGATATGGAGTAGTTGATTACTACTATATAAGTTACCTAACGGCTAGGGGCAACTATTTTAGAGAGCTACTGGGTTGTGGGCTGCACGATTGTATCCTTTATACGGAGTACATATAATCGTCCGAAGGCTATAAATATACATCAACTCCATACAGCTACGCCAGCCAATGCTTCCGTTGCATCACGAAAAAAAAAAAAAGATATTACAAAGGAATGGTATGACAACGGCAGCTGGTCAGTTGACAGCATTCGACCGGACTTTCGCAGCCCTTCTATTGGCAGAGAGCAGAGCTGACGGATCCTGGGCAAAAGCTACTGCAGCCAAATTTTGCGATATGCCGCTGGTGCGACATACATAGTACGATTTATGCACAGCATCAGGCCTGGTTTTTTGGGCCTTAACTGGCGAATTCGTGGCAGCAGGACGGCATGGCTATGCCGTCCTTTCCCATTTATCTAGATATCTTTGCTTGAAGGGACTCCCTGCTTGTCTCTACTGTACGGAGGTAGAGAATGGGAATATACGGCAACTCAGAAGCACATTGGATTTTTAATGACCTCACTCGCGCCACATGAGCCATACTGCAAAGACGGCTTCGACACCCTTCCTGCTATTTCTGGGCCTTTTCTTTGGCTACCGTTCTGTGTACAAAGACATGAAAAGGTATATAGGCCTAGGGGTGGGCAGCAGCTATACATACCACATACCCCCTAATCTATTGCAAATATCGGTTGGCTCAGTCACTTCGCCAGGCCAGGTGCTGTTATCAGTAGTAAGTAATAACTAGATTTTTTTTTCTTTTAACGTGAAGCCAATTCATCCAGCATATCAAGCTGAAGGGAACCGGCTTCGCCAGGTCCGGCTGTCGCCAGCAAACATGATATCGGGACAAGGCTCGCACTTTGCGCAAGTTAACGTGGGGAAGAAGAAGAAGCAGGGCAAGGGACGCCATCGGCTGGCGCCCCCAGCCGCTAAACCAGCCGCCGCCAACAAGAGCCCGGCACAGGTGAGATCCGCTATTCTAGCAGATGCGGCACCCAGCGAGAACAAGGCCCCCGTTGAGAAGCCTCGTCCGCTATCTTTCACCCAAGGTTGAGACTGCCTCCTCTCCAATGTTAGATTGTACATGTACATGCCAATACATACTTACCATATATAATGCAGCAGCGGCAAATAGCAGCAGCCATGCAAGGGGCCCGTCAGATGCGACAAGTGGCTCGCACGAAAGTACAGAGCTTGCACGAGGAGCCCATAGTCATCCGTCCCCGGCTTGGTCCGCGGAAGACTCTAAGATTGGCGTGCATAATGACCGAAACGCAGCCTCTAAAGCCGCCGCCAGCGCAGCCTTCCTTGGTAAGAAAGACTCACATAAGGAGCAGGCCCACTCGCCTCTATCTAGCATGCGAACCACGGAGAACCCCCGGAGAGACTCTTCGACACTGGGAGTGACTCACCGGACAGAGGAGCCGACCATCGGCGCGTTCCCAGAAGCCGCCGATAATGCTCCATCCACAGACAATCACGAGGCGATTGACACGGCCGAGGAAGAGGAAGAATACAAAGAAAACGAGTGGGAGGACGGCGTGGTCCATGACAGTACAGGCAGTAACACTGCAGAAGCCGTGGAATCAAATCCGGCCGTCCCAGCGGTCAAGGAGGAAAATGAATGGGTCAAGGAAGAAACCGACGAGACTCCCCAGCACAGGGCACATACCACTCAAAGACACTCTGAAGTGACCGAATATCTGCCGGAAAGCGCAGTAAGTGGGGTGTCAGGGAAGCAAATTGAGAGGAAGATCGAAAAGGACACTGTCGAAAAGGAGATCATTGAGAAATCGGTTGACAAAGCTGCTTCGGAAGACGTGGCAAAACCAGTTAAAAAGCCTAGCTATGCCGCCATGGTTGCAAAACCATGGGAGCCGTCTCCACCTCCAGCTGCTGCTACCCCCGTCGCATCTGAAGTTGAGCATACACCCAAAACTCCGCCAACGGTTGCACCGCCGCCCCCGCCGGCTCAGACTCAAGCTCCTGATGCGTCTACAGTTCCAGCAACAGTTCCAGCTCCGGCTGCAGCTCCCGTTCCCATTCCTGCTCCTATTCCGGCGCCTTTAATGAAGCAAGAAACACCGGCTACGGCCGAGAAATCCGAGCAGGAAGAACTTCCAGATACCACGAGCCATGAGGACATGCCTGCAACGAAGCAAGAGGTACCTACCGTCGAAAGCCTGGGAGTTGCGACGCCTGCAGTCCCAGTAAAGTCCCCCGAGAGGCTTATTCCCACCGATCCCATAGTTCCAGGCAAAGTTCCCGCCCTGGCGTCTGCAGAAGACCAAGTGAAAGCAGCAGTAGCAAGCTCAAGTGCTATCAAATCTCCGACCAACAACGAAGCCATTCGGAAGCAGGACAAGGCACAGACATCTCAGCTCACCCACCAGCAAAAGAAGGAGGTAGAAAAGGAAGAAAAGGCCAGGGAAAAGCAAAAGGCCAAAGAACAAAAAGCCCGCGATAAGGAGTTCAAGAGGAGCCAGAAACATTTGCGAAAGGGATCAACGTCCCATCTACCGCCGGGCAATGGAGGAGCAAAGAGACTCCGCCTAAGGGATAGAATCATGAATCGAATTGCGAGGCTCCTGAATTAATGAAAGTGATACAGTATCGTGGGTTTGTATTCCTGCTTGGCTTTTTGATGTCCGCTCTTCCCGCTGGTTCGAGTCTTTCTGATGCGGAGTCATTCGGCCTGTATAGTACTATGTAAGTAGTCAAATTGGTAGGGATTTATACTGTATATGTATATGCCCTGCCAGTCCTGAATATAATATATGCATAGTTTCGTTTGTAAGGAGAAAAAGGAAAAAGAAGGCTGGCAATCTTCCAAGTACATCCAATCGCTGACAACGCTTCGACGCTTCTATCAGTTGAGAGGATGCATGGCTTTTCCTTTCCCCCCTGTCAGAATCTGGTACCAACCAAGCTTTGCAAGCCACAACACAAGCTTTTGCCAATTATACGAGAGGCCGGCCCATCGACTAGGCTAGAGTTGGTGAGAAGATGGTGGTGGATAAACACATGTCCTCTTCGAACCAGTTATATTGTTGAATGTCGGAGGAACTGTTCGAGATTAAGGAGTTGGGAACGCACGAAGGGGAAAATCTTGCTCCTCCCGTAATGCCAGGTAAGATATAATAACCGTGTATTATGTGGCATGGTTGTGCATATACATATGCCATTCCCACCACAGAAAACACGCGTTAACCCCTGTAGTTATATTCTCAACACCGCCACAATCCTCCAATCTGCAGCGTTAGCTCTGCCATTTACCCCTCCTTGATATGCATACAGCGAGAGAGGTTAGGGAGGTGAGTGAAAGCCTGTGGGGTTGGGCAGGCGATTTTGGTGGAGAGAAGCAAGTGAAGGTGACGAGTCAAGGAGCCTTGCTTGGACGACGCATATATATCACCGACTGTTCGCTCTCTCGGGAGACTTGCTCTTCTTTTAGTAATTTCTACTGTCAAGGAGTAGATAGTATAGCAATCTCTTGAGCTCTCAAAAAAGCCCCTCTCCTCCCCTAGTCACCATGGTCCACATATCCAGGGTCCGTAAGGATTCAGTTGCCTTCCCTCCTAAGCTCCTCAAGCGTGTCGACACCATAGACCTCGATGAACCACAGGATCATGACTTTTACTCTAGCGTCTATGGCTCTCGGTTTGCGGCAGAAGACCTTCCCACCGATGAGATGCCAGAAAAGGAGATGCCCAAGGAAGTTGCCTATCGAATGATCAAGGATGAGCTCAGCTTGGACGGCAATCCCATGTTGAAGTATGGCCTCTTCCCTAACTATATCGTGTTCCCCTGGCTAACTGTGGTTGATGTTTAAAAAGTTTGGCGAGTTTCGTCACCACGTACATGGTAAGATCGATTAATTCGGCGAAAGCTATGTCAATACCATAGACTAACACCATCGGGGCCGTTTTAGGAGGAAGAAGCTGAAAAGCTCATGACTGAATCGTTCAGCAAGAACTTTATAGATTATGAGGAATATCCCCAATCAGCTGATATCCAGAACCGCTGTGTCAACATGATTGCACGTCTCTTCAATGCTCCTGTTGGCGAAGGTGAGCATGAGCACGACCATGCCATGGGCACTTCGTGTATCGGGTCTTCTGAGGCTATTATGCTTGGAACTCTTGCGATGAAGAAGCGCTGGCAGAACCGCCGCAAGGCTGAAGGGAAGGATTTCTCTCGCCCAAACATCATCATGAGCAGTGCTGTCCAGGTCTGCTGGGAGAAGGCCGCCAGATATTTCGATATTGAGGAAAAGTTCGTCTATTGTACCAACGAGAGGTACGTTCTTGACCCCGAGGAAGCTGTTAGCCTTGTCGACGAAAATACCATTGGTATATGTGTGATTCTTGGAACTACTTATACCGGTCAGTACGAGGACATCAAGGCCGTCAATGATCTTCTTGTAAAGAAGGGCATTGACTGTCCTATCCACGTTGATGCTGCTAGTGGCGGCTTTGTGGCCCCCTTTGTCAACCCGGGACTCGAATGGGATTTCCGCCTTGAAAAGGTCGTGTCCATCAATGTTTCTGGGCACAAGTACGGCCTAGTTAGTCCCCCCCCTTCCTACCCCCCATTTTTTGGCATTTTGCTTGTCCATTTGGTACTAAGTGTCCACTTCTATTTTAGGTCTATCCTGGTGTCGGATGGATTGTCTGGCGGTCAACCGAGTATCTTCCGCAGGAGTTGGTTTTTAATATCAACTACCTCGGAGCCAACCAGGCTAGTTTCACCCTTAACTTCTCCAAAGGGGCTTCTCAGGTCATTGGCCAGTACTACCAGATGATCCGGCTCGGGAAGCGTGGGTATCGCTCTATCATGCTCAACCTCACACGTACTGCGGACTATCTCGCGGCCTCTTTGAAAGAACTTGGATTCATTATCATGAGCGATGGCAAGGGCCGCGGTCTACCACTTGTCGCCTTCCGCCTCCCCCCAGAGACAGCAGAAAAGTACGACGAATTTGCTATCGCTCATCAGCTCCGTGAACGTGGCTGGGTTGTACCAGCATATACGATGGCACCTCATAGCGAGAAGCTGAAGCTTATGCGCATTGTTGTTCGAGAAGACTTCAGCCGTAGCCGCTGTGACAGTCTGGTTTGTGATTTCAAACTTGCTCTAGCTCAGCTAGAGGAGATGGACAAGAAGTCGCTGGAGAAATACCAGGAGTGAGTACATGGCTCCTTTGCTTTGGTCTTGGGTAAACTGACAAGTCTTGATTAGATACTCCCGCCGCAGGGCTTCAATAGTCGGCAGGGCTGCGAATTCCACCACAGCCTATGAGGAGGAAGACCACTCTCTCCAAGGAAAGACTGGGAAGACGCATGCCGTCTGCTAGATATGGACGTAGCAAGGTCGAATCATTCATACTTATATGCTTTTTCAATGTTAGCCAGCTTTAAGATATGGTTCTAATTTGATGTCCACGCTCAATATAAAAATTCTGGATATGGCATCGAGGCTATTTGAATAGTATCTGACAATAAAGATGAGCCTAGTCCCTTATAACGAAACTTCAGCATCTGTAAATCCGGAGGCAATAGAGGGGAAGGTAAGCAACTCCAGGAGCTGGGCATCGGCCCCAGGGGTAAGGTAGATGCATATAGCCATGCATTCTGCCCTGATCCTTCCCTCGACCCAAGGCTCCCAATGTGATATCAGGCACATTATACCCATCCAATGGGCTAGTATAACGAGTGCTTTTGTGTCTTTGACTCTTAACAATTCGATGAACCGAGGGTCTAAGTGACCTAGAAAGGACGAAAAGTATCCGGCAGTTGATTTACTCTTTTCCATTTCAAGCATAGTGCTTACCACCTGAAGTGGTTTAAAATATGGGCTCGTTTCAGAGGTGGTAGAGTCAGTTATTCCACAGAAATCTGCTAATTTCGGATGCATGCCTTCTCTGCCCTGCAGAGTACCATTCAGCAACTCATCGTGCGCTTGCTCTGCCGCTTGGAATGCAGGACCCCATATACTCTGAGAAATGAAGGGGCCACCAACTTCTAGGAGGTAAGGTAGGCCGTTTTGCAGGTAGACCCAATTCATGGCTGAGGGATCGGAAGACAAGACCCAAGAGTCACTGGGCGTGAAGTTCTCGGGGCACATGCAGTTGACAGCCATAAGCATGCATGTGGTCAAGAGGGCGTCAATATTTGCCGGGCTAACCTTGTAGCAGAGAGCTCTTCGGTACGATTGAATGGCTCTTTGCCAGTGGTGGGCTTCTGCAACTTCTCGAGCCCTACAAGAAGGAAGCATGCGGTTGAGATGTAGGAGCGCTACACCGATGATGGTATGCATAACATGCGGGTTCTGATGAAGGAGTTGTTAGAAGAGAAAAGGGATATACGAATCTTGCCTAATAGGTACAACTTACAGAAAAAGCAACATGTATTGCCTCTGTCCGCATAAGCTTGCGGACTGTAGGAGATGAAATTGTTTCTACAGTGTTGTTTACGAAATGCCGAAGTGCTAGGACTATCATAGGCCTATCAGACCCCGGCATGCTCTGCATGCGGTAGTCTGAACCTGGTTGCATACTTAACGTCTCCGTGATCTTGGTGGTCAAGTTATCAAGAGACATGGAAAACATGGCCATGCTCGGGTGGCCCAAGAGGGCAACGGTGCCTATCTCGCTGTCACTGCTGAGAGATGCAGGATAGCAACATGAAACACCATAATTGGAGCAATTCCGGCATCCAGGCTTTTTTTCGTCGCACTAAGGCAGAAATCTTTAGTCATTGTTGAATTTTCTGGTTGAATAACTATCCACGTACCTTGACCCTGCGTCTCTTACATATAAGGCAGCCTGCCCTAGACTTGCGGTGGGACCGACGAGGACGAAACTCGGAAGCTTTCCTCTTCTCTGGTGCCGGATTTAGAATCTGGCTTGCTGCTGGTTTGTGGTTCAGTCTCACTCGGAAGACCGTCTGCCACTTGCGGGCGTCATCTGGAGTAGAAGACGTGCTGGACGAGTTACCCGAAGTCATAACTAGTCATGCAGTCTAGTTCTCAGTACTTCTCCGTTATCCACAACAGATGTGCAGCATGTACATCCATCTCATGCTTGTGTGAAGCCGGGGAGCTGGTGTGAATATATCATCCGGAGTTGACTAGCGGAAGACGGAAAGTTGCTCGTATTTAATTTTTTCTTACTTTCCAGCCGCAGCAACACTAATTATTCTTAATGCAACGACTCAGCCTCGACCGTATCAACACATCAGTGACCATCACGCTTGATATACCATTCTCTACCGGGGCATCTTCGAATACCCATGTTGATTGGCCACTATAGTTGTTTACCCATTATGTAGTTAGATAACTAACTACAATCCTAGCTGGAACATGAAGAGGGCACGTCTTAGGGCGGGGACGGAAAGAAATATGCCCCTTGATCCTCAGCTAGTTTGTCTAGAAATGACAATTTTGCCAAGGGATTCGTATTTGCTTCAAGATGGCGGAGCAAGCTGAGATGCTCCAGCTTGCTCAGGTCCAGCAAAGATGCATCTAGCAATAGGAGATGCGGACTCCAGGCGCATCTGCAATCTATTTCCTACGGCGAGGAAGAAGAGTAGTCCAACTGGGCTATACAGTGACGATCAGGTTCGAAATCGTGGAATATAAAGCTGTCCAAATATCCTTTGATATCCAGGTCAACATGCACACACACACACACGCAAATAGTTCATCATCGAACCAAGATCACTATGTTTACCAAGCTGTTTACAGTCGGCCTGGTGGCTATATCCTCTCTACACGGCGCTTTTGCCTCTTCTGAACTTCCAGTTCTCAACCTTCCTTATGGAAGATGGAGAGCAGCCAGATATGACAAGGTTGCGGACGTAAGAAAGCTTCACATACAAAGCAGAGCTCATAAAACAGGAGAGACATGTTATGCTTACACTCTCCTCTAGGTCTATACATTTCGCAACATCCGTTATGCAGTTCCCCCCACTGGTCCCTTACGCTGGGCCAAACCAGTGAGGCCTATGACCCCAGAGTCAGAAATCCAGGATGGTTCCTACGGGCCACCCTGCATCCCTGGGCCGAATGCGCCTGGATCCGGAATCCCGGGGTACGAAGAACAACAAAAGACTTCTCGTGAAGGTTCGTCCTAGTTCCTTTCTCTCCATGGGCGGCTTCTGACTCCAGTAGACTGCCTATTTCTTGACGCCTACGTTCCTGGAAAAGTGTTAAGAGATCATGGAAGTGATAAATTGCCTGTTATTGTATGGATTTACGGCGGAGGGTATGTTGATATTTTCAAATTTAAGGTCACCATATACTTACTACCGTGAAGATATTCGACTGGATCCAAAGACCAGATAATTGAACAAGGAATATATGATGGTACTAGCCTTGTACATCATGCCGCAGGAAATGCCATTGTCATTACCTTCAATTACAGAGTAGGTTTCTCACTTCTACCTTCTAACCACTATAGAATGTGGGGGACTAATAGTTGGGGTAGTTGAGCGTATTTGGCTGGTTGGCTGGAACTACGATGGAAAACGAGGGATTACCCAATGCTGGCCTTCATGACCAACGTGCCGTTTTGGAATGGGTTAGAGATTATATCCATCTCCTGGGCGGGGACCGCGATAGAGTCAGCGCCTGGGGAGAATCTGCTGGAGGGGGTTCGATACTAAGCCATCTCATCGCATATGGAGGCCAAGCTGACCCTCTCTTCCAACGTGCCGTTGCCCTGAGCCCTGGCTTTGGCTTTCCCATCGACCGCAAGGGCATGGTTGAAGATCAATTCCAAAACTATTCCTCAAGAGCGGGCTGTGCTGGGAAAGGCCTATCTTGTTTGAGGGCAGCTAATATTTCTCGTTTAATCGAGGCCAGCTATGATGGGTTAGGCCAGGTCGGCCCAACTCCTGATGGGAGGGTACTTATGCACGTATTCTCTGTGGAGATGGCTAGAGGTGAGCACTATCAGTTGGAGAAACACATAGAATCTCAATTGACAAACTGTCTGCGTTATAGGAAAGTATTGGAAACATCTTGACTCGCTGGTTGTATCCCATGTTTACAATGAAGGTGGTCTATTTGTCGGCACAGATAGCACTTTGGACTCCCTAGCTGATTTTCTACAATCGTTGTTTCCATCATATGCAACCAAAGCCGTTTCAACCCTCAAGGACCACTATCATCTGAATAAGCCTTCCAACGAATCTGCAACAACTATCGGCTCCAAGCTTGTCCGTGACGCCCTATTCGCTTGCAACATACGTGATATCGTACGGGCATATCCGAAGAAGGCTTATCTCATGCAGTATTCTCCCCAAGCAGCTACTCATGGCGCAGATGTTGCCGCTCTGTGGTACTCTCCCACGGTATACAATGCCAGCATCCCATTGTTTATCGGATACCAGTCATACTTGCTTAGCCACGCCATCACCGGCAACCCAAACACCCTCCGAGACCAGGCTATTAATCCACCAACCATTTCCTGGCCACGAGTTGCCGGCACTGATACTGAGAAATTCCAGAATACATTGGATGTGGTGGACACGGGATATCAACTCATCACCGATGAGCAAGTCTTAAAGAGTTCTTGCGATGTCTGGAAAAGAGCTCTTCTAGATGTTACGGAACAAGGAGGCTACCTGTAGGGGCATCTAGATAAAAACTACTAAGTAGCTATTCTATAGGCAGTCGCTCCTTTCTTCCAATCATACACACTCTCAGCATATATAATATATGACGGAGTTTATCATTAATATACATTCCTCCTTAAGGTAATGAGCAAGTATGTATCTTATATATATATATATATATAGGCATATAAGATTATAAAAGGGCCTTTGAAGTTGAGCTTAGTGTAGTTATCATCCAGTCATCCCTGAACTCCTTGAATAACTAGCAAAAATCTATCCACCCCCCGATTCTTGTAGTTATAACACTGGCCGGGACCCCCATATAACCGTTAGTTAAGTGGTTAACTAGGGCTGAACATGTGACCAAAAGTAGAACATCAAAAAAGCCCAAACTGCTATTTCTCTACAAAACACTGCGTACGAGACGATAAATTCTGGAATACAGGTGAGTATCAAGTGTGCTTCGTTATGGTGACACACAATGACTACAACTGCGTACGAAAATAGAGAAAGATGATCACTAAGCCTCCGATCCAGCTATGGACGACACCATCAGTTATGCATCTCTCAAGGGGTCACGTTTGTTACTGTGGCCCTGAAGTCCTTTTTGGCTGAACAGCTCAAAGATACTGGCGATATAGCGGCATTTTAATCGGGAAATTAACTCAGCGTACCCAAAATGAGACCAGGAAGCTATACTCTATATTGCACCAGCTTCCCTGGTGCTGGGTAAAGCGAATCCGCTATTCCCTAGGCCATGTGGCTCTCGTCAAATACCCCGAATGGAGCTGTCGGAAAACACCACATCCGAATAACAAGGGACAAAAACACTGACAGCATGAGGGGGCTACCAGTTTCAGTGCCCTTCACAGGCTTCAGCGGTGTGCCCAAAGCCTTCTATCCCCCTATTCATATACCGGATCCCGTTACATAACAGGAATAGACAACAGATGGCGACTGAACTTCCTCAAGCCGGATTATCAAACGATTAAGGATTGTGGCAGGGTTTGCTAGGCCGGAGCTCAATATTCTTCATAATACCCGCCTGTTGCAAATGATCTAGACTTTCGTCTCCTTTAGTTTCTTGGTTCATTCTTATACCCTTGAAGCCGTGCATTGTTCTGCCATCTCTTAGGCAAGACAAAGAGCACATTTGCTCTCTTCATACTGGATTAAAAGGCGGCCAGCTTCCTCTGTGGCTTAGCCCTTGATGAGCAATGGACCAATCTCGATGGTAGTTTTTTCGCCTTTATTCCCAGGTTACCGCCAGTTCGCCCATCTTTCGTCGCACTGGCATTCCGTTGTATACTCATTGTTGATCTCGGCTGAACAATGACTATGTATTCGCTACCTTTAGTAGTGGAAGGGCCCTGCCTTGTATGCATGCTTTTTCCGTCCTGTATTTTTCAACCTATTTAATCTCAGGCCCTCCGCAGCTTATGGTGCTTTATAGCATCATATTCAATATTTGTTAAAATGGCATAGACGATAATCATTTTTCGTCATATGTCCATTCTTTCTGCATTCCTAGCCAAAACCAGGCCATAATGGCCAGACCGGCCTCTCCTAACGCCAACTACCCAGAAATAAACGAGTATTTTCCGAATTTCGATTTCTCACTACTTACTATTCCACCGCCGGACTGGGAGCTATATGACATCCCTGATAAGACACATTTGCGCAACCGTGCCTTTGACCTGAAAACATTTAAGAGATTGGTAAAACACCACTCCTGGGGCTTCGACGTTGTCATCAAAGAACGAAAAACGAAAGAAATTCTTCTTCAGGTATTAAAACGGATTATATATAACCACGAGACTAAACATCGCCCGAGTTGGCACCAGTTTGTCAGTCGAGACTGTGATTCCGGCCCTCGACTTTTACGCCAGTCGTATAATCCACCGCAGTTCAGCCGGAGAATACCTAGGGGGGTCCCGGAGTGGAAATATTCACTTCCCGAGGAAATAACGCCAGCGACCGCCATGGCTCAATCAGATGCAAATGCCAGAGAAGAGAGACCGCTGCCTGATGCCTCTGTCTCAACCCAAGCTTGTGAACCTCTACGGCCTGCTCCTCGAGATACCATAATTCCTCTCAGACATCGACCTACTGCGAGTTTTCCTTCCCACCAGAACCCTGTTATCAATCAAGATTCGACCAACCCGGGCTCAAGCCAAAGGCGTGGCACAGCCAGCCGGTTCCTCCCAACCACAAGGACAGGAATACAAGGCCATACCACATGCTCTCCAGGATATCAAGCACTAAAAAATATACGTACGGCCACCAAAGTACCTCCCACACCTAATCAAAGCCAATTGGATTACCTTCTGCGAAGGTTTATTTCACGTCGCGCTTACGGGCTTTTAGATAGTCCTTTGCACAATGAAATTCCATCAGCACAGATTCGCTTCATCAGGGATTCCGTGACTGGGCCAATTATAGGGGCAACAACATTTTCCCACCTCCGACTTAGCGTGTCTGAAGACCGAACACATATATTCTTTGATGACCAGGGGGCTCTTTATCCGTTCAGATGTCGCGGGCCTCTATCTCGTAATGGGATTTCGGACGTAGTAGATTGCATTATTGTTGCAGGATTGTTAACCCACGCCGGTTCAACCACAGTCGACAAGACTGCCAGGCTTAATCGAGCCAAAATCTTTAGTCCACCCGAGAGTGCTTTCATACACGCCTTGAGAGATTGTTCCAATGATATATTATCAGATGATTCTGTATCAACAGTGAAGGAAAGGTTGTGGGATACCTATAACCAGCATTATCAACCAGACCTCTCGTTCGCCGAAAGGCCTATAATGGACCCGGCCCGAATCTGGGCAGCTTTCACTGGGCCATTTGCTCAATTTCAATTCAGCTATACGGATAATTATGTATCCTGCAGCCACAGTGGTGGAACAACAGAAAGTGTTACTTGCCGAAGGACTGTTGCCAGCGTGGGCTACCAGGATAATGATAATAAGGGGGTTGAAGTTTCTGCTCTCCTGCAGCGCTTCTTTCGGAATAACACAGCTTTTAAGTGCCCTAACGGGGTAAATTCATGCTCAAGGAAGCGTGAGCGATTATTTGAATCCACTCCTTTTCGCCTTGTTATCCAACCTCATAGGCAATCCAGGATCCTAAATACTTGTGCTTCCGCAATAAAAGTGCAGTTTGCCAATACAGATGGTGAAATGATAGAGGAGGAATATATTTTCATTGGTGGCATCTACCGTGATGAGAAAAACAGCATGGCACATCACAGGTTATGCTGGAATGACAAGGATAATGAGTCTGATGGTGGCCGGTTTCTACAGATTTACGATGCGAGCCAGATATCTGGAATGGTTCCCGGAGGTATTAGGCCACGCAACCCATATGAGATCGCACCGAGTACGTGGTGGGTTAATGGCTATCCGGCATTGCTCTTCTTTGAGAAGATCATACACCCACCCGAAGGCCTTTCAATTAATGAACCAGGCCATTCTAGCAATAGAACCCCAACTCCTATTCGTCCAGCAAAGAAAGATAACCACTCGCATAATTATATGGTGCCACTATCGAAGACGAGGCAACCTGCTACACCATCGCATACGACACCTCAGTTAACCAAAATACGGACTCTCACTGGCTCAATACGAAGAAACCCTGAACCCACCAGCCCATCAGGTAGAAGATATATGAATGAGGTTCAGTCAAATGCACACTACAACCCTACTGGATCATCTAGGCAGGTAAACAATACCAACCATGATAACGCGTCACGGATGGCCCAGGGCCCCTATACGGCACCTAGGTTTGATACAACAATCAATTCTCGCTCACACGCCAATGGAAGGTCACAGGCGGTGTTAACTGGTGGTCAACCGTATCAAGCCACCAATCACCCACCTTCAATGCCTATGTCTAGTACGCCTACCGATGCTCATAGTCATATGGACAATGACGATAGGCCCAGTTTAGTGCCAGCCAGAGGCCACCGGGATAATAACCACCAGCGATATCATAGCCCAGCGATATCCGAATTGAACACTCCCATCGACCGTCATGTTCCTAGGGGCTATGTACTAAGTCCCGAGTTTTCAGCACACTATCCAACTGATGCATATGAAGAAGCCTTAACTACACTTGATACACCCACCAGTGCCCACCGTCAGATAAATCATCGGCCCGGTTCAGCATCAGCAAACCAAGAAAAGCAAAGACCACCCAGCATCGAAGTACTCAGCAGCCCCCTCTCGCCTGCAGGCGGTAGAGCAGAACCGGCAGTGGTCATAAATCCCCAGGCTGTTAACATCTACGATGCACCCCGTTATCCGCCCCCTATACACTCTCCCAACATGCTTCCCGGCCCCTCATGGGCTGCAAATATAAATGGTGAGATAGATCCGCAGCCACCCATACTTACTGATACACAGACGCCGGGAGCTGCAAATACAGATGCCATATCGAGCTCCGCGGTGGGAATAAACCCGGAAGACCTCGAGGCATGTAACTGGGCATTTGATGAGTTCCTTCACAACGATACTCTACTCTACCATATTGAGGATCCCATGGATGCCAACTCGGCCATAGCTATACCCCAACCTCCTGACGACTTGTTCAGCCCAGAGGGCCAGGTCGAGAACACTGACATGACATCCTTCACGACGGATGAGGCATGGCTGTCCCAGTGGGATGTAAACGGGGTGGCCTCGAACGCGGGTGCAACGCCTCTGGTGGAAGATACACTTCTGGGGGCTCCGATGGTGGGTGATGCTACCAGCGGCAACAGCTTGAAGAGAAAGAGCTCTATCGGGGACGGCGAGTGGCCACCCTTTACAGGTGAATACGGAGACCAGCTCAAGCGAAGAGGCTGATTACTATAGACGTGTCCTCGTAGCCAATTTCTATATACAACTTGCATGTGAGTGTATTTTTTTTAGCGTATACGACCAACTCGTGTTCAAGCAAGTATTATACATATAAAATAGAGATGTCACTTTCCAAGATATGAAAGGCCAATAGATTGTAAGAGCTTTCTTTTTTTTATTACTATATAGTTACAGGCTGATCCCCCAACTTCTATCGCTCTAGATGTTGTTTTTCTCTAACTCGACTCTTCCTCTATATATCGGGATAAAACACACGCACTCCAGAGCAAGCAACGAGAGAAAACGATGAGACTAGGAATAAGGAGAAAAGAAGAAGAAGAAAAAGACTTAGAGATGGGCTCTGGGCGCCTGATCGGGAGCAGTTGGCCTGTCGCTCTTCTTGGGCGCAGAGACGTATCCGCCCCGGACGTTGTCTGTGTTGATGACCTCGCCCCGGGCGTTCCTCTTGATGCCCAGCTCCATCAGCTTGTCGAAGGCCTTGGAGAAGTGATCGAAGAAGAGCTCCTTGTCCTCGGCGTACCTGTCAACCCACATGGCGAAGTCTGGGTCCGAGAGCAGGGCCATATCAGTTGGCAGCATCATGAGCGGCTCGTCGCGTTCCTGCTCAGGGACGTCCTCGTCGACATAGTTGAACTGCTTGGTCCCGTTGGACAGCGTACGGGGCTTCCACTGCAGGTTCTTTAGCAGGCGGAAGTACTGGTTCGAGAAGCGGGTCGGGTTGTTTACCCAGGGCCCTTCAAAGCCGCTGCGGTCCATATGCGTGCGGCCCAGGTTATGTGCGCCGGAGAGGGCCACGATCTCCTGGTCGTTGAAGCCCATGCGGTAGAAGATGTGTCTGATATGGTCGCTTCCCTTGGTGGCGTCGGGCAGGCGACCGCGAGGAGGCACCTTTGAGTCGTCGACAAAGTCTGTCCGGCCGGGCAGCCACTTGATATCGGGACCGCCCATCTCCTTGATGGCGACGACGCCGGCGAGCGTCCAGAGATCTGAGTATGTGATCCAGGGGTGTTTAGCCTTGATGGGCTCGAGGAATGCGCGGCCGTGTTGGAGGCCGGCGTTGGCTGGGTCGCCTCCCTCAGCTTCGTAGCGCATGCCAGCACCGTTCGAGCCGCCTGTGTCACTCTCGATGTCGTACGTGCCTGCAGAGTGCCTGGAAAGATGCCAGTCAGATCAAGCAGACCAAGCAGAGGAAAGAGGGTGTGCAATCGCTGTTGGCCTTACCATGCCAGCCGGACGAAGACGGGGCCAGCGCTTCCATCGTCGTACCCAGGCTGCTTCATCTGGGCAGCTATATCACGCCTGACGGCGGCGAAGTCCCCCTGCTTGCTCATGCTGCCGGGCAGTAGACAAAAATAAATAAGCTGGAGTTATAGAGACTGGCTGGTTTTACTGGAGAGAAACAGGAGGAAGATGGAAGATGCTCTTGTTTGATGGTGAAGGAAAATACTTATTTATACGCCGGACAAAAGATTTCACATGGTATGTAGAGTGTTATCAACCGGTTCCACCGTCTCTTCTTCTTCTTCTTCTTCCTCTTCTTCTTCTACTTCTCCTTCTTTTCTTCTGCTGCCTTTTTTTTTTTCGAGATGCCGAGGTCCAAAGGAAGCCGCCGTTGCCATCGAATTAAACATTATAAAACCGACCAACCATCGACGATTCCACCTTTGCGCCTCATTGCGGCCTTTCTCTCTTCTGGAAGCAAAAGTTGACCTTGGCTTCTTGCTGTTTCTTCCTGTCTGCATACTTCTATGCCCGGGTCGGCTGGGAGATGCATCATATCGTCTCGCTTGCTGTCTTCGTCTTCTCCAGCTGCTCGATCCTCGCCTTCATCCGCGATACCGTCTCCATGGCACACCTGGTCAGCTCCTCGATGTCCTTCCGGTGCTGCTTCTCCATCAACGCGATGCGCGAGTCTTGCTGCTCCAGCTCACTCATCAGGCTCTTCTTCTGACCTCGCTCGAGCGCCAGGATGCTGTCGATGAAGTTGTAGATCGGGATGGTCTGGCTGTTTGTCAGGTTGCCGGCTTCAGCCTGCTTGGCGATATATATGATCGACGCCGCCATGTCGTTGGCCACAGCGAGGATGCGCGCCGTCTTTTCGGCAGAGGTCATGGTCTCCAGGCCGGTGAGGCTCAGGGCACCGCCGCTGCTGCCGTAGGAGTGGTGAGGCCTGTATTGCTCGAACATGCTGGGCCGGAGGCGAGTTACAGTGAAGAGATCCGTAGTCTTGTAGGGTGTAAGAGTGTAGGCTGGCAGACTGTAGACTAGGCCGCACGCTGTTTATATCCCGTCGGATGAGGCCTTGGACCTTTGTCTAGACGCTCTTGCCAGCATCATGGCCATCCCTGAGACAAACCCATCTCCTTAGACGGGCCTCTTTCTTCATCTTCCATCTTACAACCAGCAGTAATAAAGGGCAAAAACGCAGCAGCAGGCATGAAGTAGGACAAGTCACGTGAAGATATTTATTCAGTCTTTGCGGCTTAAAAAGAAGAAGAAGAAGAAGAAGATAAAGAACAACGGAATAACAGAGGAATAACAAGGAGACAGACAAACAAGGAGACGGAGAGCCATGGGCCGCATAGAAGAACTCCCAGATGATTTCGATGAATCTCTAGACCTCAACAAGGCGCCCGTCTTCACCCCGCCTGCTGCTAAAGAACCGTCCTTCCTACCATCAGGCGAAACCCCCTTTGGAATAAAAAGGGATGCCTTGCCTAGAGAGAACGCTGCCGCTCCGGCCATGCCACCGGCCATGGAGTCAGTCAAGTCTCACACCGCGGACGAGATAATAGAGCTCATGAACCAGACCCCTCTATTCATGACAGACGTTGAAAAGGCGCTTCAAGCCGGTGCGTCGCTCTTTTATTTTTTATGTATAAACAAGAGAAACAAAAGAGATGAAAGAAGACGTGGAAGAGAGTTACTTACTTTATTCCCCATGACATATCAACAGAAGGCGAGAATGCGCAGTTGGACGCCATCCGCGCCCTCCAGAACGAAGGCACACGAGCAGACAACGCACAACGGTTCCGCGAAAATGGAAACGACTTTGCAAAAATGAAGCGGTGGAAGGACGCAAAGGAGTGCTACACAAAGGGCCTCTCGACACTTACCATGGAAGACAGCTGGGAGGAGCCCGCAGACCCCCGGGTAGAGGCACGAAGGCTGCGGGAGATCGAAGAGGCTTGCTATATAAACAGAGCCCTATGCAACCTGGAACTGAGTATGGCAGGTCCTTTGTCCTACGACGAGAGTATATCGACGCTAATAAGAGGTTTTTATAATTTTTTATTTTTTTGAAAAAACGGCAGAAAACTACAGATCTACGACTTTAGACTGCGCGTCAACGTTAAAGCTGAATCCGAAGAATGTCAAAGCATTTTACCGCTCGGCTGCCGCCCTGCTTGCGCTCGACAAGGTGGCCGAGGCGGACGATGCGTGCGCAAGGGGTCTGCATCTCGATAAGTTGAACCAGCCTCTCCAAGCTTTATCGAGGAAGATTGTAACCCGGAAGGCTGAACTCGAGAAAATCGCTGCTCGGAAGCGAGAGGAACGAGAGCGAGCAGAGAAGATCCGCGTTACTCTCAGCACTGCCCTGGCAGCACGCGAGATTTCCGTGAGGGAAACTGCCCAACCGCCAGACATGGAAGACGCAGCGATGAAACTATCCCCTGACCCTTTGTCTGCAGAGAGTACGCTTGTCTTCCCCTGTGTTTTACTCTATCCGATGCACGCACAGTCGGATTTCATCAAAGAGTTTGCCGAAACAGACACCATCGCACAACATCTAGAGTATATTTTCCCGCTGCCTTGGGACCAAAGGGGCGAATATACCATCGGCTCTGTTGACTGCTACATGGAGACCGTTACAGGCGGGATGATTAAACCTGGAAAGAAGGTCTCGCTGCTCGAAGTTCTGGGTGGTGGGAAAGTTGAAGTCGTCGATGGCCTGGTGCGAGTCAATGTCGTGCCAACGAAGATGGCGGGTAAGTGGATTGCGGAAATGAAGGCAAGGAAGAATGCCTCTTGACCGAATGGATATTATATCCACAGTTCGTCGGGAATCCTATTTAAAATAAGCGGCCCCTTGTTCGAATGTACTATGTAACACATACATTATATTCCTAAATTTTGGGGAAACACTCTGGAATCATGCTAAGCATCTATCCAGGTGAAGAAGGATCTATATTTCCTAGAGGCTGCAGGGTTGGATTGCTTGAGATGTATGGAATATCTACTCGCATATACATTGCTACCTGATAGACAGTTAAAAGGAAAAGAGACAGAAGCCCTGTCGAATGGCCGTGGTATTCATCTCAGCTCGAAGGGCCTGTACAACTGTATATAGGTCAGTTTCATACTAAGAAAGACAATCCCGCCCTTTATATGTATATGTAATGTTTATATCAAACAGCCAACCAGAAGAAACATATGACAACACCAGAATATATATACCCATGTACCAAAAGATGACCAACAAAAACCATGCATACACTAGCGCCTCCCATAATATCCTGTTTACGAAAGAAGGGGAATGTCAAGATGTAAATATAGCAAGGGCAACCAGATAGAAGAAATCCAACGGCGGGTCCTCACGATTGAAATGTTAGGTCGGTAAGGAGGAAATCCCAAGGCCCATCGAAACCCAGGTCGAGAGGAATCGGGTTGCTATAGAAACAATTAAGTAGATCAAGGTCATCACTCTGGCCGATGGCATTGATGCTAGTATTGGGTAGAGGCTGGTTGATGTCAATATTCGGAAGAGGTTGAGCAATGCTAGTATTGGCAAGGCCTTGACTAGTAGTGGTAGGATGTGGGATGTAGGCTTTTGGTTGTACCCGAGCGGGATCAAAGTCTGAGAACGACGGGTTTGGAGCAACATATGAAGGGGCCTGAGGCATTTCGCTCACTTCCGTTGCCGACGTATTGGGCTGATTGTACGTATAGGAGCCGGGAGTGTTGGTGCCGTAGGTGTGCGCGTTGGGAGTAGCAACGCTGCCTCTGGGATTCATCGAACTAGGGCTAGCATGCCCATCCTCATTGAGAACGTAGCCGATTTCGCATCGCTTCAGATATTTGCGTGTAGTCTGCTCGCCACCAAAGACTGCAGATATCTCAGGTATGAGAGATTCGGGCTCAACTGGCTCCTTCTGCTGACGGCGGTCGTACATATCCAACATCTTGATCAATGTATTCCTGCCGCCCACAGCGATTGAGGCATCAGCTGTACAAAGACTTAAATCTGATATCACCATCTCAATCAAGGGACGGATATTGTCTGCTGGAAAGGAACGTTCGACAAGCAAGAATCCCGCTAATGCTACGGCAGCGGAGAATATCTGGTATGCCTGCACGAATAATTTATGTGACTTACGGAACTCCTCGACATCTGGGTTACGCATGCTTTGGTAAACAGCTAGGACTTCGTTGGCAGCTTTGGCGCAAACAGCCCAGGAGTCGCCAATACGCGCGTGGATGAAAGGTCGATTCATGCGGATGCGCTGCATGCAGATGCAACTATGAAGCAGGTGAAATTGCCACAAGATATAGTCCTGGTTTTCAGGCAGATTTGCACATTTGCCATTTTCATCGAGCTGGAAGTACCATGGAAAGTTGCGGGTAAGATTTGCGAGTTCTGTGTCAACTGACCGCACATATTCGTAAGAGGACAGGTATTCAAAGCCACTATCGAAGAGTTTGCGCATGACCAAAAATACTTCAGCGCGGAGAATATTGGCGCTTGTCTCTGTAGGCTCTTCGATAGGCCTCCCTTCAGTGAATGACTCGGTGATATCTTCGTCATTGCAGTTGGCAGGGAACGGGATTTTGGGGGCAGGGCAGTGGATGAGCGGCGTTCGGCTCATACACATTGATTGGAAGCTGTTATTGTTAGCTTTCAGCTTAGACTTCAGTGCTAGGAGACTTTCCAAGGATTTACATACGTATCGCAACAAAAAAGCTCCCACCATATACGCCGCCGTTTTTCTGTTTCTAGAGGGCTATAGCCTGAAACATCTCTATCCAGATTCAGCGCCTGTCCGTTACGAATTGCCTGGCCCAGCGCCCTACACAATATTAGCATATAAAACGTAAAATAACAGCAACTTTCAAGACATACGAGTTCATAGCCTCGACATTTTTGGTTGATAACCAATACAACTGTGTCACGAGGAAAGTTTCTAACTGCGTCAAGCATGGCCGCGACTCATAATGGCCAGCACTCAGCGCCTGTCTGGATGCCCAATGCCATAGGTGAGCCTTTTTGCGTATAGTTTCTGCATCCAGCCCGACGGCTTTTATATCAGGAAACGGAATAAATACGGCGCTCACGGAGAGGATAGCGTATAAGAAGGAGAGCCAGATTATATCGATATCCTTAACGTCTGTGTCCCAAAAGGCAGCGTAATCTTCTCGAAACGATGGAGCGTGTACTGAGTGGTATACAAAATTCAGCTCATCTATATAGTAAGTGACGATTAGGTCGCATTGATGGCGCAAGGGGAGCATGGAGACGAGCTGTGCACGCCAAAAAGTCGCAGTCTCGTTGTCGTCAATAGGCCGTTGAGATTGCTCACTGAGCAAAAGTGGTATGAATGGCGGAAGAGTAGAGACTCCAAATACATTCTGCGGAAGACTAGCGATACTCTGGGCCAGCGGAGTTTCAAGTAACACTCTACGAGCGCTTTTAAAGAGGATAGTTTCCGTCCGGTCTGTTTCGGTGGAGTTAAGTGCATAAGATGGTTGTGGTTTGCATTGCAAGGGTGCGGCGGGTGTCAATTGAGTAGGAAGCGGTTGGAAAGGAAGAGATGCAGGTACAGGTACAGGTACAGGCGCAGGAGCAGGAGCAGGAGCAGTCGCCGGCGCCGGCGCATGGTCTGGTGGGTGATGGGCTTGCGAATGGAGAGGAACTCCTCCTCTCATGACAGACGAAGGCGGTGGATTGAGACGACATTGGTCTTCCCTGCGGTAGCGCACACATGAGTGGCACGGTACATGGCGGTTGCATTTTAGCTTGTGTCTACGACATGGCAGGCAACTGAGTGCCCGACGCTTTGCCGGTGTCTTCTTTGGTTTCTTGACGCCGGTACGGGCGGAGTCGAGGGCGTCGTCTGATGGCTCAGCGTCGGTTGCAGGAAATGCTGAAAGCAAGCTACATCGGTATTTCAGTTTGTCAGTGACAAAGATAGCGAATGAACGGCAAGGCTTCTTTTCTAGAAGGACAGAATACTGACTGCTGAGATGGCTTCCCCATCATCTATGACGTGGTTCCATGCGCGAAATAGTACGAACAATACTTGTCCATGACCAACAAACAGCTTTCGAGTAGACTTTGTGCCTTTCTTTTGGGAGAGGGATCGTTGTGATGCGATGCTGGATGAACAAACGGGATGGGATGTTTAACTGGCTCTGCTGACTGATCCTAGGCGATCTCGTATTCGTCTCTCGTTTTGGGATGCAGCTTCAGGCCATACTACTTAAAATCGTAGTTCTCCTCCCGAGCCTTCGAAGAACTCCCAAGGCTTGACTCCAGGCTATTATTCGCTTTCACGCTTCCGTCCTTCGCCACCTCTTTTGGCGAGAAGAGAGGCAAATATATCACGTGATCGGTATTGTGGCTTCCAGCGTGTCGCCAGGACAGCCTTGCGCGAGGTGATAGTGTCACTGTCCTCCCTCAGCTCTTGGTTTGATAGCTTGTCTGCGTTCTCTTTTTTCTGGTCCTTGAATTGTTTATTTCGCGTGAAGTTGTTCGTTTTTCTCCGTTGGAAGTAAGGAACTGCCTCTTTGGGACAGCTTAGTCATTACGCTTAGTCATTGTCTCGCTCCCTTTTTTTTTTTTTTACATTCTATACATTAACCTGAATACGGGAGAAGTTTCGAAGTTACAGGAAGGTTGGAAAAGTGATTGGAGGGGCAAGTTTTATGTTCATGACTTGATGCTAGATGTTCCATGCTTCATCCATGGTATTCTCCGGTGGCTGCTTACATGTTCTTATGGGAGAGGACGGCGACAGAGCCTTGCTTGAACTCCTGTTACAGCCCCTGCCCAGGGTATAGACTTGCGTGTATCAGTTGGCTTCTCATACCTTTTTTTGGGGCGATTAACGCCGTCTGGTTATTAGTTATATAACTAACGGATACGACCTGCGAGCGGCTCGTCGTTGTATGGCATCCTCGCTATACCACGACATGGGGCCAGCTGGCGCTTCATCGTGGGCCTTGACACATATATTATCCCCTGGACTCGTTCTTCCAGCCGTATATCTCCCAGGTCGCCTTTCTCTCCTGTTGCCCCGCGATCGCAATTGCTCGACGGCTTACAGAGCTCTTGTTGGCCGATCTGATAAGACGGATGGCGGGGCAGGGATAGTGGGCTCTGGGCGTTGGAAGGAAGCATGCATAAAACCAATCATTCTGCTCTGTCAGCTGTTTGCAACTGGGCTGGTAGCTTTCTTTTTCCTTTTTACTGCCCTTGAACAAGTTGTTGATCTGATAAGATGGCCAAGACCTGCAAGTTGCTTTAAGCTTAAAAAAGTGCCCATCTTGGACAAACACTGAACTAGTACTCCGTAGTCTGATCCACCCTGATGGGCCTATATGATGGTTACTATTGCAGTAGATGGTTTTCACGAACACTAGAGAGTCGCGTGCACAGTATTTGGAGAGCGGAAAAATGCAAGTCTCTGGGATTAAATCAGTATTTAAGCGACAACGTAGGGGCAACCCTATGTGACATAACCCTCGTGAGATCAATCAATTCAGGCGACAAGTTAAACCCTACATAGTAGAGCAAGCCGATAGTAGAGCAAGCCGGTCCACAGAAGAGCTCCCACAGGAAAAATCCAGGAGAAAAGGTTTCGTGATGCTATACAAATCGAACTTACTCCCGATATTCAATACCACTATTTACTGCCTTGGACTTAGTCACTGAAGCCGGCTTCCACATCCTCAAGAGTTGGTTCCGTCCAAGCCTGAACTCCAAGTCACCTATCAAGGGCCCTTGATCCATTTCGTATAAAAGGAAAACACAAATAGGAATAAATTGGATAAATCTCAGGAGAGGAACAATCTGATCTGAATACACATAGGAAGACAATGGCAAGGTTAGGGTTAGTTAACGCGTAATGTTTGTTACCTAGAAAATTCTTGAAAGGGGGCAAATGTTTGAGGGGCCAAATCAAAATTAGCATTCAGTCTCATACGCAGTAAAAATATGGGATAAAACAAAATACTCAGCGCTTCTCATCTTCATCATAGAGTAATTTCCTCCTTTCTTCGCTTAATGGTAAGCTGTGTGCTAGCCGACACATAAGATCCGCCAGGCAGGATATATGGAGTCGTATTGCTGCCTTCAGGGAGCTTAAAGTCATATTTAAGCAGAATATGTGTGAGCAGAATCTTAATTTCATCTGCAGCGAAGAATCGGCCGGGGCAGGCATGTATACCATGTCCGAAGCCCAAGTGTTCAGGGCTGGTAGCGACCAGATTGGCCATTCTGTCTTTCTCACGGTCTCCTTTCATTCTAAGGAAGCGGTATCCGTCATATTTGAGGGGTTCAGGGTATACTGATTCCTCCCAATGTACGTGGCTGGACACTGATAAGCTGGACCCCTTGGGAACTACAAGCCCGTCTGAAAGGGTTACATCCTGGGTTGCATATCTCTTCATAGAAACTAGGAATATCGGTGTTAAAAGATAAATGGCAGCGTGAAAGCGAGTCAAAAGGGGCCAAAAGACTTACGAACACCTGCAGGCTTGAGTCTTTGACTCTCCTTGATTACACTGTCCATGAGCTTCATCTGGTATAGGGCAGTAGTGTCCAATTCGCGACTTCCAAGTACGTTAATAATTTCTTCTCTGAGAGGTTGGATGAGCTCTGGGTTGGCGCAGATGTCATAGATGGCCTGAGTACACAGATCTGTGGTAGTATGGATCGAAACAAAGGACAGGCTGAGCTGGGCTATTGCTGCATCAAACAATCGACCACCGGCCTTATCATCAAGCCACGAGATGGCATCATCGTACTGCTTGACCGGCTTGCCCTGGCGTCGAAGTTCATGATTTTCCGCATGGCGTCTATCAATCACCGGTTGGATCAGTTGACGGGCATCTGCTACCTGTTGACGAAGGCGTCGACATGTGGGCAGGAACCACTGGACGATGGGACGAATCGACGCAGGCCAGGTCATGAGCTCGTTAATAGCAACAAACAGATTGATTGTATAATCAGCGGTGATCCTTAGCCATTCCTCGTTACGGCAGAGTTCCTCTCCAAGGAAAACCCTCGAAGATACACGGGCTACGATCTTGACAATGGTCTCTTTGATGGGGATCTCGTGCCATTCTACTTCACTTGTTAGATTTTATCTAATAGCCGAAGAAAGGGGTCACTGTTAAGGTTACCTTCGTCATCGGTAAGTTTATCACGGATGACTTCTCTTGCCTCGCTGGATATGGCTTGCTTGAGATGCACTATTGCCTTTTGTTAGTATGTTCAACTTCACTTTTCTATCTTATGCCTTACCTGGCAATCGCGACAGCTTGCTTCGAATAGTCTCTGTCAAAACCTGGTTCTTGCCTGCCTCTTCGATGTGGTGAAATGTCGAGAGGTGGGTGAGGAGTGTCTAAGCAAGAGTTAACCCAGTCCGACACCAGAGTAAATAGACAGATTAGTACTTACGGGAAGAATGGCCTTGGCAAAATCTAGATGAGGATCACTCTTGATTTCATTCGCATAGTCTGCAGAAAGGATGATGTCCTTGCCGATGGCAGTGTTTATATGAAAGGCGTTTTTATACTAGGGAGTTGTATGTCAGCAATTAGCCGTTTTTTTCCCTTCTTTTTCTAAAGCAGTTTCGATGGAATAATCACCTTGGCAAAACCAGAGAGAAGCATCTGTTTTGTATTGGACTTATCGCTGTGTAGGGGGAATTTCGAGTATCTGTGGCGCTGGCTGACGACCCGCGCAATGTATGAAACGACAAGCAGAACAACGAAAGAGAGCGCCACATCGACCCGGTAGGCATTGCCAGCCCGGATGAGAGCGTCCAACATGTTGAATAGTGACTCTCGTCGCTGGAGTCGTGTGTGAACAAGGACAGCAGCTGGTGAGTATATCTGGCTCAACTTTTAAAAATCGCCATCACAGGGAGACAAACAGGCTTATATATAGATTATTTCAATATATATATAAATCCGGATACGCCGTATCGCTAATTGTTGATATGCCACTTAGACAAGTTGGGTTAACGCTGAGCTTGCATATACTCCTGATGTATAGTCCGAATTTAAAAGGCAGAGACGGATGGCGCATCCCCCGCGCCCATGTCGGTGAAACAACTTTAAACCATCAGCAATAGTTTCTGCCGTCCTTGCCCATCTCTTTTGTTTTTCCCCCTTCGTTTCCTGATTGTGTTAAAGCCAGTTGGTTGTCAGGTTGAGCGTCATCATTACATCTGGCTGCCAGCTCATTCGCCCATCTGATGGCAGGACACGAAAGACAAGACTTGTCATCGAGCCCTCTAGCAGGGGGGTTCAACGCCTCACAAATAATATGAGAGGTCAGCTGGCTGGACGCCCGGATGGAGAGGGTTCCGAGGGCCGCCCATAAGTCTCCCTCCACTCTGCATGCAACTCTTACAAGCGAGCTCCAATCTTCCATCTCATCATGTAACAGGGAGCCGGCGGAAAAGGAGACCAGCGCCCTGGGCACGATACACCCCAGTCGATAGGTCGGCTACGGGACTTTGGGCTTCCCGTCGGCGCTCCGCATGGGCTGCAGCGCATCGTGCCTCCGTGCAGACGTCTCGCGACAGAGCTGTAAAAACCGCCACCGAACAGAAGAGAGTGTTATTTGGCTAAATATTTTAAAGAGCTCGGAATGTCGTCGTCAAGTGATCCGTAGCTATCGTATCAACGGCTGACTGTCGTCTGCCCACCATAAAAAGAGAGTAAAGAGACATGATTGACGCCGTAATAAATATATCCGTTCTTAGGCTTCGTCAGCCAGGAACTGCGGTTCGGGGCATCATTTGCGTCAGATCCTTCTCCCTCCCTCTCTCTCGTTCTCCTGATTGATAAGGACAAGGATCTCCCAGCCAAGAAAGAAACCTGTAGTACGGAGTTTGTTACCAGCTTTCCGAGGCCGTAATATAACCGCTAGTTATGTGTTGAAGATCTTGGAGAGCTAACCGAACTAAACTCACAAACAATCCATGGCCTTGGTCCGAACTCTCGCGTTCTTCGCGTTCACATCCACGTCGTGTATGTATACATATACATTCGTTGTACCAGGGCGTAGGGTGTGTGATAGCCATATCAATGCATATCAACTGGGAAATCAAGAGTGTTGGGGGGGCTATCGCATTTGTTTCTTTCCAGTTCGACGAGGTCATGCATTGGTTATGTATGATTGCTGACCGTTTATCCTTCTTGGAGGCCAGTCAAACATCAAGCATACTCCCTGTCCCTGTAAGGGCCAGTCGAGTTAAATAAAGCGACGAGTTAGTTACTTTGTGTGCTCAGCTTTTTCTTTTTTTTGCGACTCTGGCGTGTCACCAATCTTTTTCAAGGTATCGAGGTATCAAGAATAAGCATCCACTGTATCTGAGAAGCCGTGTAACTCTGACATGCTTGTGATGGGGAATAATATGATCGAGGCCCTTGGTTCCGGAAGATCCTCAGGGGTTGTTGTATACGGAGTACATATCTGGAGATGGTAATGCTTTCAAATGAAGAACTCTGCCAGGGAAGAGGAAGCGTCCTATTACGTGCACGAGAAAGGATTTATATGTACATATATTTGCCTCGGAGCCGGGGCACATATTTATATTAAATTACAATATCTAGTTGCAGAGACAACAATCCCTCCCGGGTCGGTCGGTCAGCCTGATCCAACTACCCCCGACAGCCATATCCTTGGATTTTCGGCCCCCACGAGTTCACGCCTTGTCGTAGCAGTTACATGGCATGTAATGTGATCTTCTGTCTTTCTCAATCCCCGTTTCCTGACAGCTTCGTGTTGCAACAGTTAGGTATGCGATAGTTATGAGTTCTGAAGTTAAATGCCATTATTTTATTATTAAAGAATACTTAATTCCCATTGGCTGGTATCCCATGTTGAATATAATATCGATTAGATAATCACTTTCGGTCCGGAATAATGCATTATATCACGTGCCTCTCAAAGTGGACGTTGATAAAGAAATTGTGTACCAGCAACGACATCTTCGACTTCTGGAATCCGTTGAAGGAGATTGACAGTTAATGATTATAGTAATATATGATTATCTTCTTGGTAAATATTTTCCTCGCCAAGATACCTAGCTACAATATTGTTGGCATTTCAAATGATACCCCCTGCAACATCTCAAGCTGGCGTTGACGGGCCGACGTGTAGCTATCGATAGGGAGTACACGGTTAATAAGATTACGGAGGTGTTGCTTAGCTTGCATAGCCTTACTCATGTCAGGCGCAAAAGAGTATACGCCACCAGCAGTCTAGGCATCGGTGATAAATACTAAGAAGCGGATGAAGCACTGCGTCAATGTGTACTCGCCTGTGGCTAAGAGTGTGCTACTATACTAGAAAACCAAAGCACCCGTGGGTATGAGCAGCAACTAGGAGGGGGCAAACAGCACCGAGGTCTGGAGGATGGAGCGGAGTGACACCGCTGCATCCCGTTCAAGTTTGGTGTCGGCGCAGAACGCCATTCTCTAGCCCTAGACTTTCCACGGTACGAATAGCCCTCACGGCCTCACTGGCATGGCCTGCGGGACCTTACGGCCAAACAGACTTAGGATGATGAGTCGCACGTAGCCACTGCCCACTGTAATAAGGATGAGGGCAGCACACACGAGACCCAGCTTCTAGCCTACCGCCACCGAGAGTGCAAGTCCTCTGACGATGGTAACGGTGAAGGTTATCATGGAGCCTAACACCGCACCGCCTAGCCCACCTAGGTGAGTGGTATCCTGTGATAACATCAGGTACATCAAGGCCCAGAAGCTTGTTTCGGGGTAGAGCTTGTTATACTGAGATATTGGAGAGTCAAGCCCTACTGATAGGCCATTTAATTGAAGGCCGACGATTTTCTCAGATTCGCTCAAAATCACAAGATGGTGATGATTTCTTAGCTTGGACCTGCTCTTGCTTTGCAATATTGTTGCACATGTTTTACCAGTTTGACTGGCCTGGGGCAGTTTCGGTTGCGTTTTCTATTAACCAGTGCTGGTTATTTGATATCGGGGGTCGGGTGTGGTAGTTGATACCATAGAGCTTCTTAAAGTACATTTCTGGAGTCACTTGCGAAAACGTTAACGTGAGTACCGAGACTTCGTTTCATCCTCTACCCATGGTGGCTATTGTATCAAGGTAGTCCTGCAGATGAACCTACGCCTCGACTGCAAATGAAAACATGAGTTAGGCAAGTTACCTCCGCGTCGATGAGTTGTACGTTGGAGGAAAGCATGCACTTCTAACACATGCAGCCCCTGTGCAGGTATTTTCTATATAACTTTCCCTGCAGTACTCTCTGTATCCATGGGGTTACCATCGACCCAGCCACCGACTGAACCAGTGCAAGAAAGCTTAGGGGAAAGATAAACTCCGTCCATTGCATACAAACTTTGGAATCGGAGATTTTGTCTCCAAGATGCCATAGGGAGATCAACCTGTCATGCGCAACTCTAGTTGTAGATACCAGCGATGCAATATCTTTGACCAACGAACCAATGCCAGCTTTCTGGAAAGCACACAACCGGATAGACCAAGTATAGCCCCGCTATATGCCAACTCTCCTAAGGAAGTAAGTGTTGAGTGCAATGTAAGCTCTTCTCCTTTCTTTCCATTATACGCTATCGCCGATTCAGTGTAAATGTATGAGGATACACTAATACAACATGATATATGGACCATCTAACATAAGTAACCCTAGGCCCTCTATCAAGCGCTTATATTATGCATGCATGGATATCCTAACATAAAGATAGGACTCCTGTGATACACAGCCCAAGTCGCCAGGATGAGGTAGGACCCGGATATCCTCCTAGTGCGAACCTCGAGCTAAACAACTTAAGCTCCTCTTTGAACTGTGATTCTTGATTCGGCGTTAAAAAAGGTTGTTAATGGCAAATTGAAGATCCTATAAACAAGAATCTGCGTCTATATATTCGGCAGTTATAGTTAACTATTTGTTTCGTTTCTCAGTAAAGGGCGCTGCTCCTTGCTGTTTATCATCCCCTGAAAACACATAGATCATGGGCAAGCTCCTGCAACTAACTCTTAACTTCATATCTTAAACGTTATCTCTCTCGAATCTCAGCCTGAATTGCTTGTTGAGGTGGAGCTAGAGTTAGTTCGCTGATTAACTAGTCAGTCTAACTAGGCTCTAAAAAGAAATCCGTACATAACTCGTTAACTATGTAGTCAACCACTGATAGCATGTTGTTAAGGGCCGCAGCGCATAACCAAACAGAGCAAAGAAAGTAGCCCGTGGTTGTAGGTGGAATTTGATAGTTTGAACTTGTTATTATACCGAGATGGATACCTTATAGTCATGCAACCACCTCTGCAACTGCGGCGGTATTCGTTCTAAATGTATGAAAATAGTCTATTCGGAGAAAGAGTGAATCTCTCTTTGGCCTCATCTCCGTCTAGCACTAGGTCTTTCCGACCAACCATCCATTTGATAGCCCTTAGCTACCCTCGATCCCATCATTATAGTTAGACCTTTGCTGGCTGTGACGAGCTATGTCTACATTGATAGTTATGGCTGCGAACTCAGGTTGCAGAAGAGAAAAAAGAGACACGAACTTGTCCCAAAAGGGTATAGACAGAATAAAGTCACGTGATATTTATTAAATAATATTATCTCACGTGATCATTTATTTTATCACGTGATTATGCCTTCGATGAAAAAAAGCGACGAAAGAGAAAAAAAGGAAGACAGAGAAAGGAAGAGAGAGAAAGATAGAAGAAAAACGGAGAAGGGAAATAAGAAGAAGAAGAAGAAGAAGAAACAAACGACGATATCACGACCATCACGAATCTCCAGATCGATCGCCCTGTTTTGTCGCCAAAAGTTGAAGCATAAGACGATGATTGGGGCCTGCTGATACGCGCCTGCGCCCATCCAGAAAAACCTCCACCAAGGAGAAGTTGAACCCTCGAGCAAACCCTCGTTGGCTGTACGGGAGTGATATACGCGGGTCTTTCTATATAAACAAACAGACAAACCAAAAAAAAAAAAGAGAAAAAGAAAAGACACTGCCTTAGCAGATCCGTTCGAAGAAGGCCATCATGAATCAACCACCCATGATATATCACCATCCTCTCCAGCACCAGCAACAACAGCAACAGCTTCACCAGCAGCAGCTTCAGGTCCAACATCTCCCACAGAACCAGCAGCAGCAGCTTCCCGTGTCCTCGTCCGTTGTCGCCCCCCACGCGTCGGCTGCATATTACCAGAATGCCTCACAGCCAGGCACTCACCATATGCCGTACTATCAGAATCCAAACCCAAGCGCCTATTCTCAGGCTGCGGCATCCTTCCAGCACCAGCACCAGCACCAGCAACAGCAACAGCATCAACAACTTCAGCAGCACCATCACCAGCAGCAACCACAACCGCAACCGCAGCCTCAGCCTCAGCAGCAACCACAGCATCTCCCCCAGCAGCATCAGGTCGGGGTCGTTCCACAGCATGCTGTTCCCGGGAGCGTGGCTCCCATGATGGTCTCTGCTGCACCCATTCCTCACGGTATGTAGGTTCTGCTTTTTTATTCTTCACGAAGAATTTTAGTATCCTTTTTAACATGTCTTCCCTGAGTTGTTCACCATTGGTGGCCCTCCACTCCCAACCCTGATGCACCAAGTAGATCTGCCTATCTCGTCTGGCCAGTGTGGTCAGGATGGATGAATGGATGCGCTATCACACCCTCCCTCTTTCTTGATACCTTCTCGGGATTTGTCTTTTTTTCTTGTCACTTTTTTATATTACTGAAGTGTATTCAAGGCTAACGTTGTGCAGTTCCCTTCACCACTCAGCCATTTGCAAACTCGGTGCCCCAGGCAGCACACCCCCAGCCTGTCGTGGACGATATCTCAACCCGTTCGCCTTCAGCTGACCCTCAAGCCCACAGCAGCATGGCGGCCATGCCTACGTCGAAGGCTATGTATTCAACGCCAAACCGCTCCACAGCTGCCCAGGTCCACGCCCATGCGCAGCCACAGCCGCAGGCCTCACCTGTCTACCAGACGCCCAACACGCTCTCCCCGCAAGCGGCCGCCCGTGAGCGTGCCCGTGTCACGATCCTTCTGGACATCAACTCAGCTTTGTTGCAAGAGGTCGTAAACTTACAGGCAAGCGGCAAGGCCGGGCCAGCTTCGAACCAGCCCAGCGCTACTGGTTCGCCCTCCTCGCCCCAGGATACTCAAAAGTCTAGCAATGGCCCAGACAGCGCAAAGCCAGCCGCCCCAGCCGGAAAGCCTAGCCAGGAATACGTAGATTGCATGCGTCGGCTTCAGGCAAACCTCGCCTATCTCGCAACTGTGGCAGACCGCGCAAAGAAGACCGGTGCCACGGGTCCACAGACTCCCGCGATCATGACACCACCACCACACCTCCCGTCGGTTAACCAGCTATATGCTTCACTTAACGAGCTCTTTACCAACACCGCTCCAACACCGCAGGCTGGCATCGGTAGCCCACTTACGCCCATGCAGCAACAGCAACAGCAGCAACAACAACTCTATCGACAGCGTCAGGGCCAGATGCAGATGCTCCAACAGCCTGACTTTTCCTACCCCGGCTCTGCTGCTGGGTGAAGGGTAGACCCTCATACCCGTTCCTAACATCATGTCTCAAAAAAGGCGACGTTTTTGTGTTGCATGAGAGCCAGCCACAGGGATACATGCATCAGCTGCCATCTCTTCCCTTATCTTTCTCGCACACATGATCACATACAATCCGGTGAAAGCTCTGTAGAGACCTCCGCGAGGGTCTTTTTTTGAGAGGAACTCGCATAATGCCCGTGGTGGACCATACAGAACAATGCTGATTCACGACGCCAAAGCACGAGAAATACTCTTCCTACCACCGGCTGATACATCATCCTTCTGCCTAGGACCGTTTTGACTGCAGCGTCAACGTGCCATCACGACGATATGTCTGAATCAGAAGCATATGGAGACGAACTCATGCCTTTAACTCCAGTGTCGAATATCTATCAAGAGAGAAATTTATACAAACATGAGAATGAAAACATAATCTTTTCTGCCTTAATCTCATTTCATATTGACCGTCCATCTCTGTATATCTCAGGGATATCGTACTGTATAGTTAATAGTAATATTGGTTGCAGTTGAATAGAATCAAAATTATTTGCGCATCGGATATTTTTTCTTCTTTAAGTTATCACCAGCCAAAATTATTTAGAACTACGATAAAGCTGCGGCCGAAGAGCAAAGGAAGGGCGAACAGCCTCCTAACAGCCCTTGTATGTGACCTCCTTTTTTTTTTTGGTCTCTTTTCTCTCTTCTTCCTCTTTCCTTCTGTTATTTTGTATATCGCCAGGGACAAACCGTCTTATTTGTTTGGCCTGCCTGCTTGCCATCGAACTCGCCGTGAAGAAACAGCTATACCATCAACGCCGGTCAAACATCTATCGTGAAGAAGAAGAAGAAGAAGAAGAAGAGATTCCCTTGCGATATACGCTGGATCTTCACTGCCGCATTTCGACTGCCCTCGCTATGGAGATGAACGGCAGCGCCAAACGCAAGCACTCTGGCAGTGCGATGTCCCTACCGTCCGCCAAACACTTCCGGCCAGATCCCGCTACTCCTGCTATTCCTCCTCCTGAAGACCATCAGGCCTCTGCGGACGTGGCTATGTACGCCTTTGACGAGGCCACAGATCCTGAGGCTGCCGCGAGGGCGATGCTGCCCGTCAGCCAGGTGCAGACAGACTCGGCAGAGTGGCAGGAGACCATCGAGAGGGTCGTACGTTGTGTCGTGTCCATTCACTTCTGTCAGACCGCGTCCTTCGATACGGACTTGTCCATGGCCAGTCAGGCTACGGGGTTTGTTGTCGATGCAAAGAACGGCTATATTCTGACCAACAGGCATGTTGTCTGCGCCGGACCCTTCTGGGGATACTGTATCTTTGATAACCACGAAGAGGTGTGCTTTTTATTTCTTTTCTTCCTCTCCGGGAGCAAACACAGACCGAAGATTTACTAATGACGCTTCTACTTGAATAGTGTGATGTCAAGCCCATATATCGAGACCCAGTCCACGATTTCGGTATCCTCAAGTTCGACCCTGCTGCAATCAAGTATATGCCCTTGACGGAACTGAGGTTACGACCCGACTCGGCAAGAGTAGGCGTGGAAATTAGAGTGGTAGGCAACGATGCCGGAGAGAAACTGAGTATCCTGTCAGGCGTTATCAGTCGACTGGATCGGAACGCGCCAGAGTACGGAGAGGGATACAGTGATTTCAACACAAATTATATCCAGGCAGCTGCTGCAGCCAGCGGTGGAAGTTCCGGCAGTCCAGTCGTTAACATCGACGGCTACGCTATTGCTCTACAGGCTGGTGGACGCGCAGACGGTGCTGCCACAGATTATTTCCTGCCCCTTGACCGTCCCCTTCGTGCCTTGCAATGCATCCAAAACGGGCAGCCAGTCGCTCGCGGCACGATCCAGACTCAGTGGATCATCAAACCCTTTGATGAGTGTCGAAGGCTCGGTCTGTCGCCAGAGTGGGAGGCCGCGGTACGACTAGCGGCGCCCAAGGAAACGGGCATGCTTGTCGCCGAGATTGTACTTCCAGAAGGCCCCGGGGACGGAAAACTCCAGGAAGGCGATGTCTTGATCAAGGTAAACGGGGGCCTCCTCACCCAGTTCGTCAAGCTTGACGCGATCCTTGACTCGTCTATCGGACAGGATGTCTGTTTACTGGTGCAAAGGGGTGGCGAAGATCTAGAGGTGAGATGCAAAGTTCAGGACCTCCATGGCATCACTCCTGCAAGATACGTCAGCGTGGCCGGTGCTATATTCCACGATCTATCATACCAGCAGGCGAGGCTATATTCTATCCCTTGCCGAGGAGTGTACGTCTGCGAGGCTGCTGGTTCCTTCAAGCTGGAAAATGCCTTTTCTGGTTGGATCATTGATTCCGTCGATAAGAGGCCGACAAAGAACTTGGATGAGTTCATTGAAGTCATGAAGACCATACCAGGTACGGCATTCTATCATAACCTGTCACTATTTTATTATCGTTAGCTAACCTGCCTTTATACAGATCGTGCCAGAGTCGTCCTGTCATACAGACACATCCGCGACCTTCACACCAGGGGCACTAGCGTCGTACATATAGATCGTCATTGGCACCCACAGATGCGGCTTGCAGAGAGAAATGATACAACCGGCCTGTGGGACTTCACTGACCTGGCTGATCCCCTTCCCGCAGAGCCACCAGTGCCCAGGAGAGCTGACTTCATCCATCTCAACGGTGTCAAGCATGCTGCTGCCAACGATATCGTCCGCAGCTTTGTGCGTGTATCTTGCACCATGCCTGTCAGGCTCGATGGATTCCCACAAGCCAGAACTCTCGGCTTCGGTCTGGTTATCGACGCTGAAAAGGGGCTGGTCATCATCTCTAGGGCTATAATTCCCTTCGACCTTTGCGATATCAACATCACCGTTGCCGACTCTATCATAGTCAGAGGGAAAGTCGTTTTCATGCACCCGCTTCAGAACTATACAGTCATTCAGTATGATCCCAACTTAGTACAGGCTCCTGTCAAATCCGCCAGATTGAGTACGGAGTACATGCAACAGGGCGCTGGAACTCTGTTCGTTGGCTTTAACCAAAATTTCCGTATTGCTGTGACTGCCACAACAGTCACAGATATCACCACCGTTGCGATCCCCCCAAATGCTTCTGCACCACGATACCGCGCTATAAATCTCGACGCTATCACGGTTGACACTGGGCTCAGCACACAATGCACCAGCGGTGTTCTACTGGGAGAAGACGGTGTCGTAGAGGCTCTTTGGCTCAATTACTTGGGCGAACGGACAGAGGGTTCACACAAAGATGTCGAGTACCATCTCGGTCTAGCCACTCCATCTCTTCTCCCAGTTCTCTCCCAGATCCAGAGCGGCGCCATCCCCAAACTTCGAATCCTCGATATGGAAACATACGTAATTCAGATGAGCCAGGCGCGAGTCATGGGCGTATCTGAAGAATGGATTCGCCAGGTTGCCATTGCCAACCCAGCACGTCACGAACTGTTTATGGTTCGAAAAGTAGACTGTGCCTCTCCATTATCTACAGACTCGAGAACATTGGAAGAAGGGGATGTCATTCTCACGCTGAATGATAAGCTTGTGACCCGCGTTGCGGACTTCGACGCTATGTATGACCAAGAGTCGCTAGACGCTCTCATCGTGCGTAACGGCGAAGAGATGAAGATACAGATCAAGACCGTCCCTACCGAGGACCTTGAGACTGACAGAGCTCTTATTTTTTGCGGAGCTGTCTTGCAAAAACCTCACCATGCAGTCAGACAACAGATTTCTAAACTGCATTCTGACGTATATGTCAGCGCAAGGGTATGCTATGTCCCTAAATTCCTTGCCTTCAACGCAAACTAACCTTACATTATAGAGCCGTGGCTCGCCTGCCTATCAATACGGCCTGGCTCCCACTAACTTTATCACCGCAGTCAATGGTATTAAAACGCCAGACCTCGACTCGTTCATTGAACAGGTCAACACCATTCCTAACAATACGTACTTTCGCCTGCGCGCCGTCACATTCGATAACGTACCCTGGGTTGTGACTATGAAAAAGAACGACCACTATGTAAATCTCTTCCCCCTGAAGGTGTAGAAAGGAAATAAATGCTAATTCAATATATCCGCAGTTCCCCATGTCCGAATACGTCAAGGCCCCTGCATCCCCCTTGGGATGGAAGACAATCAGTCATACACCGGATAGAAAGCGCCGAGATACGTATGATACGGACAATCCTAATGCTGACGCTATGATGGAGGATAGAGACGTGGATGTAGGTGATGTGGAGCCGGAGGGGGGAGAATGAATCCTGTAACATTATTTCGATTCTACAATTGCTTTTATCTTTTTCTCTTCTCTTCTTGGTATTCATTCCTGGTATAATTACTTGCCTGGATAACTGTATTTGGATTGCAATGAGCATAGTGCGTGAGCAATCAAATAAAAATATTGCCTGCAGACCCATTGGATAGTGACCGTTGCCACGAATAAAAATTATCTCCTTCCATGCCATGAGAAGCTGTAAGCCGGGGAACCCGTCAAATTTCTTAATGTAGGTCTAAAACTGTTTCTGTAAAGACAAAAAAACCAATATTCATTTGCCATAAAACCACAAACTCCATGGACAGGCTAATATGTAGACAATATATGTATGCATCAAAATCTAAACTCCATACATTCAAAAAAGCAAAGACAAGTATAGATGAAGCACTGAACTAGAGCAACCCTCTTCCACCAGGTATTAGAAATATAACAAAAAACACAATTACAAAGGAGTACCAGATATTCAAAGAGCCGCCACATCAACACCGGATAAGAATTTTTGTCTCATTTTTGTCTGATCGTGCGTTGATGCCATCCATTATCCCGAAACGAAAAAAATAAACAAGTTCATTTGCAGGAGAGGCAGCTAAAGGGGTTTAGTGAGGGCTAAAAACCCAACCGCCGTTGTTCTTTAGCTTCTCTCTTTCTGCCATATCCCACTTGATCTCATCTTGTGTCAATCCGTCAGGACCATTCCAGTTTGCACTGCTAGTACGATCACGGAACTTTCGTAACCTCTCCTTATTGCCTTTGAATATCTCCTCCATACGCAATGGAGCGGATGGACCAAAGACCATCTCTCCGTCTTGGCTCTCTTGCTGAACAAGAATATTATGGAGGTTTTCTTCCTTAGCCCAGTCTGGGACATGGCATGGCTCTGCATCGGAGTCCTCGTCTTCACTATCTGTAGGAATATCGGGAAGTTTGATGTTTTCGCCATTGGGATAGGCGGGAGAGGATTTAGGTATGGCCTGTTTGTTGACGTGACCTGGCGTTTTGAGATAACCGGTGTTGGATTGGGATATATTAGTAGGTTCGGCAAAAGGGATCTTCCCATTAGCATACTTTGCCATCTCCAGAGGGTGTGCTGGTCGGTTGTTCTGGGCGGGTTGGGGGTGGGCTTGGAACTGTCTCTGGGCTCCCATGGAGTTCTTGAATATTGGTGGACAGCCTTGCATTGAGTTCGCTAGAGGAGCAACGGGTGGGTACTTGGAGACGCTGGGGAAGTTGTTAAGCTTAGAAGCATTGGACTGGCGTATCGGAGGAGCCATAGCTGGTCGAACGGCTGCCGGTTCAGTAGCAACAATTTCTTCCTCAGTCTTTCTCCGCTTCCCATCGGGTTGATGAACACTGCCGGACTTTGTGGCAGGGGGTCGAACCGTGTTTTGTTCATCGTGTAAGCGTTTGGGCGGTTTTGCTGGGTTTGATGGTGGGTAATTATGTGATCGATTTGGAGGTTGAACACTCCCTAGTCTTGAGCCTGGCCTTGCTGGCCCCTGGGACTCACTGAGAATAGAACGTTCACTATGTATAACGGAGCTCTGATGTAGAGTGAGTAAGGGGAAAACAAATAGATTCGGAATAAAAGACATACAGTATCATTTGATGGGGTTTGTTGACGGCCACGCTGCTGCTCCAATCTTTTTGCGTTCTCAAGCCGCCTCTTCTCAATCGCTTGTTTTTTCGCGAGTGTCTTTGGGTCGTCTGTAGCAGAGTGTTCCCGTTCCTGACGCTCACGGCGGGATTTTTCTAGTTGTTCCTGTCGGTTAGCCTCCTCTTGTTGCGCAAGCCTCTTGCGGTCAGCTTCGCGCCGCTGATCCAATTTCCGTTGGGCGTCTCGCTGTTCCTATTACAATCATAAGTATATATGACTCGATAGTGGGGGATCGATGAAATATTTACCTGCTCCTTCTTTCTTTCAGTAGCTAGAACAGTCCTGGATTTCGATGAGGCAGAAGAGGCAGAGCTCTTTAAGCTACCAGAAGATGATGCCGTGGTAAGAAGGGAAGCGCTGCTGGCTTTTTTGGACACGGAAGTCTGTCGAGGAGCTGGTTCACGGGCTGGAGGGGGCACAGGGGTTGCTGACTCTGCCCGTATCCGCTGCGAAGATAGAGTTCCAACACGGATGTTAACAGGCTGAGGTTTCGGTTTGCGCACTTCCCTGATAGCCTTTGCGGTCCTGCGACCTTCATTTTGCGACGTCTGGGCCTGGGATACAGCAGTTGCACTTGTCTTTTGTTCTTCCTCTGAGCTAGGTTCAGGTTCACGACGTACCGGTGCCTTGGGTACCGGGTCTATCCTTTGTGGAGGGATAATTGTTGAAGAATGTTCTGGTACCTCCACCTTATCTAATACCTGGGGTCTGGGGAGTTGCTCTCTAGCTCTTTCAAGTTGCTCTTCCATTTGTTTGCGATCACTGAGTTCTTGCTGTTTTCTTTTGTGTTCCCTTTCTATTGAACCGCGAGTCCGTGGCGCCCTAATTGGGCTGCAGGGAGGATTGGTTTGTGCCTGAGGCTGGTTTTGCCCAAGTGCACTGGTTGTGTTAGAGCAGGCGCTAGCCTGAGTACGCTGTGATGTAGGTGAAAGAGTCTCTAGCTTGGCGGTAGCGGAGACACTTGCGCTGCTACCAAATAAGCCTCTGGCACTTTTCATTAAAGATTGAAGCTTTGATTTCGATGCACTTATTGGGCCATCAAAACGTTTAGGCGAACCAGCTGGGGTGGTTGACTCGCCAGCAGTATCCACAACAGACGGCGCTTTCTGGGTGGAGCCTGCTGTACCTGGTCGCGGGGAGATAGGGAACGAAGGGACGGAAGAAGATTTACTGTGGAAAAACCCTGCCGGTCTGAATGGTTTCGGGCCAGGTGTGCGTCTTTCAGGAGAAGCAGGGTGAGCTAATGGAGCTCTCGAGACAGGACTCGGGGTGTCTCTATATATTTGGGCTTCTGGATGGAATTTATCAGCTGGGAAGGTGAATTGTTCCCGACCTGGATGTGTGCGTTGAGGGGAGGCCTGCAGTCCAGCTGCTGTGACTGTGGGGGCTGGTTCTAGAATAGAGGAGGCATTCTGTGTATTTTCATTTGTGGGAGCGACGGTTGGTGGAGGAAGCTCTGGATATGTGACCTGCTGTGAAGCGAGAGAGGGGGCGGTAGATTTGGTCGAGCGAGGTGCTTGAGACTTTCCGAGCATATTGATCTTCTCATGCAACAGTTGTGTTGAAGATTTATTGGCTCGCTTTGGCGCCTTATTTTCTGCGTCAGAATCATTCTCATTGTCAGCGGATTCGTCGGTTCCCGCCTTATCGTGTGTTTCCAGAAATTTGCTTTTCTCGTTGTCCAAGAGCATTTGTGTCAGCCTGGTGCCGCCTGTTTGTCTTCCGAAGTAGCTAGATTGGCCAACAATGCTCATATTCATCTTGGGGGGGTCAATATGGCTGGTCCGAGACATTCGTCCGCCCATGCTACGTTTGGTTGTAAGCGGCTCTCTTGCTGGAAGGGAAGCAAATGTAAGGCTGCTCTTTCGAATGGGCGCCCGAATGGGGGTTGGACCATCGGATGGTGAGCCTATATCATCGAAATTAGGATCTTCAAGGTCCTCCTTAACTTGAGGCGGCTGTGAGGCTGGTAGTAAGTGGGGGTGAGATTCATTGACACTCTCCTTCTCCACGAGTGTAGCGGCGCCAAGGGGTTGCTGCTTCGGTAAAGCCGTGTTTTTTGGGATATAACGGGGGTACTCAAATTCCATCGGCTCAGCAGTGTTTTCCTTGCTCGGAGCAACTTCTCTTGCAGAGTGAAACGAATCTTCTGTAATACGACGAGTTTCGGGTGAACTCTGACGACCACCATCTACGGGTAGGATGGTTACTTCATCAATAACCTGAGTAGCTGTCTCTACCTCTGTTTGGTGGTCCTGTTCGTTGGTATCTGTTGAGAGCGGCTCTGGCATGCCATGATAGCCGGAATCGGTGTTGTAGTTTGGATTTGAATTCTGGGTGTTTGAAAGAGGTGACCGCAGCTTTTCATTGCTGGTGATGAGCTTTGCGATCTCATGGTTGAATCGATTGGTAGGCACGGGACTCTGTCTTGCATTATGTCCGGACGAGAATATATCACTCAAGGGCTATGGCCCATGTTAGAAACACGCGCTGCGTTTATGTAAAAGCCTAGGGGGTTGTTCGAATGTTATATATAGTAACTTACTACTCGCGCTTCCCGCGGCGTCTTGAGGATCTTTCGCGCTGTCCGGGGTGTCTTTCCTCTCATTTTCCCGGGAGTCTTGAAGAGTTCGGTAACGCTGCTGTTCGACAGATCAGAAGACGAGCAAAAGAAAAGCCCCCCTAGACAAGGGGCAGAAGAACATGTACGGAAGTTGGCCATACAATTGATCGCGAGTGAATATTTCCGCCATATGCTCGTTGAGCCATTCCATCTCATGACGGACGGGAAACTCGACCTCGTCCAGCTCCTGTTGCACTAATTGCATGCAGTTTTCCTTTTCTTCTGCAATCCATTCTTTCGAGCCTACAGGCTTCCGCGCCCTAGCTATCGCACTCGCCATGGTAAAATCCGCAGGTGGTCGATATCAATCAAAACTGGTCGATAATAATGGGGGCGATAACCTAGAACGTTCCAAGGGAGTAAACAAACAACGGTCAGCGCTTCGAGCGTGTCGGGTGCTCAGAGTACTCAAACGTGTAGATGTGCGCAACACTCCATGAAGGCAGACGTCAGCGGCAAAAAAGAGCAGCTCGATTCCTTCGTCTTCTGCCGTTTCGTTCTTAGTTTTTCTTTGCGGGTTTGAAGATATCGAAATCGACGGGTTGTTTTTCCACTCCCGAAAAAGGGAAAGTTGGATCAAAACAAGTTTGGGAAACGCGAACCAGGCTTAGTCATACGGAATATAGTTAATCCATGGAACTATCACGTGGTAGACCGACAAGAAGATACCTACTGTCAGCATTAAGAAGAGAGGCCGTAGAGTGCAGACATCTTATAAAGCGATCTGATCGTCTCTAACGCTTATGCTTTGCTGCGAGGAGCTTGAAATCGTAAAAATATGACAAAAATCGCGTGTTTATAGGAACTGTTTTGATATTTCCTGTTCGGGATAAGTGTCTCGGCCCGATGTTGATCCGTGGAAGTTATGGGGAAAAAAAACATCAACAACGTTAAGAAGGAAGAAGAATAACATCGACATCTTGAACATTTACAACAACAGTCGTTCGTTTTTAACTGCTTGGATGGACATGCGGAGTTGGTCTGTTTGAGCTCGACGTTGCAACAATCCTTGGTTGTTTTATACTCGTAAACCGCCCTCCCTGAACGTCCGCTGCACCACCGCGAGGCGGTTCCGTCGCGATGTCGAGTGAGAGTGAGTTTGATAACGAGGGCTCAGGCTCAGACTTTGCCCCGGTAGGTCTTCAATGAAGCTCCCATCTGTTCCCTGCAAATGCTGATGATGTGCAAACCAGAAGCCAAAGGCAAAGGCTGCCCCGAAGAAAGCAGCGGCTACTTCCAAAGCAAAGGCTGGCACCAAGAAGCTGACTCAAACTACTCTCAAACCCAAGGTTTCATCCAAAGCTGCAATGTCTAGAAAGCCCGCCCGACCTGACTGTGAAGATGAGCTGGACTCCACAATCGAGGAAGAGGCCGATAATTTGGAATCTCTTGGAAGCACTCCCCCGAACGCCTCCAGAAAGACCAAACCTGTGCCGAAAAAGACTGCTTCTAAACCCCTCGCCAATGTAGAGAATGAGTCCTTCATCACTGAGACTGCGGAGGGGGGTGGATCATCGGAAAAATACCAAAAGGTGAGTGCTACCACAGCTGTGTAATATGCTAGCTTGTACTAATCGCGCAGTTCAGATCACCCAATTAGAACACATCCTCAAGCGCCCAGACACCTACATAGGCTCCGTTGAACGAACTGAGAAACAGATGTGGGTTTACAATTCAACCACAGAGTTGATGGAGTACAGAGAGGTCTCCTACGTTCCTGGTTTATATAAGATCTTTGATGAAATCCTGGTCAACGCTGCCGATAATAAGCAGAATGATCCAAATATGAACGAGATCAGGGTTACTCTGGATAAGGAAGGTGGTGAGATAAGTGTTTGGAACAATGGTCGCGGTATTCCGGTGGAGGTTCATTCGGTATATATCCACCTTCTTCTACCTCACTAGCGTATATTGTATAGGAGATGTGCTAACAGCCCTGTAGAAAGAAAAAATCTACATTCCCGAACTTATCTTCGGCCATCTGCTTACCTCTTCAAACTACAACGACCAGCAGGAGAAGGTAACTGGTGGACGAAACGGCTACGGAGCGAAACTCTGTAATATTTTCAGTAACGAATTCACCATCGAAACTGCTGACTCTCGAACAAAGAAGAAGTTCAAGCTCACCTGGACAAACAACATGTCCGCCATGGGCAAACCGAAGATTACAGAATGTAAGGGCGACGATTATACCAAAGTCACATTCAAGCCAGACTTTGCAAAATTCGGCATGGAAGGCATGGATGATGATTTTGAGGCGTTAGTTAAACGGCGAGTGTACGACATGGCCGGTACTTGCGGCACAGCCGTTAAACTAAATGGCACAAAAATTCCTGTCAAATCCTTTAAGAAATACATGGAAATGTACACCAAAGCAATCAAGACAGAGCGAGGAGAGGACCCGACATCTGACAAAAACGATATCATCACAGAAAGCCCAGATCGGCGCTGGGAAATCGGGTTCACTGTTTCGGATGGCTCATTTCAGCAGGTCTCGTTTGTCAATTCCATCGCAACGACCTCTGGTGGAACTCATGTCAACTATATCAGCGACCAGATTTGCAACAAACTTGCCGACGCGTTGAAAAAGAAGAACAAGACCGGAGCAACGCTCAAAGCTGCCCAGATCAAGAACCACATTTTCCTTTTCGTAAATTGCCAGATTGTCAATCCTGCGTTTACATCTCAAACCAAGGAACAGTTGACTACCAGGTCCAGCCAGTTTGGGAGTAAATGTATTGTGTCTGATGAATTTTTGAAGAAGGTCATGAAGACCCGAGTTATGGATGATATCCTCCACTTTGCTGAAAAGAAGGCCGATCAAATTTTGAAAAAGACGGACGGGAACCGTCGCTCCCGTATGAACAACCCAAAGCTTACAGATGCAAACAAAGCTGGTACCAAGGAAGGCCACCATTGTACACTCATTTTGACTGAAGGTGATTCTGCAAAGGGTTTGGCTATGGCTGGCCGAGCTGTTGTAGGCCCTGATCTTTTCGGAGTCTTTCCACTTCGAGGAAAGCTTCTCAATGTTCGAGATGCGTCCGTTGACCAAATCTCTAAGAATGCTGAGATTCAGAACATCAAAAATTTCATTGGTTTGCAGCATAAAAAGGAGTACACGGATACTCGAGGCCTTCGGTACGGTCACTTGATGATTATGACTGACCAAGATCATGATGGTAGTCACATCAAGGGTTTACTAATAAATTATCTTCAAGTTGCTTTTCCTACGCTGTTGAAAATCCCAGGCTTCCTTATCGAATTCATCACTCCTATCGTCAAAGTTTGGAAAGGGGATCCCAAAAACCCAACTCATTCCAAGTCTTTCTTCACTCTTCCAGAATATGAAGAATGGAAGGAAACTCACGCACACGATAAAAAATGGCAAAAGAAGTACTACAAAGGTTTGGGTACCAGTTCGACTGAAGACGCCCAGATTTACTTCCAAGACCTGGATAAGCATCTTAAACAGTTTCACACCCTGCAGGATAAGGAGGCAGAGCTAATTGAACTTGCATTTTCAAAGAAGAAAGCGGATGAACGAAAGGAGTGGCTTCGTCAATTCAAGCCGGGAACGTATCTTGACCATTCAACAGAGCAGATCACATATTCTGATTTTATCAACAAAGAGCTGATTCTTTTCAGCATGGCTGATAACATACGATCTATCCCTTCGGTGATCGATGGTTTGAAGCCCGGCCAACGAAAAGTCCTATATACTATGTTTAAGCGCAATGTGAGAAAAGACATCAAAGTTGTTGAACTTGCTGGTTATGTCTCTGGTATGACGGCCTACCAGCATGGTGATAACTCCCTTCACACAACTATCGTCGGCCTTGCTCAAACCTTTGTCGGCTCAAACAACATCAACTGCTTAGAGCCCAGCGGCAATTTTGGAAGTCGTCTCCAGGGAGGATCTGACAGTGCCAGTGCTCGTTATATTTACACTCGTCTTTCACCTTTTGCAAGGCGTTTGTTTCACCCAGCTGACGAGCCGTTGCTGGTAAATAACACCGATGATGGTAAAGTGATTGAACCGGAAACCTACGTGCCCGTTGTCCCACTTATTCTTATCAACGGTGCCGATGGGATTGGTACTGGTTGGAGTACCTCGATCCCAAATTATAATCCAGAAGATGTTGTCGCCAATCTGAAGCGCTTGATGGCAGGCGAGGAGCTGGTCCCCATGAAGCCCTGGTTCCGCGGGTTCAAAGGGGAGGTTACTGGGTCTGGGGATCGCTATAAATTTAGTGGAATCATAAAACAAACAGGAGATAATGAGGTGGAAATTACGGAACTTCCTATTCGTACCTGGACTCAGGACTTCAAGGACAGGCTCGAGGAAATCATTAAAGCTGACAAAGTTCCCTCATTTATCAAAGATTACAAGGACTACAACACTCACACCAATGTTCATTTCATTATTCAGATGGATGAAAAGCATATGAAAAAGGCCCTTGAGGAAGGCCTTGAGGAGAAGTTCAAGCTCATTAAACCTATCGCAACCTCAAATATGGTCGCCTTTGATGCTGAAGGCCGCATTACTCGCTACGAGACCCCCGAGGATATTCTACAAGCGTTTTACGCTGTCCGTATCAAGCTATATGAGCGACGGAAGGTATGCATATCAGATACAAAATTTCCCCAAGCTATATGTTCTAATAAGAGTTACAGCAACATCTACTTTCACAACTTCAATCCCAGCTTGATAAGCTAAGTAACCAAGCTCGCTTCGTTCAAATGATTATCGATGGGAAATTGGTGATCTCAAAAAAGAAAAAGACCATCCTTATCCAGGAATTGAAGGACAAAGCATTTAAACCATTCCCGAAAGTGGCTGATACCGCCAAATCGGACGAAGTCGACGATGAAGAAGGGGAAGAGGATGAGGAAGAAGAGGGAAATTCGGACGCCGTCCTCTCTTCTGATGCGTATGACTATTTGTTGAGTGTAAGTGACATAGCCTTATCTTAAACTACGATTTGAATCTAATATTCGACATCCCAGATGCCTTTGTGGTCTCTTACTCAAGAACGCGTAGAGAAACTGCGGCGCCAGATCGGAGATAAGGAAATGGAAGTTGATGCATTGATTAAACTGTCAAAGGAGGACATATGGAGGAAGGATCTTGACGATTTTATTGCCGAATGGAGATTCCAACTTGAGGATGAAGAAAACCGCCGCAAGAAAATTGCTGGGCGCGGTAGACGGTTGTCGGCAAAGGTCAAAACTGGCAGTCGAGTGACCGTGGCCAAAAAACGCAAGGCGAATTCAGGTGATGACAGTGATTTTGACGCCCCCAAGGGGAAGAAGGCAACTGTCAATCGTGTCCAACCCAAGGGTGGGCTTCTTGACTACCTCGGTAAACCGAAGCCCAAGGCAAAGATCAAATCCAATGTTGATGGGGCGGATGATTCTGATGAATTTGAGGTTGAAGTTATGCCAAAACCAAAATCTCGAGGCACTACTAAGGCAGCTAAACCTGTGTCTGTAGTCAATGATCTGAGCGATGCGGACTTTATGGATATTGATTCTATGGGGAAGGAGAAGTCTAAGCCAAAGGCAACCTCGTCTACAGAAAAACCAACGGTTGTCAACGATGATTCGGATATCGAGATGGTTTCCAAGCCCACCACACAGCGAAGCGCTCGAGTCAAACAACAGCCAAAGAAATATCATGGTTTCAGCACCTCGGAGGACGAGGAGACTGATGATTTTGATGTCAGTGCTATGGTTAAAGGGATAGATAAGACAAAGGCAAAACCCGCCTCTGATAGCCGGACCCTCTTTTCCGAACCTTCTCGTCCGGCTGGCGAAAGTACAAAACTCGCTACCAAACCAGCCAAGGATACCCATGAGTTCGATGCAGATGAAACCAACTATTCGAAGCTTATCCCCCAGAACTCACCAAGACGGTCCCTGCTCGTGAAGCCGAAAGAGAACAAGGTGTTCTCTGACGTGGAAGATAATATCGAAGAGGATCCCAAACCCGCTTCTAAGCTGCCAAACAAGGCTAAGCCTACAGCCTCTAAATCATCCGCGAAGCCTGCTGCAAAGGCTTCAACGGCTTCTGCCCGAGGGCGACCAAAGAAGCCAACTGCCGCAGCGCCTATAGCAGATAGGAAAACACTACAGCTGTCGCCTGCGGCGAAGGCGTACGCTTCTAAAAAAGCCAAAACCAAAAAGCTAGTGGATGATATGTCTGACGACGACATAGATGCCATGGCCAATGATATACTCGACTCAGAGCCTGAGAAAGCTGCAAATCCATCCTCTACTAGGGCACGGCCTTCACGTCGTGCAGCTACAACCGCGAAAAAGCCAGTATATACCGTCGATGATGATGACAGTAGTGAAGAAATTGGGGACGCAGCAGTTTCTAGTGGCGATTTTTCGGACTAACCGGTCTGTATTCTAGCGGGTATGGATTACGGATTTGATGGAATATTATTGATTTCACTCCGTGAAGGGAAAGGAGGCGGTCTCCGGCAGGTGTTTGGGATGGGGTTTGGTTCAGTTCTTCTGCATCTTTTTCTGCACAGTTGTATGAATACATTATACATTTGATAAACAATATTCTACATTCAGCTGCTAACCATTTTGCCATATCGTATTAATGAATGGCTCCTGTCTACGGAGTACATATTTCTATGTTCGTGTCTATCAGCCCCCACGCCGATTGTCTTTCTGGTTGCGAGGCCTCGCGCGACCAGGCGCAAGATATTGTAACTGTTATCCGTTTATATGTACGACAGCTTCTTGTAATACGACATTTACTCGGGAGCAAGCTACAAGCCCCTTCAGCGGCCTAATTGGGAGTATAACAGACTATCAAACAGATCTAGAACGGCGATCATATTATTTTTTACTTCTTTTTGAAACTTCTTCGCCGACGGGAGTTTAAATTAAAGGGCCATGGTTTGTGGTAGTGGAAGATGAAGCCGTCAAGCCGGTGGTTGTATTACAGTTGAATCTTCCTTTCTCTTTTTCTTTTTGGCGCTAACTTGACAACTTGTCAACTTCCAACCCTCACTCGAAGATATATCCCACTGCAAAGGTTAACAACTACATGATCTTGACGGTATTAACGACTTCTTATAGGCTGAATACGTTGTTGATAGTTGAAATAACCGACCATTTGTCTGTCTGAACGAAAAAAAAAGGTACAAGGCGATAATGGAAAGCCTCCTCGCTCCAGTGTCTACCAATCCGTTGAGCTCCTGGAGACGGAAAGACGGGTATAAGGCCTTTTATTCTGTCCTTTTCTACAAATTGGCTGTTGTTTCACATCTAGAGACTGTGTAAGAAGGTAAGCTATTTTGCACAAATGCTAGAACTGGAAGAATTGCTAATTCCCAGTATCCCCCCAGTTTTGCCAGCACCGCTTAAGGAGCTCTTTAGGTGTTCAAAACAATGTTTTGACAAGCATGAGACAGCTTCTGGCTACCTTTCCCCAATTTTCTAATAAGCAGCTAATGTTAAGCTGGGGTTTCTGTCGAGTGTCCTAGAGTTGCACAGCTCATCAAGAAGCATCGCTGCGCTGCGTATAGCGTGATTTCTGTTATAACTGATCCCTGGCTCCTATATTTCGCCATTACTAGCCATCCAACTTATATGGAACATCAAAGGACACAATTCATCATGGTCTCACTTCATTCTGGACATGTGTCTTCCTGGATTGTCCGACTGGGTCCGCCATGTTTGCCCTTTGCAACTGCCCTGCTTATCCATTTTTGATCTGGTTGAGTCGAAACTGTGGGGGTAGAAAGGCATCTACCCGTCACACGAGCTTTCAAGGTATGCGGCTTTCCACCACACGCCCACGGATCAGGAAACCGTTGTTTTTCTTTCTATCTTGGCTAGATCAAGTTGTAGCCGGGATCAAAACCTGCTATACATGCCGTCTACTGACATTGCCTCTGCTTGTGACCCACTTTTTAACTACTGGTTGGAGGGCTCTAGCTTTAATAGCAGTATCTTTAATGCATGGCTAGTTCAATAGAAGACCAAAGCGAAAATCGGATACTGGTCAACAATGGGACTAGGGAAACAGAAACATACTCTTAGCTCATCACCTGAGCCAAAGCATCTTGAATCCCAACTATTCATTGAGATTGGAGAAAATCTAAGAGACGGAATACAGCTATGGCTCTGTTTTGTCACACGCGAATGGAACTAAGGGTGCCAAAAATGAAAAAAAAAAAAGGCTTCGGAGTGTAAAAGCTTCGTCTCCAGGGATGAATGAACCAGCAGCAAAAAGGCAGAAGACCAACATATACCCAAATGTAAGAACGTTAAATGAGCCGCTGCCTAAGTAACGCCTTATTTCAAAATGCCCAAGGAACTTGTGTTGCCCGCCTATCCATCTTCGGGTATCTGCATATATTGACTGAAACGCCACTCTTCTCGATTGAGCACATCCTTCCGCTGCCTAGAGAGAAATGGAAGAGCTTTCAATACTCCGAACAGATTATACCCTTGCATTTCTACTTTCTTTACATCACACTACTTTAGAGAGTACTTTATGTACGTCACGACGCATACACAACCTCTCCCTTTCCGATAAAATTAAGGAAGAAAACATCCCATCGGAACAATGTCGCAGATTCCCTTATCTCGGGATCAAATAGAAGGTACCTGCAAAAAAGATTTCCAGCTAGCAGCTCTCAGGGTTGTCTAGCTGATAGAATGTGTCCGATCTTGCAAAATAGTTGTTGATGCTTTCTTTGCATTCAACAGAGCCAAACAATAATATTTGCTCCCTTAGTGAGACCTGCTCCGGCCTGACTCCACAGCCTCCCATTTCACGCTCGCTCTTCACCGCTTGCTCAGATGTGGTAGGCTGCCTCGATGCGAAGTATCAAGTATGAGTGGTTCCTTGCACGATACAAACAAACAGTTACATTAGGCCCATAAGTTTCCATAGTACCTAATGGGCGTTGCTCTCTTAGAGCAACTGAACTGTTCTTACAAAGATATCAGCTTAGAGACCTCTGGAGAAACAAAAAGATAATTCTGAAAAGAAATATTTCTGCTGGTATCATTTTGCGTCCCTCATACTAAGTCCATATTCCCTACTGCCAATAACCGCAATGCCTTTTTTTTGCTAGATGCAATGTCCTGCATCAGGCCTAAGCCTTCCTTTCCCTTCACAACACCAGAATCTCTTTCAACTTCTACTCTCTTTCTTTATTATTCAAACCTGTCTCAAGCCTATTCCCCCATTATCAGCTACTGTTGATTGCTGAAGCTAGATTTTGGGAGAGATATCCTATTGCCATTTCCCTTCCTTGTTTGTCAACTATATTTTTGTCGAAACTGCGCCATCTGTTGTGACACTTCCTCAACTTCTCCGCCTTGTACAATTCCACGGTTGAATCGATTTTGATCTCAGACAACGGCCCATCCTCCAGGTAGCTATACCCTGGGAGATCCACGATGACATCCATCGCCTCGCTTCTTAACCCGGAACCTGAGCCTACCCAAAAGAACCATCAACCCCTGGTACCATCCGCTGATCAAAACGAAAGAGTCTGTCTGTCCCCTCCGCTGAGGCAAAAAAAGCAAAAAATCTCTAAAGATGCGGCCATATTCACTAGAGGACAGGTAAGGGGTCCGCTCAATTACCCTCCTTGTGAATATCAGGACGAAAAATTGGCCGAAGCGCACAGAATGTTTGAAATTCATCCAATGGGGCACATTACAGAGTTTCCCCGGCATATACCATACAACAGTGAGAAGAAGTCTTTTTTGGAAAAGACAGGGAGGGAAAGCTTTGAAGGTGAGAATTTCAAAATAAGGTGAGTGCTGAAAATTATGGTGAAGGCTAACGGAATCGATAGTATTCCAATATGAGTTCAAACTTCCAGGGGATGATAAAGTGTACACCGTAATGTGGGACTACAATATTGGTTTGGTTCGGACAACTTCGCTTTTTCGTTGCAATAACTACTCAAAGGTAAGCTTCCTCTTAGTTACTTTCTAAATTTGATACTTATTGGGTTGCAAATACGCTTCCTCAGACCGCACCGGCGAAAATGTTGAACGCCAATCCTGGCCTCAGAGAAATCTGTCACAGCATAACCGGGGGAGCTTTGGCAGCACAAGGTAGGCTACTCTGTTGTCAAAATCCAATTTGGCTTGCTAATGATTCGTTCGTAGGGTATTGGATGCCATTTGACGCAGCCAAGGCTGTTGCAGCTACCTTTTGCTGGAAGATACGGTATGCCCTCACTCCCTTATTTGGGGTGGGCTTTCTTTCAGAGTGTATTCCACCAAGTGACGAGATGTTCGGGCGAATGATTATTAATCCCACCATTATACGGTCCGCAACCATTACAGCACACGAGTACCGCAAAATCGAACTTGACAAGGCTCCCTCTAGCCGCCTTTCTGGCTCTAACATCCCTTATTTTCCCCTAAAATCTAGGACCGATCAACACATCAAAAGATTGCGGCACAAATCCCACAGTAGCACTCCAGATGACGAGGACGACGGCAGATTTCATCAGCACAGGGCTCTATTTTATTATCACTACCAAGCGTACTCGCCCTCCTCGTTACCACATAGCGGGTGGACACCAGCTAACACACCACGGACCTCTCAGCCCTTTAGACGACCTATTGCTAAAGAAAAGGGTATAATTCTTCCCTCTCCAAAAGATATCATTGATTCGTTTTCTCGAATGAACAACGATTCAACTACAATTCGTTCTGATGGATTAAGCCGAGTTTTTGATGATGTTGAAGATGATAATGACGATGACGAAGGTACTGGTGAATCGGTGTCCGAAGATGACGAGGAAAACGGACGCACCGTCCAACAGTCCAAGTTGGATCGTAGCTCTGAATTCGAAACTGAAGAGAAAGCAGGTGCACAAATGATACCTGATCGCTGTTCCCCACAGTGCCCGCCTCGCCAGTTACTGGAGTGCAAAGAATCCATGATCGAGAATGACACCAGCCGTCCATACACCAAGGGATCAATTCCGACGTCTGAACCAGTAGAAGACGAGTCGAAGAAGAGGAAAATGGAAGAGAATCATGAAACAGAGGCTGAGCCAAAGCCGGAAGGCCGGCAGTCTCCCCTACCGTTGACAAATGACGCCAGGGCAGCGTACATGTTGATGAAATTGCACATGCAGGAAGCAAGTAACCATAACGCTGCGGTCGCGGATGAGAATCCGATGAGGAAGAGGAGACGTGCATCAACATAGAAAAGGCGCGGTTTAATACCTTGGACTTGCATTGGGGGGTAAACTCTTCTTTCTCGGGTTTGGGTTCTTCCCCTTCTGTAATTATTCCCTTTCTTTTCTTACAGGGCCTTGCCTCATGCATCGTTATCGGATGCTTCAAATTTAAGTTGCGAGAAAAGCAGGAAGGGAAATGGCAGGATTTTTTTTTTCCTTTTAACTATAGTTTAGAAGTACTTCTCTCTCGAGTTTCCTAGTTGATAAATAGCCCATTAATTTCCATCTCCAGCATAAACAAGAATACTCTCCTCATTAGACACTGCGCCTGGGAAGATCTATTTGCATGATTATCTTTAATTTGTACACGCATACCTTCAACAATATATTCTATGTCGGGAGTATCAGTAATTTACCTAAGCAGAAAAGATGGTTATCCAGGGAGTAACGAGATTTCCGATTCATTAACCCGTGTGCTTTTGACTAACTATACTCATTAAGAAGTTGGGTAAGAAAAAGTTGAAAATGGGTTGGTACAAGAAGTAGAATATAAGAAAAAGGAAGAAAGAATGAGGACAGAATAAGAATTCAGTTTTGACAAACATGCAGATGAATAGGATCAAAATCAAATGGAAGAAAAAGAGCAATTCAGGAAAGGAACGGAATGGGTGGAAAGCAAATACTTAAACATTCGATAACACGAAGGCCAGTAAGGTAGTATTTTACGACAATAAGAGAATTAAAAAGTCGGTAGTGGATGGAGTCGGCCGCTCGAGTTGATATGAAATCCAAGGGGTAGGAGTAACCTGTGGATGCAAATGCAAATTGTGTTAAAGCAAAAAAAAGGAAATAATAGAAGAATGTAAGGGAGAGTCTTTTTTCCAGCAGCATGGTTGATATGGCTAGGCAAGGGATAAAACTGTCTTTGTTGACGGTGTGTCGCTCAGGCACAGCCTATTGAGAAACAGGGAAGAGTTGATTGTTTTAAGAGATATGGACCAATTCTGGTGCCTTGCCTGCCTCTTTGACTTCGCCAACGGGCTCGTCCGCTGGGGCGTCAGGAAAGTCTGCATGGACAACTTGTTGCAGGCCAGGGAGTCCGTTGAGTTCTTTGGCTTGTAGAACATCTGGGAGAGTGCTAGCTTCCGCGGTAGGTTCGTGAGTATCTTCCTGAACGGTTTCCCGGACCGATTCTTGAACGGATTCTTGTGCAGGTTCAGGTTCCTGGGTAGGTTTCTCGGTAGCCTCAGAGATTGCCTTAGGTGCGGCCTCAGGCGCAGTGATAGCTGCTGCAGGAGTACTAGTGGATCCGATATATCCATTGGCTTTAGCTCGATAATCACCTACATATTGTTTGACAATGTCGGTGGCCTGTGCAGTTTGAGTTTCAGCCATCTCTTTCACATGGGAAGCTTGAGTGGCGACAATTTCTTGGGCGCTTCCAAGCTGGCTATCGATGAGTTCCTTGTTGGTGATGTAGACTAGCGGGGCCAAATAGGCAACACAGGTAGCAATTAAGGCCAAACCCCATAGGGGCAAGAACATTACCAGCCAGTACGAAGTCAAGGCTGTAACAAATGCCTATAGGCATGTTAGATTGGGCGGGTGGTGGACAGACGGTTTGAGCGAGGGCACCTACCAAAACGGTGTAAGAAAGGTTCTCAACGAAGAGGATGCGCTGAAACTCGATGAGAAAGAAGTCCACTAGGCTCTCAAGGTCTTCCAAGAAGCTTTCGACGGTGTCCTTGGGGATGGTATAGTACTTGCGGGGACGCGAAGAGCTGGTCAGCCCACGGGAGAAAAGGAGACGGCCGCCAACTTCAGCAGAAGCAGTTACTATATTCCAGTTAGGTTCGACCATACAGCCACTTCATCCATTCCAAGACTTCCAATGTGTAAGAAGACAAGCGTACCTCCCAGGGAGAGATAGAGAAACTTCAATGCCCAGCGTATGAGGGGCAGATAGCGGCTCGCAACTATGAAGAGGACAACGGTAGCAAAGGAGCTAGCTGTTGCGCTGGGCCTTTCCCACTAAAAGAAAAAGAGATTGTGAATAACTGAAGCTGCAGGTATTCCGGGTGTCATTTAACAGGAGCAGGGGGGAGTGGTTCTCACGCTCAAGAGACTGTATAACTTTGAATGGTAATCTGCGGAAACGGCGCTGTTTAGCTGTGTAGGCCTAGAAAGGGGCTTGCGGCAGGATATAGATGGAACGTACGGGTCAAAGGCTGGGAAACTTGCGGGAGGGAGGAAGGGGAGGAAGAGGAGCCATTGGCAACAGGTTTGGTCATTCCTATATCCGATTTCTAGTGAAGAAGCGTATAGATCATTAGCAAGTTCGTCTTCGACCTTCCAAGGGGGTTGTGAGCCATACCAACTTGTCAGAAACACGGCTCCATCACAAGATCAGGTCAACGAAATCCTGTCATCCACGTATGAGAACTCCAAGGCCATTTGCAGTACTGATAATCTGAGGATCACGACAAGCAAACTAGACAGTCATAAAAAAGGAGCTCCAAAATCAGCCCAAATGCAGGGGATGGAGGATTGTGGGAAAGCTCCGGAAGAGGGCCTTACCTTACTCATTTCGCCACAGCTTGACCTGATGTTATCCTTGCATCCAGTGAGAGAGACACAGGAAGATCTAGACGGCGTCTGGAGGAAAAAAGACACGGGGAATAAGAAGGGGGTTATTTTTTACCTGGCTGTGGGTGGTCGCGAGCCCCGTTGGTGGCCATGTTTTCTATAGATGTAGGTCGACGACCTGCTCTTCGAGCTCTGGCTTCTCCAGTTCAGGGCTTCTGGTAAACAGTTATGCTAGCCAGAGGTCACAAGGGATTCTCGATGGACGAAGCAGGAGTTCTGGTCCGTTTGATCGTTTGGTTGTGTATGTGAGTGTTATTCCAATGTAGAAAAGAAAAGGAAAAAAAAAAAAGGTCGATGTTTCGGAAAAACATGTGATGTAATAACTAACTTGTTAACTTGTCTGCTTTTTCTTCCAACTTCTACAGCTTACAGTCTCGACTTTGGACAAGTAATAAGGACGATAGCGATGCAGAGACTGCTTACTCGATGCTTCTTCAGCTTCAGCTGCTTCGTGCTATTCTTGTGGTTGCTGCCTGATGGGCTCTTCTGCTCGCGTGCATCGAAAAAAGACTCTCTTCATATAACTACAACTAACCTGATCCCAGCAAGCCGACTCGCAGGAAAAACAGGGATTCTCTGGCGATAAACTAGTTAAAATATGAAATAACGTCACTGGGCGAGGCCGTTGGGCATCAAACAAGACGGAGATGAAACTGTTGAAGATGGGATGGAAGACATAGAATAGCAGCAATAGCGAGGATGAAGCACACACTCCCTTTGGACCGAAGAAGTTGGATAACTTAACTATTTCGGCTTTATAGTCTCTACAGCATTTACTCAGCGAGAGAGAGACCTTGGCTACTGGAAGCAAGGGATCTTGACTGGTGTGAAAGACTGCATGGATGCTCTATGGCTTTCTTCAGGAGGTTTTTTGATCGGCCCCCCCCCTGAGGGCAGAGACGTATATAGAGTACTTCTAATAGCTTCGAGGCAGGCCGAGTGCCTTTTCACTGACGAAATTCATGATCATCTCCTGTTCAAGGATGGGATTCTAGTCAGGTTTGCTCTTTACTGGCCCTGGGAGAGGCGGGAAGAGGCAGACAGAGACTTACACGGCTGATAGGCGCTATCCGAGGGACAAAACACTCTCGCATATAGCGCTCGACATGATACTCCTGGGCGTATCCCATTCCTCCAAGGGTGAGGACCTGTTATGTCGTGGGGTCAGACGTCTTTTCACTGAGATTGTCAACTTGCTTTCCACGCCGGGAGATGACTTACAGCTCTCTCACAGGCGGCAAACGCTGCTTCGGCTGCGAGATATTTGGCCGAGTTGCAGGCTACGCCCACCGACTGCTGAGTGATAGAGGAGTCGGTTCTGCTGGCATCATAGAGCTTGGTAGCATGGTATGTCGCCAGCTTTGCGGCTTCGAGGTTCATGTATGCTGCGGCAAGCGGGTGAGCGATCCCCTGGTTCTGACCGATGGGACGGCCAAAGACCACTCGCTCTTTGGCATATCTGGCGGCTTTCTCTAGGCTAATATATCCCAGGCCGAGTGCTTCGCCGGCGAGCAAGCATCGCTCTGCGTTCATACCATGAAGGACCTGCACGTATAAGAGTTCAGGAGGCCCTATCTACAGTTGTGAGCAGCGCCAGGGTTGGCCACTTACGATCTTGAATCCCTCACCTTCTTTTCCGATTAGGCTGTTTGCTGGTATTCTGTAACCGTCAAAGAAGACTTCGTTGGCATCCACGCTGCGGCCCCCCATCTTTCTGATCTTCCGTAGGTCCAGGCCGGGTGCGGCCTTGTCAAAGTCGATGAAGAAGAGGGAGAGGCCCTCTGAAGGCTTCTTCACTTCTTCAACAGGCGTGGTTCGAGCCAGGAGAATCATCTTTTGGGCAACCTGGGCTGATGATATCCAACTATAACGAACGATCAGCCATAGCTTCCACGGGTGCTCGCTTCACCAAGGACTTGCATCTTCTGGCCAGAGACTCGATACGAATCACCATCCTTTACCGCTACCGTCCGAAGCTTCAATGTGTCCAGTCCTGTATTCGGTTCCGTGCTACGACCTGATTAGCGCCTTGAATCCAGCCATAATCGAATCAAAAAGAGGTCGACGTACACTCCGAAACAAGTCCTCCACTCTCCGGCAATAAGTCGGGGCAACATCCTCTTCCGCTGTTCCTCGGATGCGAACCTGGCAACGGGCTACGTATGTTTTATAACGAGCAGTCATTACCAGATGTCTTTCTTTTTTTTTTTAATAAGCCCTCTCCCAACTCACCTGTGTAGCATAGACGTTTGCATGGATAGATTGAGCACCTGCAAGTCCAGCTCCGCTCCTATCGTGTTGTTCGATGTCAGCACTCTTCAGCAGAAGAAGAAGAAAGAGCAAGGTGTGAACGTACTGGGCAATGGTGTGCAGCATCATGGTAGCCTCAGAGATGCCCAAGCCAGCACCTCCCAGCTCCTCCGGCAAGGCGATGCCTATCCATCCGTCTTTTGATAGGGCGGCATGTAGCTCGTGCGGGTATTCCTCTGTCCGGTCATGCTCAGCCCAGTATTCCTGTTCATGAAAGCTCCTTAATGCTATGTACGTTGACGATATGTTGGACGAGACATTAAACTAAGGGTGGCGCCATACTTCTGGAAAGGCAGAACAGATCTTGTTGATCGACTCGCGAACCATCAGCTGCTCAGGTGAAAAGCAGCTCAGGTCCATGATCTGACTGGGCCGTGAGACCGAGAACGGGCGTCTCTGGCTCGGCCATGGCCATGTCCTGTTCGAATAGCGCAGCCATCGCTTGCTGGCCCAGGATAGCGCCCGCAATCCCACCGCCATAGCTTGCCACTCTCTCGCCACAGCGGGCTATCAAAGCCAAGATGAGGTATCCCTCCCTGGTCCAGTTAGTTATATACGAACGGCTCCCGGCAATAGGAGGTGGGAGGTTGTTGGTCCCAGGATAATCCGCTCGATAGGCAAAAGGACGGCACAACGGCGATACAAGGCTGCACCAGATAGTGAGAGGAACCAGAGGACTAAGGAGCGTCTACCAGTCCTGGGGGAGATATACAGAGCATTCAACCAGTTTACTCTTTACCGTGAGCTAGTTATCCCGAGGCTATTCTAGTTCCCCATGCATGACTACGGGGAAATGTTGACGCGGGTATCAAGGCTGGCACCTCTGAGCCTCACCGAGAGCCAACAAGCCACTCAAGTGTAGTTAACTATCTAGTCGAAGGCTTTCGTCTGATGTCCTAATATTAATCTTAACATTAGTACGGAGTAGGATGGTCGAGCTATCAAAACAAGGGGTCCCCCTGAAGGCATCTTCACCTGCCACCACCACCAACAGCGGCAGCAACAGCAACAGCAACAACAACCGATATATATCACCCTCTAATCCTCGCCTTTACGTCTCTTCTCCTCTCTTCTTCTACTCTTTTACTCTATTATCTCTTCCCCTGCCTCTTCTTTCTCTGCCTCCAGCGCGGCCCCCTGACTCCACGTGACCGGTGGCGTCTTAGTCAGCATGGCGAGCCCCTTATCGACATAAAAAAGTATCGAGAAGGAGGAGGAAGAGGAAGAAGAGATGATTTGATATATTTCTTTTCACATTCGTTCCCACGCTCATTTACACACGCTCGTCGGGCTGAAGCTGCCGCTGGTTACGGCTGGCATCCTCTCACTTGAAGGCTACTGTTGCGTAGCTCCCATGGCAACATACCGGACCGTTAACGCAACGGTTTCTATATAGTTAAAACGGCTGCTCCCGAACTCGACGGCGGTACATTCGTTTTCTAGCAACAACAGGCAGCATAAAAAGGAAATAAAGAAAAGGATGGCGGAGAACCGGTCAGAGAAGCCCTGGGGATCGGTTGAGACGGAGGAATCTCATCCATCTACCTCGCCGGACCCCTTGCCAGTCTCGCAGAATGACGAGGAACGTGACCCTCTGCCGACAGACTCGATGGTGACAGTTCCGCTCTCAGATATACATACGGGGTCTAGGATATCTGGTGAAGGGCCTGCGCTGTCGGATGCCGCATACTGCCCTGACAGCATCAGTACTGTTGGTCTTGGGCTGGAAAGCCCGGGTGCACCACAGGATGACGGGGAGGCACATGTTGAAGATGATGAGCCTGCGTCAGAGCCACAGGATGAAGCGATCCCCCCCAGGGCTCCGCCAATTTTATCTTTAGGCGAAGCTCGAAGCATCGCCGGTAGCCAGAAGTCAGATACGGACGACAGTCGAAGTGTTGACTGGGCCGGTCTAGAGGAGACAGAAGTTAACGAGTCAAAGGCATCGGGGGACGACGTGGTGAGTCGTTTTACTTAAGGAGAGCTCGATAAAATTAGGAGCCGTTTAAAAAAAAATAGTGCAATTATCCTTTGCTTACCAGGAAAACGATAGTCAACGACGTTGCTGTTGGCACGACTAGAGCAGGAAAACAATGCTCTGGCAACCGACCCTAAGTCAGCATCCGCGAAGAAGGCATCAATCCGCAGTTCAAGGCCTCCCTCGATCCAGCAGCTCAAGGATCTTGTCAATGATCCTCGTTCTTCACTCCGGTACTCCCAGCTGCCAGCTCCCCAAATGACCGAACTGGAGTTCTGGGCTGCTCTAGTTGCCGATTATCCTCGCACCGCCCAACGGCTCCCTACTCTTACCTCGCACAAGATTCGAGGAGGAGTGCCACCTCCGCTTAGAGGTGTCGTATGGCCTAGCATTGCTGGGGCTCGCGATTCTCACCTCCACGACGAATTCGAGAAGCTGTGCGGCGAGACAAGCCCATACGAGGGTCTTATTGGCAAGGATATCGGAAGAAGCTTCCCCAACGTAGAGATGTTCCGAGATCCGCTTGGGGAGGGCCAGCAGATGCTAGGCAGAGTTCTCAAGTGCTTTAGTCTCTATGATAGCAAAATTGGGTACTGTCAGGGTCTTGGTTTTGTAGTTGGCCCCTTGCTAATGCATATGAATGAAGCCGAGGCATTTTGTGTCCTTGTCAGGTTCGTCTTCAGCCTCTACCCAGTCGGAAATTGATCTGTACTAATGTTTCCTGTTTGTTGTTAACAATACAGGCTTATGGACCACTATGACCTGCGATCGTGTTTCCTGCCAACTTTATCCGGCCTCCACCTCCGTATTTACCAATTTCAGGCGTTACTCTCCCAACATGCACCAGAGCTATATGCTCATCTTGATGCGCTCAAAATAGAACCGGTCTATGTGTCACAATGGTTCTTGTCCTTCTTTGCTGTCACTTGCCCCCTTCCGATGCTTCTTCGAATATATGATGTTCTTCTACTTGAAGGAGCCTGCGAGACTTTGATGCGTGTTGCCCTGTCCCTTATGCAGCGCAACCAGCATAGGATCATGGCGTGCACCGAATTTGAAGATGCCATGCAACTATTGTTATCTAGAAGCTTATGGGATCCGTACGCACCTCCCTACTCCTTCAACTTTGGATAGACTGTTCTCAATGCTCACTTACTATACCTCCTCTCAGATACGCATGCAATGCCGATGATCTTGTTACGGACTTTGTGTCACTCACGTCTTTGGTGACACATGAAAGCCTTCACGCTCTGGAGGTGAAGTATCAGGAGGCTCAAGGCACTGCACAAAGCGTGTCACTGCCTCAACTTCAAGCCATTGCTTCACGATTCCTAGGTAGACTTTGGGCAGGATCTAGTTCACATAGCTCGGTGAAATCTGTTACCCATAGCCCCAGCGTTTCGACTCCAGCATCGAGTCCGTCCATAGGCGTTACTCGAACTCCGTCGAAGCAGAGCATGGCTTCAACTCTCAACTCCTTGGAGTCATCAGTATCAGATGCTAGTACTGCACCAACCGAGGCGTCTGCCTCCTCGAGCCCGAACATCGATCATGCAACGCCAAAACAAAAGCCGCAGCGCCTACAGACCAGTGACAAGGACTTACATTCACAGATAGAGGATCTCCTCATCGCCCTTACTGACATGCAACGGGAGCAAGCGGCTCTCGCAAAGCAGCTGCAGCAAGAAAGAGAGGAGCGCGAGGAAGACCAACTAGTAGCAGCTCAATTGCTCTCTCATATCAAAGAGTCACCAACAGAACGGCCGGATGCTGAGCTTATTCTTAAGGCGGAAGAACGGTTCTCGTCACCGGAGCCGCGACGCATGTCTATGTTGCAAACCAAACAACAGCTTCTTGATGACGTTGAAATGTGGAAGAGCAAATATGAACTCGAGTCTACGAGGTGTCAGGACATGGGCCGAACCATTGATGAGCACGAGCAGCAGAATTCCCAACTTAAAGATCAGCTCAAGGAGGCTCGGAGCAGGGTGCAAGACGCTCATAGAGAAAAGCAGCGGCTTGAACGTACAATACAGGAACTACGGTCGAAGAAACCCCCTCTGTCGAAGCTCCAAACCGATCGTCCCGATTCAGCTGGATCAGAAGACGATAAGTCTGCCAACGGCCTCCGGGAGTTCAAGCTTGGAAAGCCCAACTCTCCCAGGTCCGCCACATTCTCAAAACGAACGAGCAGCTTGGGAGCGCCCAAGTCCCTTGTTGGCGATGAGGAAGGCCTGCTTCTGGAGCTTGTGAATGCCAAGACGTCCGAGGCGGTGGCACGTCAGGAGTTAGAGGAGATGAAGGTCAAACTGGACACTCTCAAGCGGATGATGAGTCGCTCTGCGACTTCAGCTTCGCCTACTAATGCTCCAGGTGACTCCAGCCCCAGCATCTTGGTCACTGCCTCCAAAACAGCTACAGATGCAGCATGCCCCCCAAAGTCACCAAACCCGTCACCCGTGGGTTTCTTTACAGGATGGGCCAGGCGCACGGCATCAACAACTAATGCTGTCATTCCCGACTCCAAGTGAAGCATTGTATTTTCGCACGACAGCGATCCACACAGCTTGGTTTCACCGTGGTTGTTTCTGGGCTCAAATACGTTTGCGTTCAAACAAAAGCTTCATATTTCGATATACTAAGCATCATTCACTCTACTGTTCATTTTTTTCTTGGATGTTTCTTTTTTCTTTAAATTAATTTGGCATGACATAATTCTCAGGTATTGGAGGGTCATTTTTGGACCGTTTACCTTTTCTTTTTAAAAAAATTCTAGGACCACCGCATCGTTGCCAGCATAGCGATTACACAGATATATCCCACTACTTTTTGGTGTCAGCCTGTACAAATACCCATTTATCGCGCATCCGTTCTTCATTCTTTCTCCCGGCATTGCTTTCTTCTTCTCTTGATCTTGGCCAATCTTTTAATCATGCATTTACTCCAATAACAATAGTCCTACCCATGTATTTATCTATATATAACTCCTTTCTTTCGTTAGGCTAAAAATAACTAGTCCATCGCGAGCTGGCAATGGGAATTCTCTGGTTACTATGGATGCTTTTCGATATGACTCACGTAAATAGCCCCTGAAAAGAATAAATTACTGTATAACATTGCAATAAAAAGGACTAGCATCTGCCTCCCATGAGCGCCTTGTCTTTGGCTTGAAACTTGCATTCAGGGGCTTTCTGCTAATGCTTTATGCATGGTTGAGCTTTGGTTATACACGAAGAAAGAAGACGGCCAGTTCAAGGTGAAATAGATGCCAAAATTAAGCATCTCTCTGGGATATTAGTTAGCTACTGGGGCTATAACTACATAGCATGATCCTAAAAACAGAATAGACTAGTTAGTGCGTTTGTTGGTAGTGGTTACGGTATATATATCAGCCTGGCCTCTTTTTGTTTATTATTCAGGGTTTCAGCGAGAAAATAACGACTGACATGGATGTTTCTGGGTGGGACGCAATTGATGCACTCTGTACTCGCCAGGAACATGGTACCAGGTTCGGTGGAAAATGCTTTTGCCGTGTAAGTAAATAGGTTTCTTCCATTCGACGAGATTACAGTCTCTCTGATGCTCTTTGCTTCGCTAGAATGGAGGATTAGAGGATAGAGCCAGACTTTGTGTAGATTGGGGGAACTAGGGCAGGGTTTAAATTGAGGACAGTAGAGAGATGAAGTGGTATTATCTTTTCATCAACAGTTACAGGGGGGGGGGAGCTCAGGCAGTCCCACTTATTCTCCCGTATACTGTGGTTTATCCAAAGGACCCAGTGTGATGGACTTAATATAGATTAATATAGGTGGAAGGGGAGTATACCGGCGGCTTGAGATGGCTAAACGAAGGACTCAAAGAATTTATCAGCACCGTTTAACACTAAGGTCCTCGGCTCAGGAGACCACGTTGTAAAAGTGAACACCTAAGGCAGGGCGGCAGGTAAACGAAAAGGGCCGCCAGATATTATACACGGTAATAAAACAAAAGCGGAAAAAGCGAAGCATATGATGATGATAACCGCTGTCCGACTATGCTCATGCATATCGCCACTGAACCCAAGCTAGCCGCCCTATTCAACTGGTGACATAAAAGTCTAAGCAACAATGAAACCCCGGGTTCGATTTCTCTCCATCACTCTAGGAGATTGAATGGTAGCTAGACATCAGTCGACTTCCCAGCCTCAACTGAGCTTCTCTCGTGGATAGCACGACGGTGCCTAAGCTCCTTTCTATTGCGAGCCACACCCTGGGCAAATTTTGATCTTGCACGTATTACGGGGCCTTTCCAGTAGAAGATGTAAATAGGAACCGTGACTAGGAAAGAGATGCACCCGAGAATGGTGGAGGGTACTTCGAGGTGGTACTTGTGCTTTATGTTTCGGTACACTTGTCACCGATTGCATGGTTAACGCCATGCTATCGAAAAAAAGGTCGAAATAGTGATATTTAGGCAGTACTTACTCGGCGTAGAGTAGAGGGCAGCAATACCTGCTAAAAAGTCTCTGGCTAGAGCGTTGCCGCCCGTTGCTGAGGCGGAGTATGGGCCATAGCTCGCGACCATGTAATCTATTGTCGCCATATAAATGCAGTACTAAGGATGTGTTAGCCTTGGCTCTGTGACATGATATCATATTAACATCTTATGTTAGGGCATAGAAGATACTAACGTTTGCAATTGCAATCAGCATTGAAAAAAACATCGGAGCGAACCAATGCACTTTTGGCGGACCCATGCTAGTCCAAGCAAATCCAAAGAGGCCAATAGTTTCCAGGGGAGCAGCTGTAGAGGAACGGGGTTAGAATATCTGACATGGAAATTGCAGGTGTGAACATTACTGACTAAAAAGAAGCCACCAGAGCCGTGATTCAGGATCAAGAGCGTCGGGATTCCTTGACATGGCTCTTTTATCTTTCATAATCACAGGGAAAAATGAGAAGTAAGCAAGGAAGTATCCGATCATGATCCTGTAGAGCGGAGATTAGCAGCAATAAACAGTAGGTCCGGTAATTAAACATACGGAATAAAGGCAAGGCCAATCTGGATAGTACTGAATCCCCATCGACTATAGACCGGTTGAAATGACTCGAGGAAGGTGAAGATAAGGGCGTCACTAAATCCACTCAAGAGTGAAAGGAACAAAACAATTGGTTCGCGGATAAACATGCTAAATGGGCGAACCCAGATCGTAACGACCTCCTTTAGGGAGAGGTTCGCTCCACGAAGCTCGAGTGGGCCGTAAACATTAGCTATTCCTGATTTCCGCTGCTTCTTCGCCAAGTTATTTAAGACGATGGTTGAGCGAGTTTCCGGTACAAGAAGGAAATGAGCAAGCTGAACGGCGGCTCCGAGGATGAGCTGGATCCAGAAATTCCATCGCCAATGGAGGCGGACTTCCATAAACCCTCCAGCAATGGGGCCAACGACAGAACCAGCAACAGAAGAAAGAACAATAAAGGCGACCGCATACTGCTGCTGATCCGGCTCCCACATGTCCGCTATCATTCCCATGGTAACGGAACCTCCAGCGGACGACAGACCTCCCAAGGTTCGACCGGCAATTATAAAGGAGAACTTGGGGGCAACAGCACATAGAACCTGCCATATATTGACCAGAAGCAGGCTAAGCTGCATAACAGGCCAGCGACCTAGTTCTTCACTCCATGGAGCCCAGAGTTCACTACCGAACGCATATGCAATCAGGAATGCCATCTGACCGAGTCTGGCGGTGGCTTCGGTGATTGAAAAGTGGTCAGCCATGGGCCCGATAGCGTTGGCATAGATACTTGTGTTGAAGTTCATAGAGACTTGTACGAAGAATATGATGACCAGGATGGTCCATTTCTTCCACCAAGGGTATGAGAAAGGCAGCCGGTCGTAGTTCTCTGACTCCTGGATCTCAATCTGGGCACCTTTGAGGACTAGCGACTGTTTACCATCTTGGCTGGAACTATCACCTGTTGTGAGATTGACGGCAGTGCTACCAGATGAGATGATTTCCACGCCCACAGGCGGTGATTTTTCCGAGGCACCAGGCAACGCGTCTGGATCCTCGTCAACTGGGCTGTTCGAATGACGATTCTTGTTTGTATTGATCCTGACTGTAGTGAATATTTGGCCAGACATGATAATAACTAATGCAGCTATAATTCTATAACAAAATGAAGAGGGCATGTAAGGTCAAAAACTCTGGCTGACACTTTCACGGTATCATATGCATGATGTCTGGACAAAGTAGAGAGAAGAGAAACGAAGAAGGGAAGCGGCAAAAAAAAGGCCAGAGAAAATCAACAAGGATGGATGTTCCTTCTCCATGGCTGATGCCCCTGGCTGATGGAAAGGACGGAGCAATAGAGAAGGACCAGAGGGAGGGTATAAATATGTGCTTGCCCCGTCAAAAGGTGAAAGTAAACAGAGCAAGTAAGCAAACTGGCAGAATAAGGATGTGTCGGGAAATTGCTGGCCGGCCCCTGATAGGGTAGATCAAAGGAGTTTTCACACATCATCATCGTCCGGATCATACAGGTCAAGGTCCAGCTTTGGCTTCACTTTCACAGGCTCTGCAGCATGGCTGCTATTGTTCGTTGCTTGGCGGTTTATAGACGCAATAACTGGCTCTGCAATACCTACATCAAGCTGCTGCTGCTGCTGTGGTGATGTTCCAACGTCTTCCTTGGGCGAGTTTTTCTGTGTTGCGGCCATAAGGAGACGTTCAACCTCCTTTTCAACATCCTTTCCCTCCGCAGCGGCAGTGGCATGTAGGTGGCCCATCAGACCAACACGGATACGGTCCTCACTTGGGTATGGAAGAGCGGACATGAGCCGTGTCCAGTTGGCGGTCTCGTCCAGCCAGGAGACGGTGTCCTGGGGCAGAGACGCGATGCCCACCCCCGTCGTCTGTCCATGCGTTGCAGCTGGCCCATATTCCCTCTCTCTCATCCCGTTCGTCTCCGCCGCTGTGTCGCCATCTGCTTGCTCCTTTGCCGGCATCCGTGTGCTGGAGGCATCAACAGCAGCTTCGTTGTTGTACTTGCTTATTCGTCTGGCAAAACCAAGCAGTAACCTATAGTCCACTTCGTTTTGCTGTGTCTCGTCATTATCCCTCTCACTCATGTCAATATCACTCCCAGTGTCAACATCAATGCCATCGTCCGAGTCCTCATCTTCGCCAGCAGCTGCAGAGATCTCGTCTCCCAGCTCGCCCACCTGGCGAACGGTCTCTCGAACCCGATCCTCGAGGCTGACAGCTTCAGCACGCAGTCGAAGGATCCTGGCGTAATTTGCCTGGTGTGTTCTCAGCGTCTGCAGAGCGCTACTGAGCGCGTCGTCCGCTTCAAGGAGAGCAACTGTCGCGGCCGGAGCTCCAGAGGCGGTAGGGGTGGACGTGATAGATGTCAGCAGGGCGTTGAGCCGGGCCTCTAGAGAGGTGAGAGGTGTTAGTATCTCTGCATCCATGGTATCTCATGGTATCTCATGGCATCTCTCTCAATATCTGGTTTCTTCATCGTCTTTTGGGTGAAGTCGTTACTTGCTTATGTAATATGGCTAACTAGTTAATGGGATCAAAGAGACATTAAAAAGATATAAAGAGTAAATATAAATAGTAAATGTAAAGAATAAATGTTGATATTAAAGATAAAGAAATAAAGTCTACCAGCTCGACTCCGTGACAGCTGCAGTGGGCTCTTCGGCTTTGAAGTGTCTCTCCGTCCATCGTACATAAGTATTGTTACTCTTCCTCCGCCGAGCCGCCATTACAATCTCTCCATCTCCAAGTCCTTCAAATCTCCTACATATAACAAACACCACAACACTTCCTAGTCTCCACCCTGTCAAGTATTCCAAGACACCTCCGTTACTTGTTCTATTCTCCTACGCGCTTCATACTTCTCGCTATCGTTTTACCATCCTCAAGTTTTCCCAACAGTACTTAGTTTATCGATCTACAACCCCGCGAGCCGCCGCATACTTGAAACCCGTCTATCCTACCAGACGAGTGCACGCTTCCTCGCTCAAAGGCAATAGATATAGCTGCTATCTGGCCCTGTACAAGGGACTAGGGAATCATGGGGAAATCGTGAGTATTCTTCCAGATCTCGCGACAATTTCTGTCCCCCCCCGCCCGTGATCTCCGCGGGGAGAGGTATAGATGAACCATCATATATCCCCAGAGCCTCTGGGGTAGCTGGCAGATATACCAGCCTGGAATAACTGTTATACCCCCCTCTTGAACCCCAAACAGAACCATTATTGTCTTCTTATTGTTTTGTAGCATTTGCTAATAAGTTCTTTACCATCCGCAGACAGTCCAAACTCTCGCCGAGCCAGCTCGAAGAGCTTCAAAGATCAACACATTTCGACAAAAAGGAGCTCCAGCAATGGTACAAAGGTCGGTCTGCGAGATGAAAGGACCAGCATAATCATACACGCTCCCTTTCTGTAGGTTGATGACAATCTGCTAAACAAAGAACCTGCTAGGCTTCCTGAAAGACTGTCCGTCCGGCACCCTCACCAAAGAGGAATTCCAAAAGATATACCGGCAGTTCTTCCCCTTTGGCGATCCGTCATCGTTTGCAAACTATGTCTTCCGTGTATTCGACGCAGATGGAAGCGGAATGATCGATTTCAAGGAGTTCATCTGTGCCCTTTCCGTTACCTCGAGGGGTAAGATGGAAGATAAGCTTGACTGGGCGTTCCAGCTGTACGATATCGACGGTGATGGTAAGATTAGCTATGAAGAGATGCTTGCTATAGTTGAGGCAATCTACAAGATGGTATGTGGCTCTGGTAGCTCAAGGACCAGGTTAAATACTCACACTTTCCGACCCCAGGTTGGCTCCATGGTTAAACTTCCCGAGGACGAAGACACCCCTGAAAAGCGCGTGCAGAAAATATTCCGTATGATGGACAAGGACGAAAACGGCAGTCTGGATATCAGTGAATTCAAAGAAGGTAGCAAACGGGACGAGACTATAGTCAGTGCTCTGTCCTTATACGATGGCCTAGTATAGGCGTTGTATCCGTGTTGGTCGGCATGTCTTGTTTTATTGCTCCTTTTTTACCTATTACCCCAGCCAACTATCCCATCCTACTGTTACACATCTTGTTTTCCTCTCATATTATTACCTCTACTAGACGGTCCACATCTCGCGGATGCCGTTCGATGTTCCATGATTATGTTTGCTTGCTACTAACTCTATATCCCTTTCCTTTCTTTTTGTTTTATTTCACTTCCCTGTGTAACTACGTTGTTTGGTCAATCTATGTGATATCAGTAACAGTGCATGATATGGTCAAAGGGGTGTATGCTGCGTATACGATGTTTATATTTTCGTAAGAAGGTAGCTATCGTAGATCTAGAGCCAACCTGCCGGTTTCAGTCGTTAAAATGGGTAAATATGTAAGGATAATACTAATACAGAGACTTAAACGCAGTCTAGGATGGAACAAGGGGAAATAATATAATCCCTTTGAGATATATGAAGAAAAATGAAATTCCCTCAGCCACAAACCTGACGGGCATATAATGGAATGAATAGGTACTTTAGTCAACTTTAATGGAGCCGTAGATCCTGTGAACAAAAGCCCAACTGGCAAATAGGCCAATAGTTCCTAGATTTCCAAGAGTGTTAGCGTGTAATTTATAAGTAGCCTCTAAAATGACTGTAGAACTTACCAGTTAATACAAATACTAGGAAAGCAAGAAGTGCAGAATAACCTAGGTATAGAACGGCACCCGTAACACCGCCGAAGCTGACACGGGTTGCCCAGAAGATGAGTGCGTTTAGGAAAACATAACCCCCCGTCATACCGGCACCGATAAATGCACGCCAGTGCCATCGGTAGTCTTCTGCGCAGAGCAAGAAGTAGACAAGGAGGATAGTGGTAGTTGCGGATGTCATGATCATAAGCCCGTAGCATAGGAAGAGGAATCCAAACATGTAGTAGATTTTGTTCGTCCAAAGAGATGTCATGATGAAATATAGTTCCACAAAAATAGTGGCGAAGGGGAGCATGCCAGTTATAAGAGTTGATGGTAGAGGGCGAAGGGACCATACCGTTGGAGGGATCTGACGGGGGATCTGGTTTGTCTTAGTAGGCCCTTCAAACCCCTGAAAAGAGAAATATGATGTATGATTAGCATTTATATGGTGGTTTAAACATCGATTGAAAGTATGATATTGACTTACAGGGAGCTTGAGTCCAACCCAGCTGCCTGCAACACTGAGCGGCACGCTGATGACGAACCAGATAATAACGGTGAGAAGCATGGTGGTAAATGGAACAGCACCGCTGGACCCCTTGGCCCAGACAAAAAGATTGAGTAAGAAGAAAGTTGAGAAGGCAATGGCCGGAACGAGTACCGGGGTGAGGATGATGAGACGTTTCCAAGATTCACCTCCGAATGACTTGTACGTTCTAGCGGCGACATAGCCACCGACAAAGCCGAGTAGAGTATATAATATCAGAATGACAGTCCCCAAAAATCCTCTGTTAGAGGGCGAGAGAAGACCAAAGAGTGCAAAAACTGGACAAAGTTAGTCATAAAGGGAAATAAAAGAGGTAAATATCTAGCCGAGATATTGTAACTTACCGACAGTGATACCAGTCATAACGAAAAGCTGGGCGCCATTCCCTACCAGCAAACTAAGGAGGAGGGGATGATTCGGGGTGCGGAATACATCCCCATGAACAAGCTTCCATCCAGAGTCTTCCTGAATGCCATCTTCAACCGAGTCGCCGTTGTCATTGAAGTCATCCATATTGATCATGCTCAGGCGATTGTACCGTGCAATATCTTTTCGCAAGGCCCGGAGAAGGATGCTGCTCACCAATGTGACTAGCAAAACGACAAAAACGGCGGAATAGATGAGCCAGTACCAGTGAACGCTCGGGTCATAAACGTGTAGGTATTTGTCCCACCTGGTCGCCCACGCAGTAGGGGATTCACGCCAGGTGACGCTATAAGTCCAGGCAACAGTCGTATCGCCATTATCATCCAGCATAACTACATCCTTCCCGGTACATTCTGCCTTGTCCCCGGAGACCTTTGCCTTCTGGGAAGAAGGGTTGACCAGGACTCCGACAACGCGGTACTTCTCCTTGGTCCCGAGCCCAGCAACACGGTGATATTCGATGTTGATATCGTAATGATTGTGGAGGAATGACTGCCCATCACTATTGATGTCTCCCAAGAGGAAGCCAGGACTGTAGAACTGCTCGTTTGTTTGCTCATCAGTGTTTATCTGAGCTGCAGGGAGGCCGTCGATGAGCCAGTTGATGTTATAGCCCTGCCATATCCTGTGGTTGACGAATTGACTGCTCATGCCGTCGAACTTGACCTCCGAACAGAGCAGCTTACAAGTTTCGTTTTTGGCCATGTGGAGCTCAAACGGCGAAGTGAGGATACGGTCACCAAATATGATGCTACCGAGGGATTCCCGGACGTCCTTGGGACCATCTTTCGGTCTGCAGAAGTGGAATGCCGGGTGGTAGTAGTCGTAGGAGAAGACGGAGTGAACCTGCGCATCCTGTGCCACCGCCGGCGTGAGATGGTTTACATGGAGCGGAACTTTCTGGCCAGCATCGTAGGAGGTTGGAGCTACGCCAGGTAGATAAAAGGCTGAAGATAAAGCTGGAGTGAGGAGCGAGAGCAAGACCTGCGACTTGCTTGTAGGCCACATCGTTGGGCGTTCGCTGCGGGCTTGATGTCGTATATTAGCTGCTAGCCGGTCTTCTTTCAAGGAGAGAGTATCAGCTTACTTGTTAATACAAAACACGGCCCCAGCCGGCTCAGGGGAACATGCGAGAGGCGGTGAAAATGTAGCAACGGCGAAGTCCTTCTATAGACCCAAAAACCATACTCCGTAGCCAGCTGTTATCTGTTTCCCTTCTTCTGGTTTTCTTTTTGTCTTGCTGGCATCGAAAGCGAAGAAGCTGATGCGGCTGCTTATTAAGCCACAGCTCACACCTCGCGGACCATAGTTAATCCGAGTTTAGTTTATCAGGCCTGACGGGTGGTTACTTGATGGTTCAAAATATTTCATTAATCGAGCTCAGTAGTTATCAACTTTCGCTGTCCCTCGCTTTGAAGATGTGAAGACGGGGAACACATACTGATGATGGGGAGACATATATCGAAGATTCGCAAGTAAAGAATACTTATGTAATATTGATTGCTTATACCAGACCTAGCACCATGTCCTTAAACCATTCAGTGTCAACGGAAGAGAGCGAGCTGCATATAACTCAAATTTAACAAGGTGGGTTGGCCAATGCGATAGTTATCAGGCCAGCGTATTATCTCCCTAAGATTGAACTGATCAAGACCTTGAGACGGAAACATAGGGCCAATATATAGCCGTGTTAACAGAGCGAGAGATTGAAGCAATCAATAAGTTAAACTGTTACAAAACCTTTAACATATATAGAAAAACAATGATAGCCTGGGAACATTGTTGCTCCGGAAAATTAACATGATGGGCAACCTGTGATAAAAGCAACCAGAGGGTTGGAAGCTAGTTTTCGGTTAGTGCTGAGTTCTACCCTATATCTTGCCTTTACCCTTAAGTCAATTTAAGAAGGGGAACAAACCTGTTCTTTTAAATATTGCTTACTAATTATATCCACAATAAAAGTGCGTTTTTTGGTATCCTGCTTAATAGCCAGTGGGATATGTTGAAGTAAACTCCCTAGTTCAGAGGTACATGTACGCTCTATACATGATATCTGTCCGTCGTGATACCCACGGGCCTCACGACCAACCCAATGGTTTGAACTCTCGTGGAGACTCGATAAAAACTTGCCTAGACGATGACTGCGGCTTGTTGATTGCGCGTAATGCAACAAAGAGTGTTTCGGAAACCTGGCTGTGTAGTATAATGTCGCGACTGCGTCAATGCTATCAAATCCCATTTCCTCAGTTGCATCAAGTATGTGTCGAATGCGCTGTTCTAACGTGAGAGGACCAGGCGAGGCTTTCCGTTGAGTATCTGAAGCTAACTCGGAAGATTCAAAGTCTTTACTCGATACAGAAAATCTCGAATTCGGCCGCGCCTGTGCCTCGGACTTGTTTTGGCTCTCCCCGTTCAAGGTGGCTGGATGATGAGGTTGAGGCCAATCATCTCCACGGCTATTAGAGTTGGAATTTGTGGCGAAGGTATTGAACTGAGAAGTGGGCAATGTAGAGGTTCCTGTGGCCCTTACGTTAATTGACTTGTTCAAAGAAAACGGTAAAGCCATTTCCTCGAGGGAGCATGCATTGGTACCAGCAGAGCTGTGTGTAGGTACATTGGTGTAGGTAGCGGAATACACTTGTTCAACGAATGATGAGGATTCCGAGGTATCATTAAACAATAACGAATCAAGGCTATCTCCGCTATGATCAGCCTAAGCTTTCTGTATCGCGATATAGATGAGTATACCTTAGAGCGTCTCCTTCCAAGCCAGATAAGTATTGTATACTGTTACTTCTGTGCAAGTGAACTCCCTCTCCCAAAGCAACTTGATCTCTTTCCTTTGACTCAATCTGCTGTTTTTTATTCGCCTCTGTGTCCATGGATCAGTACATTACGAATAACTATAGACTGGATAACTAAAAAGGAAGAAATAACCCACTTGATCGGAATTTTCGTTGCGCTAGGCGGTTTCTTATTCGTTTCGGATCTTCAAAAGTGGGAATAACTAAGGGAGTTGGTTGACTTATCCCCACGGGCTGGGCAGTTTCGAAGAAGTATTGATCATCAACGTGCATGAGTGATGGATCAATTTCGTCCATAGCTTGAGCCATGGAGATTGGGGAACAGGTAGAGATCAAGGTTGAAATTTGTCATGTTGTTTAACCGCCTAGAAAGCTAGTTAAGTCTCTCGGAGAGAGGATAAGCTTTCGGGGCGAGGGTTGAGGTTATTATTGAGTATTTCGGGGGAAATTTCACCAACTGCATTGGCAAATCGGTTAAAAAACTCAAGGTCAAGAGTTCCAGTTATAGATATAGTATTTGTTTCGTTGTATTGAGTAATCTGAGTATTTAGATTTTCAAGTTAACGGATGCCTTGTTCCCAGTCATCTGTGTGCAAGCTGAATGTACTGTCTAGGATATCAGGAACTTGACCCCATAGTGGATGGCGACTTGGTCTGTGTCTTCGCTATTGTGAAGCCATAGTGGCTGACATGATTTATCATAATTATGATACCAGAATGCATCCTTCCTTATCCTTATATTTATATAAAAATTTTTAATAGGAAATAATTATGGTTGAGCCGCAAAGCGATAGAAAGATAAAAATGCAGAAGAGGCAAAAGGTAGAAGCGCAGAATTAAAAAGCCGTTTCAGGCAGACATTGACTTGGGACGGGACCTCGCCTTGGGACTGATTATTTCTATATGGAGGATTAATTTTAAAGCCCCAGCTGTCCCCCTAACTAACTAGTTAACAATTTGGGTTACCACTTCGTATGTTTATATCACCTAGGAATACTATGAGAAACCTGTTTGCCATTAACTTGACCCTTGTCGACAGCTTGACCTGATCGCTAAGAACCTTATAGTAAATTTCCTAGTGATAACAGGGTTTACACGTCGACATGAGTAAGGCGAGAGACCTATTTAAGAAATTTCAATGAAAAAATTTTAACTAGATAACAGGTACCTAGGTAGGTGCCGTTAATTGATTAACTAACCAAATTCAACAAATTTCTTCTTAAAGCTGTGTAAACTTCACAGACATACTATCCGAACAAGATGTGAGTTTACCCTGCGAGGTAATAGCAGAGCAATAAAAATAGAAGAAGTTATAGTTAATATCCAGTAGCTCGAGCCTTGGATATCACCCCCTCTTTAAGAATCGCACACTCAAACGGGGGAAAGCCAACAACTTGGAATACCCCGTCAGAAGCACTGGCCCAATTTGGCTCGTAACCTCCAGCATCCACCCACTCTATAATACTCTGCCCATCCTCAAAGTGGCCACAGATATGCCTGCGTCTCTCAGCTATTGCTGCAAACCCCTCTTCCACTACTGGATAAGCCTTTCTGCAGAAGCCACACCAAAACCGACGCTGATAATCACCTCCAATATAGCAGATGTTAATAAACTCTTCCTCTAATTCAAGCTTATGGTCCTCCTTTAGATGTTGTTTAAATCCTTGAGAACGTTCAAATAGTCTCGCACATTCTTTTCCACTCTCAATACCCACGGGGCACCGCCAGCTCTCTCGTACAGAGTGGTTTTCGCTTTCATGAGTAACCCAGGCGTTGGGATTACCAAAGAGGCAAAAGCAACCTTTGAAAGTGCAGCCATATATCCCCAAACTAGGCTTCGCCCGGGTAATACTCTCTATATGAACGATGCTATAGGCTGTCAGCCTCACTAAGGCATTGGTATCGGGAGTTGGGATTTATACAACACAAGATCCGAGTTTGGTGGTATTAACCCAGGCAATCCCCTGAAAATGTAAGCTGGATTGCCTTAAAGAGGGGAGATTCCCATACTTATCACCATATGCGCAGTCACTAACTTAAGTTAGCTAACGGGCCGTACTAATTGTAGTCAATTGCCTATACCTAGTGATAAAAAGCAAGCTTTTTTCACCGAGCCTCATATGAGAGACGCCCTCCTTGAATCCTAGCAGGAAAAGGCCATTATTAGCACTCTAACAGATCATATCCCAAGGTGATACTACCAGAAATCACGCTTCCGTCCTCAATACGGAATTCTTTGTAACCCTGGTCTCCGTGGATAATAAGCCTATCAAGGATGAGTAACTATCTGGTATGAGTGGAGGAAATCTTACTGTTTTTCTTCGTGGTAGCTCTGCTGATTTTGGCCGCCCCATAGGTAGCATAAGTATGGCGCCCTCACCTTGTCATTTGGGGCTGGATGGTCACCACTGCCGTCGACTAAAACGTATTTTGTGACACCCATTGTGAATATCTAGGAATTGTTTGATCGAATATCTGATAATGCTATCAATTGATAGAAATTGGTTTAAGGAAATAAAATATCCAACAAGTGATTGAGAAAGTGAGAGACGCCGCATTATATAGCACGATTTATTTCTCCCACTGATGCAATATATCACTTGCTGATCACTAGTATCTCCATCTGCATCTCAGTCCATCCATGGCATGGCTGGATTGGAGACACGGATGTATCCTCTGCTTGATGCGGCAATGTACGGCGACGTGGATACCCACTCAGACACCACATTTAAGCATTCTTTGGCCGTGGATCTCGCGGATATGCCGGTTAAGCCGCACCTGGGTTGGAAATTTCGACAGATAGTCGGCCACATAACATTCAAACGTGCTGTTCTCAAAGGGGAGCGAAACGGGTGACTGAGCGACACCTTCCTGCATCTTTGGATGTGATGCCCCGATCCACCAGGTGATATGGCTCGTCTTTCAGCTATACGCATTTTGTTCTGGAGGATCTGCGGAGGCCAGTTCCTGTATATGCTCGAATCCCTACTGTGGTGCATTATGTAGACATCTAAGTCTTCTGGACAGAGCTGCCAGGATATAGCTGCTTCTTGAGGGGTTTGCTGGGCGCCCCTATTCCCATTCTCAAGCGGAAGCAACGATATTTATTAGAGTATAGATAACATTAATGGAGTTAGATTTTCGTCGGAGTATTCTGCAACAGCTCTCTCTACAACCTACAAGTCACGCCACACATATCGGCCGTATCGAACCTCAATACCCGGTATCCCCTTCAAAAACATATTGTACTTATAGATCAACCAGGTATCTCCCCTGGTTACCGTTGAAAAATGGCCCCATGTATTTGTCTAGCATAGGCATGCGGTCCTGGTATAACATTTCACGCAACTTCGCTGAACGTTGGGAGGGATCTTCTATACGCGATGTCCATACAAAAGGGCATGCTAGGTTACATACGAATTGTATGGCATCCTTATCAGGCTCCGGCTCTGTATATGCTAAAACAAGTCTGCCTATAGGTTAGCCGTGCGAGCAGAGTAAAGAATAGGGGCAAACCAACATATGAATCCCGTCACTTTGTATTTCGGATAGCATAACGCTAGGGCTGTTCTCCAGGCATCGTAATACTGTGGACGCTAGAAGTACAAACAGGCCGTGTGGCATATTGTCCTGTCTTGGCAACAATAGCGCTGCTTTTTCTCCATCGTACTGCCATACGCCACTATATCCCAGGCCCTGATTTTGATGGATAATCCATTCCACCTTGTTGGGGATATCATTGGTCGATATATCGCCGGGCGGGAATAGAAAATAAGAGCGGACTCCATCTAGGGGGTAATCAACAAGATTTTGAACAAGTTGCCATTTAATCGTCTCCTATAATAAGGATCAGCATCACCAATAATAGACTTTGCGTTTGATATTACATACTATGCATATATTCACCTTAAGTATACCGTCAGCTTCACTCTGTAGAGGGGAATCTACGGCATTATTGGGGGTAGCTGGGGCATGCCAAATGCTCCTGCAGGTTTCAACGTCGGGACAGGAAAAGAATCTGACCATATCTCCATAACTCTTGCCGGACAAAGAAAAATATGTAGTAATGGTGGAAAGCTCAACCTCTAGGCCCGGATCCTTAGCTAACCACTCCATTATCTTATTGCTGGGTATTGGGGTCGCTTGCTCGAGAGAGCTCTCGGACACTAGGTGTGTAGTAAAATGCTCGTTCTTATTTGGACTTGCTTGAGTAGAAGGCTGTTTGTTCTCGTGGTCTGGGGAAAATGGGCTGGCCAACCTAGGCAAGCACACGCTTTCCGGCTCGGGGCTGGATAGTGTGGGAAAGTAGACTACAATAATTGCAGTCGCTGCGGTGAAGGACGGTGGAAGAGGCCCCATATCTGATGTCTGATGGACAGCATTCGACTTTGGTAAATCGGGGGACGCTCCGTCGCTCTTATAGATCACCAGGTGGGTTTCCAGAATTGTCCAGATATAGTTAGATTCCTTGCCATACATACCTACGTGAGCACTTATATCTTTAACAAGCCATATACAACCTCCCGTAACAGGCAGGTGAACCTCACAGCCCTCCCCCCGTTCTCATAATGGCGGGTATGATGATCTTGAGCATAATACGCCTACGGCGCGTAGCACTTGCTGTAGCTATCTGCACGAAGGGCCCAGACCGAAAAAGTGCCTTAGAATCTCTCCTAGGGGCGCTGGTGTTAGCTAGCGGACCTTAAAAACTGTCATTAATTGCCAGATAAGATATACTATACAATACAGGGACAGGCGATAAGATTATTACACGCAGTCCGCGGCAACATCACGCATAATTTTATCGGATACCCCACACCACACATAAGCTCTCTAAGAGTTTCTTGTATTCACGCACCCTGAGGAGAGTCTGCTGATTCACCCCCCGTAGATTCTCATTCTGAATTTTGAAATCATTATTGAGAACCGTAGTTTCTAAAAGATTTTGATTCAACAACTCCACCTCCCGCCTCAGTATTTGCACCTCCTTCGTGGCGGCATCGACCTTGATCCACCCTAGGCCTGCGGGCCTGTGGGTGGGATAAGTGCCTGGCCCCGGTTGGGTTGCCTCGTCGCAGGGAGCACTTCTGGAAATGACGTTTGAGAACATCACTTCGTGTAAAGGAATCTCTGCAGAGGGCACACACGTAGGGTCGCTCTCCGGTATCTGTATACATTCCACTCTCTGTCAGCAAAAGTAGGAGCAGAAAGTGGCTTTGATCGAGTATCCTAGACTTACGGCGCAGAAGATGCCGCTTAACGTGCTTTTTATGAGCGAACGTCTTGGGACATTGTGGGCACTGGACCCTACTATCTGTTGTGACTAAGATTTCCGTACGCTCCGGGAGATTGGTAATAGGGAGGTCCCCTCGTTGTCCCTGGGGACCGACCACCCTCGCCCTTGAAGTCTCGAATGGCAGAGCTGTTGGTGTGTTGGTGCCATCCCCATCCTTGGATGGTGCGGTCAGCCTACACGCATAAGGGTCGGTCGTTGGCGGTGGTAGATTAATGTACTGCTCATAGTGGTGAGCGGGTAGTTTAGTAGGATCGTGAAGAGGGTACACAGCCGTGTGCGTCGGTCCACCCGTACCACAAGTCACAACAGAGTGACTGAGGGAATAGGATAGGCGTGGATGCCCAAGAGGTGCCCATACAGGCGGCTGGCTCCCATAGATATCAGACCGTCTAAGCGGGGGGTACGAATATATTCTGCCAGAGGTCGTGGGAGAAGCCGAGCAATTCACACCGCGAGTCAAGCTATAAGTCGGGGCCCATGGTAGAGAAGCGGGCGTGGGTATATAAATATACAATGAGATTTGATTAAACCACCAGGCTAGCCCGCAGGAAAGCTATCCACTAAACATATAAACGCGTCGCACTCCTATACAGCGAAGGCGGTGCCGGTGATGGGAGAGCAGACACTCGTTACATTGCGGCTGCAACTTGCTTCGCCAAGTTATGAGAAGCCGAAACCACCACACTATCCACAGCCTTTGTATCCTGGCATTCCCGTGACCTATACGCCGTCCTGCAAAACTGCTCATCGAAGCCCTTCTCGCGGTCGAACTCCTGCTCATCGTAAGCTTCACCGGGTGGGCCGTCCCTTTCAACCCCGTCGTCCATTTAAGGAAAAACTTTACTCCGCCCGACCACACCTCAGACAGGAATAACTTTTTAAAACTTCCATGCTGGGGACCGTGCTTGAACCTTGTTGCCGTCACGGATACGCACAAATAGCTGCACGATTAGCACGGAATCATTCCAACATGAGCGGGTCGAAGAACGTACTACGTTGTGTCAAGGCTCTGACTTCTGGATTCTTGTGGGGGAAGCTGTATAAGGTACGTTCCATTGACCCCTAGTTTCGCACGGTAGACAATCTCTATTATAATGTGCCGCAAATCGCGGTGTGGCGATCGGTCGCTAAGATCATACCACGTGGGCTTTGAACCCCCCAGAATTGGAGTTCCTTCCCTATTAAAAATTGACCAGAAAAGCTTGACAGCACAGGGCCCAGGCCGAGGCGCTAAGTCGGCATTGGAGAGGCGGAAGGCAGGCATAAGGGCGGTTTCTTTTGTTTCCACGGCTTGGAATGAAGGGGGAGAAGGGACGCTATGAATTATTATATACACGGAGGAGGGTGGATCACAAAGGAAACTCGAGCTATGGAACGGGCCGTCCATGCCAAGATAGATATACATATCTAACGAGAGACAATAAAAAAGGTAAAGGATGAGAGAAACTAGCTACATTTGGCACTGTCTGATTAAGGGATATGCTAGATTTATGCAAGGAACGTATCATATCACGGAGGGTGGGGAAAGGAGACAAGAGTACTACTGGAAGAATCGCAGTTAAGGGCAAATTTCGACGCCTCGATTGCCGAATATTTTGCAAGATGCTCCCGCTCTTCGGGCGAGAGGTCAATATCTGCTCTATAAATCCTGTATGTATCGATACTCGGGAAAACCACTGGCACACTTTCCCCCCTAACTAGGGCGATAGCTAAGACCATGTGCCTACCGCCCGTCGCAGTCCCGAAGATAACCCCCTGATACTCGATGATATAGTCTATGGCGTCTGAGTTCTCTATAATCTTTCGACCGCGCCTTTGCTCGAGGTCAGTGTATTTGAGTGCTTAGAAATCTAGCGCAAGCGGGATGCTTACCAATGCGTCTGTGCTTGTTTGCCTAGTTTGCAGAATAGAACGATCATCGGTTTAACTTCTGGGTTCAGAGATTCTCCCCCATCCCTTTGGTATATCTCTAATGCTCGCGGCATATGCCCAAATTGACTCCAGGAACAGTGCACGGACTTAATTGCACCGTCGTTGGCCATAACTGTGATTAGGGGATTGCCATCTTTCATTCCATTCAACCAGAGTATCTCAACTACCTGCTCCGGAAGCATAGGTTCATGCAGTACTCTAGAGCCATTAGTGTCCGTCGAACTTAGCTAAAGAGGGGCCATACTCTTTTGCGCGTCTCCGCCGTCCGCCCAAACACAGCCCCAGCCAGGACGATAAAAACGAGAGGAGGGACATGTTGCGATCGTAGTTGCCAGATACAAACTATCCGGCTGGCTATAGGCCATGGTTTACGCAGAAAGGCGCCCAAGCTACAAGGAGCGGTCAGCTTTCTTATAGACAGTTGTCTCCGCAAACATAAGAAATACAGAAATTCTACCGTTTCGTCGACAATCTACTCCTGTGTCATCGTTACATAGTCAGGATTTAGGCACACGCGGGCCGAAAAGGGATAGGTACCCCGCCCAGATCGAGTTAACAGAGTAACTGTAGCTCGCTCTCGGTACCCATAGGTATTTTAACTTTTAATTTGGTAAACAGGGACGCGCCAAAGTTCATTTCCGAAATAGTATAGTCGTTTTTCCAATACAAGGCAGAAACTGTGGGATTATTTGCGACCAATCTTAGAGGCGAGGACACCGCTTCATCAACCCTGTAACTACTTGCTGATTGTTGTCAGTTTTAGCTTTCCGCTCAATCAACCCATCCAGAATTTGGCCACGCTAAGCCCATTTAATACCATTTCAACGTTCAAGCTATCGAGCACTGAATATTATCCTCCACATCAAATACTTTGGTCATGACTTCACTCTAACCAGCTCGACAAGCTCATGAGAGAAATGCTAAATATTTTATATATCTTAAGCAGATGCTTCTAAAAGCTCATCGCATCATTGAATCATACGAACCCTCCTCTGAGTTTTGTATACAGCTTCACGGTTTTATTCGAGCGCTGCCTACTCCACCCAGAGAAGAGGCAGAAAACAATACAACCACTGTGGTTGAAACGCATTTGCCCTCTGAGCCTCTTCGCCACCCAACAGGAAGCCCTGTCCACACTACAAGCAATCCTACCGTTCAAGATAAGGCTCCTCTGGAATTCGTTCTTTACAAAATCCCTAAGGACAATTCCGCTACGCTAGATGACTTTAGGTGGAAAAGGGAGCTGAATAGTTTTCTCTCAAATATACCAAAAACGAAAAAATGGGCGGCCCTGCCATCTCGCGAGGAGATACTTCGGCTATTACTTTGCCGTAAGGTTCCGTTCAACGGGGGTGGTGGTGGAGGCAGGGACGACGACGGGGAGGATGATTGCCAAGACGAGTGGGGTGAAAGATGTCGTGCCTATGCCGGTTCTACCTTAGAAGCGATGAATATAAACTCCGCCATGCGGGGGATACTGGCATTCCGCGTTATCATTGTGGCCCTGGCGTGTGTTGTGATGTTAGAGAATGGGGCCGAGCTCGCCGACACTGAGTCAATCTTGAAAACCTGCATTCCCAATCCAAGCACGGGAAGAACCCTCAGCCGGGATAGACACGCTGCAAAGTGGGTCAATTCGCAGATTTTGGAACTCCGTAAGGTTGGATGGGGAGATAGGAGTGCAGAGGTCTTCGTTCTATGTATGTTACCCACCAGAATCTTCGCGCACAAATAGTTAACGACAGGCAGATGGGCAGAGTATCTCGCAGTTTAGATTGATATGCTCAAACACACGTAGCGGTGACGCATTCATCGCAGGAATACAAGGGAAAGGCAAACCTATACCAAAACTAGGTGACAATAAGATGCCAATATCTATTCCTTGCATCGTCAAGCGCTGCTGCGGGAAATCTGCGTCGTACGTATACGTGACCTCTATCCTCTTGACTTGTGGTTAACGCTGGCTTAGGTTAAGGAAAGTCTGTGAAGTGCTTTCTTACGATTTCGAGGAGGTCTGGCCTATATACAAGGAATTCTATACTTCTCGACAAGATTATTCTGCCAGCGAGAGCGACGTCCCCGAAAGCGCTACGGAAAGTCTATCTGAAAGCAACATCGGCGGCTATGAAGCTCACACCAGCGGCAGCGAGGTACCCACTCTCCCTACCTCGCCGCTTGGGACGGGCCGAGAGGCCGACGAGCCTGCCACAAATCTAGATATACCTGTAGACGCGGTAGGAGACCGACCTTGTGCGAATGGGGCGAACAGGCAGCCATATGCGGGCAACCCCTGTAGCGAATATCGGCATTCGCAACGAAGGAGACAAGGCGGAGAGGAAGGTGCGTATGGGTACGTCTATACCTGGCCGAGATCAAGGACTTACTTTCGCAGACACGGAGGGGGTAGATGAGACTGCTTCAGCCACGGAATCGAGTGCTCCCTCCCAGGGCAGAGGTTCGATCGCTACGGGGCTCGAACGGCAGGCAGGTTCGGGGATAGAAGGGGGACCCGGACAGCAGTGTGATGGCCAGCCAAGGGCGAAACGTCGGCGAACGGATGCTGTGCGGGGTAGACAGACGAGCAGCGTGTCTAGATCGGTTCATCGCTCCCAGAACACACAAGGCCAGTCAGAGAGCGATGTAGCTGGGCATGATTCAGCTGATATTCCGACGGAATGGGCGTCGACAAGGCCCGAGACAACAATCGACGGAGGACAACAGGCAAATAATCTGTCGGGTTTCCAATTGCCACTGTTACCATCACGTACGATACATACCCGGTCATCGGGGTGATTTTTACTGCTGCTGACTTAGAATAAACAGTTTCCGTACATCCCAGTGGGCAATATTCGGATTATTCCACGCAAGCCTTGAACCAACGGACTATCGAGACATATAGTGAGTTTTCTTATCGGTATCCATTTATCCGTCGCTAATGCTCCTTTCTCAGCCCACCAGGCCGCTTCCTCTCCAATAGTAAATGTGTATGCTAATTCCCAAAGGCAAAACCAACACATAGTCCAACAAACGTGCAATACTTCTCAGACCTATGTTGCACCACGCACCTTCACGCCTGCCCCGTCAAGTAATGCTCAAGCTTATAACCTCCCCACCAATAGAGCACAAACATACGCCACCCCGGTACAGGGGTTCTTAGCTCACCAAACCATGGCTGTGCGTCAGACACCAGCGGCGCATACGGCCACCATCAGGGCGCTTCTGAATACAAATGAAGAAGCGACCGTCAATACCGGAGTTAGTACGCCAGTAAACTCTTTTGGCCACCGCGGAGTGCCAATATCGTGGGGAGGCTCTCAGCATCAACACCAAGCCCGCCAAACGCATAGGATTCCTCATTACCCCCAGAGTTCCCTTAGAGAGACAGACAACTGTTATGCCGCGCCACTATTATCGACCACTAACCCTCCGTTTGAAGATAGAAACTCTTTGTCTGGGATATCAACTCAACATAGACCGATTCGGGAGGTGCGAGGCCAGGTAGAGGGCGCCGCAACTACAAATAATCCGGTAGCTATTTATACGGCTTATGATGGATTCTCTGGGACCGACTCTAACGGCCAACAATTCGCTACGGAATTAGGAAGTTTACCAAGCACAACCAATCACCACCAAAACAACTCCCACAGCAATCCAGGAACGTATTCTGACACTAATCCATGGCAGCCTAGCAGCGGCTTTGACCCCTTTTCTGTGTACACTCCCAACACCGACTCATGGACGGCGCAGCCAAGTGACTTCAATTCCATGCCTGTCGTTCCCAACACCGACTCATGGACGGCGCAGCCAAGTGACTTCAATTCCATGCCTGTCGTTCCCAACACCGACTCATGGACGGCGCAGCCAAATAGCTTCAATTCCATGCCTGTCGTTCCCAACACCGACTCATGGACGGCGCAGCCAAGTGACTTCAATTCTCTGTCTGCTGGTACACATTCCTGAAACGGCACATTACAGTATCACTCCAGATGGCCCAATATCAAATATAATTGTTCCCACTACGTATTCCCACGCCGAGTCAATAGTATATAAATAATATGTATGTATATTTGGTCATCTATCGCTTAAATTGAAGGATTATCGCACCAATCTTATTTTCACCTTCAATCTCAAAAAATGTTAGCCTTTGCACAAATATGGCGTTCTTCCAATGCCAATCTAGTCTTTTCTCATCCCCCCCTTCATTCCTTGCAACAACTTCAGCATGGTAATCGATAAGTGGGACAATAACAGTATCGTTAAGCCCACCAGATTTCCATCTTCCTCTAAAGACGGCCCCATGCAATGATAAGACAGAAAAGTCACGAGGCAGCTTTTCCTATATCCAATTTATTTAGCTATTAGAATATTTAAGGAACGTAGCTTCACACCTTCTGATAAGCCTTCTTTGCCTCCTCCACAACCAATTTTACCCCATCATTACTAGGAAGGTCAAATTTTGAGGCATATGGCTCCGAATGAGAAATAACTGTGCCGGACGTTGTACTTATTGCTTGTTCAATGGTGGCTTGAAGGGAGTCTGGAAGAGGTAGGTATGTGATTGAATCGATTCCTTGTAACATGATGCTAACTTATGCCTGTCTTTTTATGCTATACTGTCAGTAGTCATTCTCTTCACCTAAAAAGAGAATTATTGGAGAGGCACCTTTCTATTTGAGTGAGTTAAGCTGACTCTAAAGATTTCATGATAGCAAACATGGCAGGATCCTCCTATTTGTATTTTGCTTAAACTGAACGAATATATCGCTGCCTGGTTAAGAGAGGAAAGATGAGACAAATAATAATCTCATTACCCCGCCGCAGGATGGAGGGGCGAATAGAAAGTCATTGGCTAAATTATAGGTTTCTTCTATACGTCATAAATGTGGGAATGGAGATCACGAGACACTTGTTATGTTAATACCTAGTCCGTTACCCCTAACTCTTCCGTACCTTAAAGAGATGAGGTATCTCGTTGAATGTTCTGCAAACATACTACTTATCCTTAACACTATTCCTTTGGTTTTTCATATTTTGTATATTACTTAACGGAAATGTGCTTTGCAGAGGCTCTTACCTAGAAAGGCAACAACTTGGCCAATTTGTTCACGAAGATTCATCTGGGAGTCCAACTAATATTTTGAGGACGAAGGTTAGGAAGAAAGAGCGGCTGCCTCAAAGAAGCAAGGCTTTATTGGATAGTCCTGTCGCCTTGACTGAGGCCTCAGCATTCTTACCTGCTAGTATAGCGCTGGACGGTTACTTCGGGTATTATCGATAGAAGTTAGACAAAAGCTCCTTGTATCTACCTAGATTACTTTTAGGCTGCTACAAATACTTCTACGCAACGAGATACTCGATGCGTCCTTCTCTATAATTTCTCCTAACCCTCGACTTCAGGATTTTCTTCACCTTCCACCTATCGTCGGTCCCCCCTCCGTCAACTAACGACGGTGATGCGCTACGTCGACGGTCGGCGTCGTCATAAGATGCGCTTGCGGGGCTACTAGGCCGCGATTCTTATCTACAGTTAGCCGGGAATTAAAGTAGCAAGGATCTAGCATACCTAGAACTTCCGAACCCATAGTACGATATTTACGAGCGCAGCGTTGAGGGGAGTCTCCCAGAGCGCTGCCCCTATCTACGTGAGTATCGAAGCTCCGGTCCACGTGCTGAGCTCTTCGCTCCCCGTCGACGGCGCCTCCCTTCTGCACCTTATCGGCAATGGCGGCTTGGGGACCACGATCGTTCAGGGAAGTGTGGCGTAGTACAAGGTCGCCCGGCAACCCACCTTTACGCCGCTCCCCAACGGCACGAAACTGGCATTTGACCAAGCAAACCCCAAAGGAGCCCAGGGATATGCGGTGGAACTTGATGGATGTCAAAGATCGAAATAGAAAGGGTTGCGTTAGCTATCGCAGAGGCGGCTGCATAAAAGAACGTTCGGGGATAATACGTAGGGGCACATGACGTGGCCGGGACGACTCGAGTCGAGGAGAGGGAGGGGCATCGGCGAAGGAAAGGATGGCGGCAGCATGGCCTAGAGACAGAGAAAGAGAGAAAATGGGGGGATAGGAGGGGAGGAAGGCCGTAAAAGTGCGTAGAATAGGTAATAGGAGGGAACGGGTGAAGGAAACGAGACTGAAACGGCGGCGAGAACAGTAGAAGCTGCGAGGAAGGCGAGATAGCGATGGTAAAGGCATAAACGAGGTCGTGCTGCACCCTTAGGAATGCACGCGAATTCACCCAAATATTATATAAAGGCTGGATGGGTATCTGGAGGCCGGATGTGGCCTGCGAGGAGAGGACGTTAAAACGGTGGGAGGTGGTGGTCCTTTTATAGATTCGGTGGTCGTGCGGGTCTGGTAGAGGCGGCAACACAGACCACATCCGCAAGAGGAAAGGCCACTTCCGGCCTGGGCGACGGTGAAAGCGAGATAGCAATATATATATGTATATATATAGAGAGAGAGAGATTATCCTAGAGCCTTGCTATAAGATACATTAATCCGTGTGCTCGTCATCGTCATTATCGTTACAGCGGTTTTAAAAAGAAAAGCAGAGATCATGACAGGATTCCACAGGCCATGAGGACCATCGAAGCCATCAGGGTGTAGCCCAATGGCACCGTCTGGCTGCCAGCGTTCGGTGGCGCTGTCGGGTTCTTCCCCGGCGCTGTCACGGTGACAGTGGCCGGCCCAACCGTTGTACCTGGCACGACGGTTGCTTGCACGGTAGTACCAGGGACCACGACTCCTGCGCTGTCAGTGCTGGCGGCGATGGTGGTGGCTGGGATCGTGGTTGGAGGGCGAGTTGTGCCTTCGCTGACGGTGTAGGTCGCCGCACCTCCCAGCTCGCTGCCTGGGATCGCGGTGCCGACTCCCTTGCTGGTAAACTGAGTGGGGATCGGGAGGGTGCTGAGATTGGGACTAGGGGTGCCGTCACCGTATAGGTTTCCCGTCTCGCCGCCGGAGCGTGTATAGTTGCCCATGATCAGGTTGACCGAGTCGCCGTTTGCGAGGTGGTATTCACCTGTGGTGACACTTCCGTACGATCCATCCGCGAAGTAATAGTTGGTGGTAAACCGGTCCTGTCCGTCATCAGAACATATACATGTACACAAACACATATATGTAGCTCACCCAGCAGAATGATATCTTGACTCCCCGGAGGAGCAGACATCGTATCCCCGTCGACGGCTCCATGCCTTGTCCTGGGTCAGTCTTATACAGCTGTAGCAGGTAACAGATACACAGGCAGAGAACTCACAACAGAGCTTCGACTGGCCGCCATCGTCCCGCGCAATAACATCGTGTATCTCGTCCGGCGACCTCTTCTTCGATCCAGCGCCGTTCGCCGAGTTGACAACATCCGCATAGAATCCCACCATGTCAGGGCCGATGGCTGGTGGGCTGCCCGAACCTGCGCCTTTGGCCTCGCATGGCTCGTACCCACGGTTGCAGGTAGCTGCTGAGGCCGCCGCAGTGGTCGCCAGCCAAACGAGTAGTGGTAGAGAGAAGAATCGCATGGTCAAGACTGTCGAGTAGCACTGTAGCGACTGGTTAAGCAGTTAAAGAAGAAAAAGGGAAAACGAATGGCTTGTGTATTTATTATATCTTATATCTCCCCCTTCACTCGGTAAAAACTCTTCTGTACTATTTATATGTAAGACATCCAACAGGAAGCGCCACAGGGATGCTCTATATTTTTGACTAGGTTATTTTTACATGTAACATGCTGCGACTCTCAGATGCGTTTGCAGCCCAAGACCATAATAAGTAGAACTGCGAACAGCCTCATGTTGTCCTGTGACACTTGTAAATACCAAATCTACTATGCTTTGCTACGACAGCTACTTGTTTATTCGAGCTCGAATATTCATCCCGAGCCTGTCATCTCACTGATGGATCTGGCGCCGCTCAGGTTGACCACTCGCCCGCCGCTTCCCGGAATCACCCCTAGCGCTCTACGTCCGCCGCCAGAGCCTGTCGCAGGCTTGACCCATCCGGGAATCTGGTCATCTTCGCGTTCCCGCGCATAGATAGTCTGCCACACGTTTGGGAAGCCAGTGGGGAGGGCGCCTTTCAGTCTGGCTCCCGGTATGGCATATCGTGGGTTCTTGTGGGTAAGATAGCCTCGCATGAGGTCCTGGGTGAGTAGAGAGGCGAGGATGGCCTCTAGTTCTTGCATCAGAGGAGATGAAGAAGCACTTTCCGGACCTTGGCTGCCGTTTATAGGCTGCTGCTCGTCTTCTGGTGGCAAGCTTGAGTAAGGATCTGGGATCCCAATCACATCGTCCACCAGCCCATCGACGGGCAGGTCATCTGGGCTCTTGACCTCAACACGGTGACCAGTGTGGTCAAAGTACCAGTCGGGATTATTGTAGTCGTCGAATTTGGAATCTTCCGCCGAATCAGACGTTGAGTTGTCTTCGGAGATGAAGTCGGGGTCTAGTGGGAATGAAGTGAGCTGCAGACCAGCTTGCCTCGGTCGGTTTGAGGTCAGCAGTTGGCGTGAATAAGGTGATGTGCGGCTGTCGAGCCAGCGAACAGCTGCTTCGAGCTTTTGCAGGTATAGGAAAGGCGGTGGCCCTCGCTGTGTCTGCATTTTCTGGTCTCCGTGAAAGCCAGCTAGAATAAATACTTTCCGAGTAAGAGACCGCCAAACCAGGATCTCGCATCGATTGCGGAGTGGGAGTAAAAGCCCCTTCCTGGCGAACCACTCAGCGTGTGGTGAGCTGACAGAGAAATAGTCTCTGAAGGAATGCACCTCCCCCCTTGCAATATACTGGCAGAGGGGTATAAATTTATATCCTAGTCCTTCAGCCTCTGGCCTTTGAAGGAGTGTTTGTGACGGGAACCGGCCAAGAATGATATTACATGGTATTAGATATGTGAGAATCATCCCTCGCTGTTTTAATGCTTGCCGGTGACACTGTTTGTATGCTGCTTCCAGAACTATCATGGCTGGATAGAATAAGTTGTTTGAAAAGAGGTATCGTCCAAGATAGTACAGGTAGGTCACCCTTTGCGAAGCAGGGAAATATTCGAGTGGCGGTGACTGTGAGTTGATGCTCGCAAACATTTGTTCGGCGTTGCGTAGCTTTCCACACTAAGCGTCTTCTATATTAACAAGGGACTTATTTTTTAAAAAAAAAAGGGACGTAATCTTGGATAGGTATACCTTGAAAAGGAGCTTCAGACATAGATTTGCCATCAAGTATATTCCTGCTCTTTTTCCTTCTGGCTTCGCATGTATCCCTGAGGTGCCACCTCTATCCGTCAGACATTTAATAAAGGCTTCTCGAACGATGTTTGTTGATTTTTCCACAAGCGTGACTTTCTCCCCAGTCTCGCCTTGGCCTGACTCTGCCCCTTCGCGCCTCAGTAGATGAGCAATCAGCTCTGGTTGGCGGTCAAGCCCAATTGCAAGTTTAGAGAGCACTTTGCTTAGATAGAAGACGGTGGGCAGGATAACAACCCCCATATGGCTGTCACCTAGGGCAATGACACTCTGGCTTGATTCAGATCTCGAGTCAGTACAACCCAGATACTTACAAATGGACATAGGTAGAGCTAGTATAATCATATAGAGAAACTTACTTCAGCAAGCCCTTGAGCAGATTATATGTTTCCAGAAGGTTATCCACGTTCACATCCCGTAAGAAGGTCAGATATAGGCGCATGAAGAGTGGAAAAGCCGGCCACAAACTCCTCAACTGACCTTCAGCCATCTGTCCTTCGCATTTGGAGAGTAATTCTGTGTCTTTACCACTACCGGCTGGGTACCTTTTCTGCAATTCAGCAATCATCTGGTTGTAAACGGCAGAGAGGGGTGGCTCGAGTTGCAGGAAGTCCTGCAGCTTTGCCCCATCGCGACCCTGGACAAGCCCTCCGATGCTCTCAAGGAAGTTGTTGAGGACGGGCGTATCGACGGAGACGGTGTTCCACATATTTGCTTCAGCGCCTGCTTACTATCAGCTACACCTTTGGTCTAGGATGGAAGCGAGCTAGATGTGGTGTCGCTAAAGTGCAAGGCGTTGGTAGCGGTAGATCTTGCGAAACGAGTGTGTGATGGCGTAAATATCATCTTGGGAGGTATAATCGGTCCCCCCATGTATCACTTGAGGTCAAACGACGGCCGGTTCAGTTCGTTGAGAGACGAAAGGTCCATCGTGTTGAATAATTGTGAACATTCTCACGATGAAGCCAAAGTCCATGATGAAGTCACGTTCTCGCGCGCCGCCCCAAAAAAAAAAAAAAAAATAACGCCAAACAAGCAACATCCACTCGATATCTAACGGTGGCTACATCCACTGCTCAACATGCTATGTTATTATGGTCCATAGTTAGGTGGCAGATAAGTTGCTCAGCTTGATCTTTACAGCTATGTATAATCCCACGGCTGACCAGCAATACAGCATCTCGTCAAGGCAGCAGTTCTGGACTCATACATCGCCAATAAAGGACACATATGGCCAAGTTGAAAATCAGCCATATTTCAGAAACCTATGCCTATATATATCTATAGCAACGTCATTCTATGTAGGGCATCTTATATACAACCTGACAGATCCCAGTGTCTGTGAGAAAACCGGGTTGGAAAACTTCCACCAGCCGAACCAAGCTTGCTTTTGCTCCTGTTATGTCGTCATAACATGCCGGACCTATATATGTATATATATATATATATATTGAGGGGCGTTGCTGTCGAAGGTCAACGTCTGAACCGCTCAATTGTCATTCCTGCCTGGAGAAACAGTGTCCAATACCGGATAGCCATAGATTGAGAAACATGTTCATCGGGGGCGTTGGCCGCTCCGTGGCACATATCTACTCCCAATGCTTTGTCATTTTGTACAACTTGGTCCAGGATTTACTGATTTACGTCTTTGCTACCAATGCTCCTCCTCCGTCCAGCCCTGGTAAACGGCTACGCCGTCCTCGGGTCGCCATTGTCGGCTCCGGGCTGACTGGCGTCTCAGCAGCGGCGCATTGTGTTGGCCATGGGTTTGACGTAAAGATATTTGAAGCCCGACCTAAGGAGAAGGGGCTAGGAGGTATATGGAGTGTATGTCCTCATTTATTCCCTCGTATGTGTATGTTTTATATATTGACAAGACGAATAGAGAGTGAACTCTACATCTTCACTGCAGATCCATAGTATCATGTTCAGGTTTCACCCATCGATCAAGTGGAAAAATGCCTACCCAAAACAGCAGCAGATTAAGGATCAAATCGTCAAAATATGGGAAGCTTACCATCTTGATGATAAGACCATCTTCGACACACCCGTTAAATCGGTCCGGAAGGACAGTAAAGGAAAATGGATCATCAACGAAGACAAACACGCCCATGGCACCTTTGACGGCGTTGTTGCGGCTGTAGGGAGCTGCGGTGACCCGAAGCTACCAACACTTCCGCATCTGGACCAATTTGGCGGACAAGTATACCATTCTTCTGAGTTGGATGGAATAAATGCCAAAGGGAAGCGTATTGTTGTTGTTGGAGGAGGAGCCAGCGCGGTCGAAGCCTTGGAGTTTGCTGTCAATGCTGGTGCTGCAAACGTGGACGTCCTCTCACGATCAGATAAATGGATTATACCGCGGAATGCCATCGTGGATATCATCCTGGCCTGCAACATCTTCGGGCAGGAGACCATCCTCTCCTTCATCCCAGAGACCCTTTTGCGCAAGCTCTTCTATCGTGACCTAGAGGACATCGCCCCGTCTAGCAAGGGATTGTTCACCGATACGCCAATGGTGAACTCGGATCTGTTCGAACTGATACGAGCAGGCAAGGCCCGCTGGCTACGTGGGGATATTCTCTCTGTTGCCGAAGACGGCATTTCCTTCAACCACCGAGCCAAAGGGGTCCCAAGGTCTGGACCGGGCCGCGAAATATTTATCAGTGCAGACATTATCGTTATGGCGACAGGATTTATTCGGCCATCCCTTTCTTTTCTTCCTTCGGAGGCTTTCGAACCACCCTACGACCCGCCAAACTGGTATCTTCAGGTTTTCCCCCCAGCATACCCAAGTATTTGCACAAATAACAGCACCTTTGTTAACGCCATAGCTACCGCAGGAAATTACCATATTGGAATATACACTCGCCTTTTGCTCATGTTTCTGATCGATCCGCTGAGTCGCCCGCAGGAGTACTGGATGAAAAGGTGGATTGACATGACGAGGGTTATGAAGAGGTTCGCCCCAACCGGAGCGTTTGACTTTTTTACTTACGCCGAATTGCTGTACTGGTTCTTATTTGTGGTGCTTTTTAACCCCTTTCGTTGGAAGTGGGCTGCCTTCGTGTTCTTTGGGCTGGGACAAGCGCTTCCTATGGCTGTTGTGGGTAAGGAAGACGATGCCAGGGAGCTTCTCGGGGGCGATTCGCAACTCCTCACTGGCAACAGCTAGCTTGTGTTATGTATAGTTATCTATTACATATTTTCAACTAGCACTGGTAAGTACGCACGCACAACTAGGCCATGAAACCCCTTTTTGACAGAATTAAAATGGGGACGAGGCTGAATAATAATTGCGCCTATGACGCTGCTATCTTTACAAGTATTATCAGCTTCTCTTCCATTACACATCCGCCTATATGAGCGCCAACTATACCCTACCTTAGGACTAAGCCGCTATGGCACTTGAAAGATATAGAAGATTGGTCGTGAACGGGAGGATACATGTAAGAGGTGTAAAAATTAATAAGGGCACAAGTCAGCTCTTCATTATAGGCCTGGGCTATGACATCGATGTATAAAAACGGCGATGTTATATCGTGAGCAACAACAGTCCGGCCGCCTATTATTCGAAATTAACGGGTGTTGGGTTCAGAATCTTACAAAGTGAATGTACCTCCCTTGATACCGCATGATCTAGCATCGTGAGAATTTATGGTCATTATGTTATCATTGAAGGGCATAAGACTTATTTCTATCGTTGCCCTATCAGGAGCTTTTGCTTTACAGAGCTGGAAGGGAAAGAATGGTGGACTACATACACATTTTCAATATGTTTACGAGGAATGGATGCCAACGCACCTTAAGAGAATCCACTCTGTTACGGATAAGCTCCCTTCGGGGTTAAATTTCAGTTTCCAGCTAGTTACCTCTTCTGCAGATGACGGCAGTACATTAGAGGCATCCCTACCTAGAAAACACAGCAACGGCAGGCCAAAAGAACAAGAAAAAGTAGATAATGTATAATAGGGTCATGTTACCCTAAAGCCCACCCTTAAGTGACTCCCCTTTTGGGGTATTCTTGGCTTGTTTAATGAAGTGTGCCTTTCTCCTCTACCCATGCAATAGGCCAAAAAATAAATGAAGCAATTACGCAGAAAACAGTGGCAAAGAAATGCCAGAACAATACCAAGGTCGACCCAATCCCGTACGGAACGATAAATTTGATATACTCATTGGTCTGGTAGAGATCGTTTTGTGAAGCAATGTAATACAGGGGCTTTGACGACTTGGCTGGCTGGACTGCCGCGACAGTGAGCTCATCGTCCTGGGTAGATGAAGATGAAACTGATTCTGGCGGGGATGCTAGCAGGTCTGTATTCGAGTTTGTAAGTTCAACAACCGGGACCTTGCGGCGTTGCTGGACTGGGCTATTTTGCTCCTCTATCTCAACTAGTTGAAGGACTGTGGTAAGAGTGACGGGCGCCGTGTAAAACGGGATAATGAATATACGGAAGATTTGGGAGATGGTGACATATAACAACAGGTTCTCATAGTCAAACGCTATTATGACAGTCAGTTTGCTGTTTACTATGTAAAAGCTGTGGATGCTTTGTATGCATGGAGGTGCTACAGACCAACTGATTTGACTTGTAGATCAACATGTGGCGACATAATCTTGTAAAAAAGAAATATGCGAACAATCAGCCAGCGGCTGCCTTGGAATGATCCCGAATGTAAAAAAGGATGCGTAATTGAGGCCGAAGTTGTAAAGTATTTCTCAATTGTCTGTCGTTGCACCGAAGGAACAGACTGGGTGAGGAGATGGATAATCCGCGGAATCTCAGCAACTATCGGAATCCTCGTCAGAAGGAAAATGATACCGAAAGCGGGAGCGAGGGCTTACCTGGGTTTTCCATCTTGTATGAGAGGGTAATTGATTGTCTGCACCTCCTCTCCGGTCTCATTCTACATGCTATATTTCTTTCAGCTCTTCCATCCAAGTTTTTGTTGATGTTTAGCTATGACGTTAGGTATAGTTATTGACCACCTCCGCTTAGTCATCATGTATGTGTTGTTGGTTATCAAAACAAGTTATGCTAGAACCATAAAAGGCGACCTCGGGAGTCAGTACTATGTATTTATATGTTTGAACGAGTTGGCCGATTCGATTCGATATGCGGTATGGTACAGAAGAGGGTTATCGTTTCCAGCTTGCAATCGTTTTCTGTCGCTTCTCAAATCTCTCGCCAACGTTAAAGCCATCGCCTCGAGGGCCATCCTCAGTCGCCCTCTTTCGACTCCTCTGTAGTGCACCGCCTCCGCCCTTTTTCCTCTCTGTGAGTCGATGGATTCGATCAACACCTTCGCCAAGTCCCTGCCATTCTTCTCCACCATATCCTCCTCCACGGCGGTTGCCTCCCCTCCTCGCTCGATCTTTCTTGCTCTCCTTGGGCAGTCGAAGCAGGTTTGTTTCTTCGTACGCCCGGCGCTCTTCCTCCCTTGCCCTATCCTGTTGGGTGCTGACATGTCTTCCACCTGCTCTGATGGTGCTGCCAATGCTAGGCTCGGCCATCGGGGTGGTGGACATTTCCGCATTAACAAACTCGTCAATTGCTCTTGATTTCTTCGAGCGTTGGGCCTCGCGCTCAGCTCGTCGGCTTGGCTTGTGTTCTAATAGAGCTGTGGGTTTTATTTTCGGTGGTCTGTAAATCCCGTCACCAGCGCTGTCTTTCTTCTGCGCAGCAGCTTTTTGCTGCTCTTGGGCTTCCACGGCACGCGAAAATGCAGCCACATTCGGTCGATACGTCAGCTCATCAAGTTCTTCTTCATCGTCATCCTCCTCCCCGCTTTCTGTCGCTGTACCCTGTTCAGAATCGGTGCTCTCTAAACCGCCTTGGCTCTTTTTAGTGGACTTTCGGTCATCGTGCTTTTGGCTGGTTTGCGCCTTGGTCCTTTCAAGGTCGTTCGCTGCTTTTAAAACCTTATCAATTTGGTATTTTAACCGCCCTTCTATCGGCCTGACACCACGTTCAAGGTAAACTCGAAGCTCGGCCAACTTCTTCACCACGTCCTCTTGGTGTTGATCTGTCCTCTGCTGCAGCCCATCCGTCGCCGACGGAGAGCTAGATTTAGACGAGGATAGCCGCCGAACTTGCAGTAGAACAAAGTACACGAGGTTTTGTAGGTAGGATAGAAGAATTTCACTCTTTGTATCCAGCAGGGATATGCCATCGGATGGAGGTAGGATTGATACGCCAGTTCCGTCTGAGGCCACTGAAGCTGGGAGAGAGGATGTTGCACTCGATAGAGACTCATGCAGCGACTCTAGCATGCTCATTATACGCAGTCTAGATGTTCCTTTTTCATCAACGGCCGCCATTGCTGTTCAGTCTAATATGCGAATAATTATTGTACTTGAGATGCTTCACTGTTTTTTTCGATTTTTTTTGTTTAGCTTTAAGTATGATTATGTCACCATCTCCCTCCTAGTCTAGAGTTACCGTTGGACATTAGGCCATTCTGCCTCTCGTGGATCAAGATATAACAATGTTCTACTAATTGCCATCGTTGAAGATCCATGAGCCGAATTTACATCCTCACATCCTCAGCATCACATAGATACTCAACAAACTCAAAGCCAGTATTGTTTGATAGTCTATGTCAGGGCAGTGCTCCGCCTGCCGCCATCATACTACTCCACTGCCATCTCTTGCGAGTTGATCAAGAGAAAATAGTAAGAAACTAACACTTGGGTTAGAGTGTGAAGCAACTATACATGTATATAGATGCTAATGAATATCGCATTGGCTGCATATTTACCCAGATATACATATACGGAAGCTTAAGAAAGCGGATAAGATTCAAAAAGCAGTCTCAACTAATGTCAGAGTAAGTTATATTTAACACCAAGCAATTGGGTGATCTAACCACTTACGATTTAAGTTTGAATTGATAAGTTGATGAATATTATCATTATACAAGTCATGATTAAACCTATCCAGTGCCAATTGGTATAATTCGTTTCCCCTTGCCCTACGCCATACATCACAAAACTAGTAAAAAAAGAGCAGAATAGAAGGAACGAGAGACTGTTGACATCATAGGCCATCTCCAAGCATGAAGGTACCTTCTCTGGGACAAGGAAATAAGTTGAGAGCAGAAATTAAAAAGGTGCTTTGTTCAGCTTAGGCAGTTTCTTTATCCGGATGGCCAGTAGGAAGGACATCGGCTATGGTCTCGTCGGAATACTTGAGGTCCTCTTCGATGTCGACGTGATCTTTGATCCTGAGGACCAGTGGGGCGGCGATAACGAGGGAGCCGGCCAGGAGGGCCCAGTTGCTGGCGAAGATCGACATGAAGGCTAGTTTCTTCAGATCTATGGCCCATGAAACGGCGGCACCAGCGGACTGTATGCCCTTATAAAATCCGACGTAGTTGGCTGTCTTACGACCGGAGTTGGAGAGAGCTCCCATATACCTATTGATGTTTTTTAGTATGGCCATGCAAGGGAGAGAAAAAAATATCTACATGACATACCAGTAAGCGGATGCCTGGAAAGCAGCGTCGTAGAAGCCGTAGAACATGAACAGGAACATTGGACCAACGTAGCCGCTGTCATTCCAGTCTTTGCCCTTGTAGCCTGCTTCCGGGTCAACAGACTCGCGCGAGTAGCCCTTGGCAAAGGCATAGCCACCACCCCAGATGGCCATGGTGAGCACGAACATGACGGCAAGGTTGATTCTGGCCCTGAGAGAGCGGCTGACGGAGGTGTTATCAAGACAGACGCCGAAGATACCGGCTCCAATGATCTGGGAGGTCCAGTAGAGCACGGAGTTGAGGGCCTTAGTACGGGTGGTGAAATAGGCGCCGTTGATGGCGTTGAACTGGTAGGCGGTGAACCAGTTGGAGGACCAGAAGAGGGGGAAGAGGAGGACGATGTATGGTTCGCTGCGGATGGTCTCCCAGAGGCCAATAAATTCAGTTTTGAAGGTAGGGTTCTTCATGATGACGACTCGGCTGCCGTCACGGCGGTAGATGTCGCCTGCGTTGCAGAGGAGGAGGGCGAGGACGGCACCGGTGGCCATGAGAACAATGAAAGCAATGTAGGTGCCGTCCGTGACATTAACATTGCCTTTAACATTGATATTCTCTCCAAGGGGGATCTACCACAAATTTTGTCCTTATTAGTCTGGGTTAAAGAGAAAAAATGAGAGGGAGGGAGGGAGAGAGAGGGTGTATGTGATATCGGACATACCAAAGAGCCGATGACGCCCCCGAGGTTGAAGATGGCCCAAAAGACGGCAAAGGACCGGCCCTTGGTGGACTCTCCCGGGTAGGAGAGCATGATGGTGCCCTGTGCAGTCCAGAGGAGGCCGGCGCAGAGACCGAGAAAGGCGCCCGCGAAGACGTTGAAACCGGCTACGTGCTCCGAGTGCACGGAGACGAGCAGCGAGATGGCGTAGAGACAGTATCCAATCCCACCAAAGGCAAGGGTCAGGCGCACACCGAGACGGTTGACGAACGAGCCGCCAAAGAAGCCAAAGACGGCAAAGCAACTGTACAGCGCAATGTTCTACTTCAGTTAGTTCTCTATCTATCTATCTATCTATATATAAGGGCGTATAAGGGTAGTCGTACCATGTTGTCTGCGGTGGTTTTGTCCGTCTTGCCTCCGCCCCCCAGGCTGCTGAGGGCGTTGAACATGCCCGGACACATGAAGCAGACGAAGGAGACGAGGACGAGCTGGAAGCTAGGCGAGGCGTACCAGGAGAGGCTAACGCCAGCGACCTTGAGCTCCTTGTACTTCCATCCCTTGGGCCTGGTGAGGTCGGCGACGGGCTCCCGGTCGTGGTCGTCGCCGTCGCTGACCCTGGTGGCGGGCGCGTTGCCGGGTTTCTCTTCAGCCATTGCGTCTAGCAGCCGGCAGGCAAGCTCTAGATAGTCTCGGTATTATTACAAGAGGGCAGAAGAGGAAGAGGGAGAAGAGATGGAAGAAGACAAGAGATGGTGGAGGATGAAGCCGAAGTTATAATCAGACGAAAAAAAAAAAGCCATCCGCGGATGCTGACAAAGAGCGAGAAGACGAAGATATTCAAATAGTTAATATAAACATAGAATAAAAGCTGGAGAAATCCATTGAGGACAAGAATATATAACAGTCAAAAGGTCGTGCTTCTCTTCGTTATTTCTTACATGAAGAGTTTCTTTTCTTTTTCCTTCTCTTGGTTACATCCTTGGTTGTTGATGTGACCCTTTGGTGCGAATACCACACTGTGAGTTTTTTTCCCTCTCGAGGCACAAGCCGACGATGGACGATGGAAGAGAGACAAAGAGACAGAAATAGACGAGACATGAGGCTTTGGTGGCGTTGAAGCTGAGTGTGGAGTTGATATATCTATATACGTACTATGGAGAGTCAACAAGTAAACTACACGGCATGATCCCTTTCGACCTGTGAGGACAGCATACAATGGACGAGGACGACCGCAGATGGACCATGTCTGTTCTCTTCTCGTCTTTGCTATTATCTGCCCTTGATATAGTACATGGGGTTTATATGGGTCTCACAGGAGTTCACCGAAGAAGAAGAACAGTCGCTTGATACGACGATGGCGACGTGGTAGCATCCCGCATGGCATGTCCTACCCCTTCCCCCCCCCCTTTTTTTCCCTTTTAAACGGCGTGGACTTATTCTCCCTTTGGCCATGCGCTCTCGTGTTGCATCGCGCCGTTGACTTTGTCTTTTTACTTCGGCTTCTTCAGCTTCTTCTTCTCCCGGTGACTTGGTTCATCGAGAGACGGCCTGAGAGCTGGTGGAACACGGGAGACTCGGCGGCCAATTAAGATGTTTTTATACATGCAGTTTCTGTTCGATAGATTCTCGCTTCCTCCGCCAGCCCTCTCACGCGGACACCCCCCCGGAGTTACATGCCAGCCATCGCTCCCCCGTCTACCTGGCAGCAGCAGGGCAGAGTGTAGCGTTTAGTCTTACTATGGCCAAGTAGACGATTTTACTACCATAGCATCGCAGAAGACACCCTCCTGCTTTTTGGGCCCGGACGTCAACTGTCGATGCATGTGTGTCTGCTCCCATGCCCTTTGCGCGATAACATAGGGGAGTTTCGGCCTAAATAAACGTGTGATAACATAAAACAGGCGACAAGTCTAGAACTGTCGGCGGATGTGGGCCCAGCGAATATAATAACATAACGGTTATAACACCCATGTAGCCCCTTGAGACGAGCATTCTTCCATCCTCAACCCAGAGAAATCGAGATTGGGCATCAGGATTTCTTAATACTAGTATGCCCATCGTTGCAGTATCTGTATAAGAAGATGGTTAGATAACCAGCTCGTTCGAAGCCAGCCAACGCTTTTACATGACTCGGTGGGAAATACCCCAGTCCACGCCAAGTAGTTATTCTGGCACCAGCCAAAAGTTATCCACACTTCTCCAATTCCCTTCGCTCTTGGTAACTTCAGTAACTTGCTTTAGTCACCCTCTGTCAGTCGCGCTTGGAATGCTCTCCCTCTCCCGCTGCGGGGTGGGCATCAAACCTTCATCTTGTTGACATGCAGGGAGGTGTCTCTGGTACTAACACAGACTCTATAGTATATAACCCTCCAGGAACGAAACTGTAGCCATAATGAGGGTGGTGGCGTGGAGAGATACAGATACACACACCAGACCGACCTGTAGACAGACCTAGTCCTCTTTGGAAACAGGTGTGCGGCCCTATTTTTACCATCAAATAAAATAGATAATAATTTCGTTCACTAACTTTTAGGTATTCCGAAATGTCGGCTCTGCAGATATACACCGTTTCCTGTTTACCAGCAGGGAGAGGATGGGTAGTTTTGACTTTAGGTAGTTCTACTAGGCCCATTTTCTCTTGAATCTTCTTGGGGGTATCAAGCGCTCCTCCGAGGACTATTGGTATAAACCAAGGCTCCTTTGGCTCATTTCTTCCTTTTAACGCTGTCCGGCTATATGGGCTTAGCTTTTCTGCTTTCAGTCACGTTGTTTCTCTCCTCCACTCCAGGCTTCCTTCAGGGTACTTGTCCATGGTGCTGTGTTTGTCAAATCCGAACCAAAACCTGTAGCTTGGTAGATGGTATTCTTCGTAGTAGTTTTTGGTCGCTGGAGAAATAACGGCGTGGAAGAGTGTGGTTTGCGCTCTAGCAAGTTTATCTAAGCTGGGCGCGGACAAGTCATGTGAAATCTCTAAGAAGGCATTTTAATCACGTTATATAGCTCAGTATAAAATTGATCATAAGTCACTGTGGAAATAACCTTAAGACACCGACTCTTTTCGTTTGTACATCCGCGGTTATCTGTTCAGCTATGTACATGGTAGACACGTAGATGAAACTCTTTTCTTTCAATGTCAACTTTTATTTTATTTGCGTGTTTATATGTACCAAGTTTCGTATATAAGGCTAAATGTATAGAAACCGGCGTTCTCCTTTGGGGTTTTCAAAGAGTCACTCTTAGTCCTTCACTTATCTGTCAACGAAACTGATAGGCCATCTCCAGTTTCCTAGTTCGTACCTTGAGTGCTCCTACATCCTCTCCCTTCTTCATCCTTTCCATCACCGCCCACGTTAATGCTCTCCCTATCACGAAGTAATTCGAAATTGAAATGGAGCTCTTGGTAAAACCGAGAAACCACTTATTACCAATGCTCACTGACTTTGGCTACAAGCCAAGCAATATAAAAGAGGGTTGACAGGACCGCATGGAGTCCTTGTGTATGAACTTGATGGACAAAGCTTTCCGATAGTAATAGCTTTCCATGGAAGTGAATACGTTAAAAAGTTGGCTAGTAGCGGCTGATCCATCAATATAGATGGCGAGGTTTGCACATGTTCTTGATCTTTTTATGCCTCCGTGGCCGGCCTCATTAACACGGAATAGATGGCGTTGAAGTCATAACAAAGATCCTCTATGCCAGCCCCCTCAGCTCGGGAGTAGCCATGAGACGGAGCTGTGGATTGCCATGACTCTAGCCCTATTCCGGGCGGGTATATATCTGAATTTCGTATATCCCCCAGGAAATCCTACTGTTCAGGATTTAAAAACAGCGCTGACGAAGAGTATCCCAGTGGCTCTCTTTCGATCAGACGGGCCAGCATAGAATCTCGATTTCAAGCTTAACGGAGGAAGATCGACGGCATCTGACTGTACTCAAGGGCTATAAGCCGAGTAGCTTTGAGAATCTCGGACGACAAGATTGTTTCTGGGCCTCAGAATGACGCCCTGAGGAGATAAAGACGTGGCAGGCTCACGTGGTAAACGATTACATGATACGTTTCAGCGAGCGTCACGTGTTTATTCTTCTCAAGGCTTGGTTCGATGGAGAAGCTACTAATCGAGGCAAGGGCCATAGACTGTGAGTTGATGGGACATATATTATTAACGCATTGCTGACTCTTGTATCTAGGCGACATCAATCGTGTTTTTATAGATAGCGACTGCGAAAACGAGCTAGCCGATGAAGGTAACGTCGTTTAAGACTAGCAAATCTATAGCTACCAAGGAAGAGTGAGTAGGGAAGCTGCTCATAAAAAATACGACCGTCCCCCACGGGACAAAATACTATCGATTACTCGAAAATATATGTCGGAATCTGCCAATCGGCGGCGGAGAGACTGACTATATCCGACAATTTATTATCAACAGCATCGTCGCCTTAGCGCCAGGCACCAATGAAGCTCTCAAGGATATCACCAGGCAAAGAGCTCAGCGGTATCTGCGGCAATAGCGGATGATAATAACGCCGTTGAGGCCTCAGTGGCAACGGTAGGCTTTTAAACGACTCCTGTGGCCTGGGAAAGACCATCGAGGCCTCTCTGCCCGACAACGAACTATACGGACCACCGACCCACCATCATCGCTGCCGACAGCGCCTGCCTCGAACGTGTGGACCAGCAGATAAGCAATAAAATAATGAAATGCAAAGTATTTGAGCTATCGCACTTCCCGCATTTCTATTTATCCGGTTGGTCAAGCTGATCAACCAATAAAAGTTATTCTTTATGTACGGAATACCTTCTGGGGGGAAGAAGGTCGATAGCCGTTTCGTATATCGTTGGGGGTGTGTATATATAGTATGTGACGGATAATATTATAGGTGGAGAGCTGGACGGGGTGGCGGCCCCCCAACCAGCGCTGACCGACACAATGCAGTCATAGGAATTAACTACGTTATAGTATGGAGGAGTATTATACATATGTAGCTATGTCTGTCGAAGAGCTTGACAGCTGCGGCCGATAGAGTTAGAGAGGGATATATATGTATACGAGTTGCATGCGGGTTGAGGGAGAGCTCCGACTTCTGCGAAGAGCTAAGACGGGCCAAGTGGCACCCTTTTTCCTTTTTTTCTTTGTTTTTTTTTTTATTTTAATTCCAACAGGACAAAAAGTGACATAACACCGCTTTGTCCGTCCCGGTTACCAGGGTGATGACATGTGTATCTCTCTGCGCTGTCTCTCTCTCTCTGTCTTGTGTATACGGGGAAGACGGGGTCAACTCATGGAATGAGAGCAACGAGCGTTTCAGGTAAATCAAGTAATAAGAGAGGGAAAAGAAAAGAAGTGGCTGGTGAGGGTCTTCGATGACTTCATCAGCAAAACAGCCACAAAGGGGCCCTGTCCATGCCCATGTCAAGCTATCAAGCTAAGCTATGCCAGAAAGCTAGCCTGGGCGAGAGCGAAAAGAGGACCCCCCCAAAAATAAGAGCCATATCGTCACCCAACGCCACCGACCCACCGCCCTCTTCTCTTCTTCCTCTCTTCTCTTTCGTCTCTTCTCCCATCTCTTCGTCCCTTCTACTTATATTCTACTATATGTACACTGCGTGTGTGGGTGTATATACAGAGCGTTGTCGAGGCCGCCTTACCTAAGACTGGAACAACTATCCGCCGAGATCGACTAGCTTCCCGAAGCGGCTAGCGTCATCCGAGAGATCTTGATTTGATGTCGATCTTTAACCCAAACAAGGGGAAAGAAAAAAGCAAAGAGGGGACAAGTACCCCGCGCTAAAAAGGTACTTTTGGCCACCGCAAAAGTGGGAGGACGAAGAAGTAGCGATACTTTATACGAGTAGAAGTGGTAGAAGTTGAGAAGCAGTAGAAGTGGTGGTAGAAGTTGAAGTGGCAGTTGTACGACTATTGCTATGTGTAAGAGCAGAGGCAGGACGGGTAGGACGGTTGGCGACACGACCGGCAGGTTCTCTCGTTGGCCTCGAGATGAGCTGGCTCTGCTTCTTTGCTTTTTCTTGCTCTGGTGGAGCTTCATCTTATTACTTCTGTATGTAGATGGGAAGAGAGGAAGAAAAGCTTGTAAGCTTCGTCTTCCTTGCTTTTCCTTCTCTTTCCCCCCCCCTTTTTGCATCTCCCCTAAACCATGTCAGAGTGACGGATGTGAGCAGACTTACACATACTAGTTATTAGCACTCCGTACGCATACAGTTATTAGTACGATGGAGAAACCGTGAACTGTTTGTGCATGCTATGACTTCACCCTCGTTTTTCTTTTCTTTTTGCCCCGTTTTTCTTCTTCTCTTTTATTACTTTTTTTTTTTTTGCCTCCCCGAGCTCTTTTCTTCTTTTTACTCTCTAGTTTTGGGTCAACTCCTTTTGGCTGTTCGTCCCTTTTTCCCGCCCTTTTTTTTCCCCCTTGCTATATATCTACGTCTGGCTCTCCCTTCTCTTTCACCCTTCTTCTTCTTCTTCTTCTTCAGCCCAGGAAAACAAGTTCAATTGATATACCCAGTTCTTCTTCCACAGCTTGTTTTTCAAGTCTCTCCCGTCTACTCAAGATGAAGGCCACCTACGTCGTCTCCCTCTCCCTCGGCGCCTCCATGGGCCTCGCCCAGGGCACCGGAGGGCTCCCAGAGTGCTCTGTAAGACATCTCCCTGTATGCATGCATGCATTAATATGCTGATGAAGATAGGCTGCCTGTATCAGCAGCATGTTGGGCAAGGCCGTCGAGCTTGGCTGCCCTCCTACCAACTACGGCGACTGTCTCTGCACCAAGGAAGACTTCACTCACGGCCTGCGAGACTGCACCACGGAGGCCTGCCCGGGTGAGGACGTCAACAGGGTCGTCATGCTCGGTCAGCAGGCCTGCAGGGCCCAGGGAGGTGGAAACAGTAAGTTTGCTCATATATATAAACTGATGTATAGACCGATGGCTGACCGGTGTAGCTTCTGGTACTGCTACCGGTACTGGCACCACCTCTGGTTCTGCCTCTACCGGCACGGCTGCTCCTTCATCCACCACCGGCGGCTCTGCTCCCACTTCCGTATGTCTCCCTCTCTCTTTTAATATATATATATTTTTGTGTAATGGTGTATACTGACATACCAGGCTCAGTCGTCTACCCACGGCACCGCTACCGGCAGCGAGACCGTCACCACCAGCCACCCTGCAACCACCCTCTCCACCATGGTCTCCAGCTCCGAGTCTGGCTCTCATTCTGGCTCTCAGTCTGGCACTCAGTCTGGTACCGGGTCTGGCACCGAGTCTGGCACTGCTACCGAGACCGGGGCTCCCTCCACCACTTCAGAGGGCGGTTCTGGTCAGACCGGGTCCCCATCCCCCACCAATGGCGGTGCCGGTGGTGAGACCACTGGCAACGCTCCATCCACAACTCACTCTGCCGGTCTCGCTCCGGCCAAGGCTACTGGTCTCGGTGTTGCCGGTGCCCTCGGCCTCGTCGCCCTTCTCGCCTTGTAATCGTGATGTATCCTCCTTTTTAACTCCCCATTCTTCACGACGGGCACACCTGGCGGCGATAATGCTTCTCCCCCTTTTTTTTTCTTGCTATCTAGTTAACGAGTCACTGAATTGATGGGAAGGCACGGAGAGGGGAAACTGGCGATTTAATGCTGTATCATCGCATGTATGTAATAACGCTGCAAAGCTCATGATAATAATAATAATGCCAACGGTTTCAGATTTGAATTAAAAAAAAATCCCTTGACTATTTGATAAAGATGTTGGACGTACTGTAAACATGACCATTGTTGAGTCAATTGTTCCTTTTTCTCCTTGCATCTAATCCTCTCCCAGGCTCGCTCGGACACACTGCCTGACACGCTTCTTGAACTCCTTTGGATCATCCCGCCATAGCCTAGCTGCCTCCACGTTAGCCGGTGACTCGTCGTTTGGGCTCGACAGCATGCTGATCACGCTCAGCAGTATCGTCTCCGGCGTCTGGACGGGAGACCAGCGCTCCGCCGCCGACTCGTACCCATACTTGTCTTCCTCGGGCGGATGGAGGATCGATATGCAGACTTCACCGTTGGGATATACTGTTTCCACCCCCCGCCGCGCTCTAGTCAATAAACAGAGCAGAGTAGTCAAGAAATATACATAGCAGAGCTAAAGCTTACTGTTAGGGTGGAACATGGGAGTCTCGAATTCATCTTGTGGTAGATGCGGGTATTCTGGTGGAAACGAGAGCTTTGCGCGGAAGAACCCTCCTACTCAGTTACATCGACCCCAGCATATATCTATAATCAGCTTCCTTGTCTTTCTTCTTCTTTAAGCCCAGGGGGAGCAGAGAAACAGCATTGTGCGTACCGCCGTAGAACTTGCAGTCGTCCGATATCATGAGCATAACCTCCCACTCAAACACGTTATTATCGTCTGCCAGGCCGCAGCTGATCCCCGGAATGTCCTTGTCGGTCTGCATCTGCTTGAGCTGGCGGCTCAGCAAGCCTCCTGCCGCCGAAGCCGCCATGCCTCAGGGTTTTCTCCTTGCTTCAAGGTATCCCGTCTAGTCTTTCTAGCCTGTGTTCCAGTCCGTGCTATGCTCCGTCGTGCTTCAACTGCCAGGTGTAGGTCTCTCTCTGTCTCTCTCTCTCTCTGCTGCTTTGGCTGCAAATGCTCAAAGGTTGCGAGACTTTTTTCTGTGGCGCTTGTGGCGGGGAGAACCAACTCGTTTCGTCCAGGCAAGGGGGGGGGACCACTAGTTAGCTGTCCATCTTTGGCCTGAAGACCGGAGCTGCTCGTATATTATATATTATATCTCATTTGGCCGTGTCGAGAATAAGATATTATGCAGTGAATTCATGTCAAGAGGAAGAAGAGGGACAAGAACAAACTTAGGCGGGGTTCGAAAGTCATTCGCTACATCCAGCTTCTCTTGTGGTTTGTGGGGAACAGAAAGCGGGTTTTTTTTTTTTTTTTTTTTTTTTTTTTGGTGCTTGTGTGGGAAAGAAGGCCACCCAGAAGAGGTATACTACAATGTATACTGAGCTTACACTACAAAAGAAGGCAAGGGGCGTGCGTATAGAGGATGTACTCATACTATATTCATCGATTCATCGATATACATATATGTGCTAGAAGCTATTCTCACAGGATTAACAAGGAACAGAGTGTGATGCAGAAGCCTGCGGCTGCGGATATCGGCTGATGGTAAATAGTTGACTTGATTATGGCCGATAGTTAATCGGTATATCATGCTGCGATCCCCAGAGAGGTGAGAATGCTCCTCGGAGTGCCGGCTGCAAAGAGAACAACCCCGAGACCGCCAACTATGCCAAAGACAAAGGAGGTGGCTGCGAGCATGCCGGCAACCTTGACTATGGCCACTACCACACGGCGGTAAGAGGCCCAGCTGAGGGTCCTCCAGGCATCGAGGACTCCAATCGCCCCTGAACCGTCGACCTCAGTGGGACTGACCTTCCCGTTGAAGGTTCGGTCGAAGGGGACGATAGTCTCATCGTCTGCAGGAAGCAGAGAGGCCGCAACACGTACCATGATCACGGCAGCAGGAACATCGAGGAAGAGGCCAAGGATCAGAGACAAGACTACGGCGCCAGCAGCGTACAAGTGATAGACGGGACTGGCTTCGGCAAGGACATAGATCCCATTCTCATTAAGGCGGAATCCTCCGAGCATGAATCCAATGGCGACTGGGATGTGAAAGCTGAGCTGCGAGGCCAAGGTGGACAGGGCCACGGCTGGTGCAATTTTGATCCAGTTCTTGCGGACAGAAGGGAAGCGTTGATACCAGGACTTGGAGCTAGGTGCAGAGATAACTGCGTGGACCCAGGCGAGGACCATGGTGGAAACGGCAATGTCCGCAACGAACGGTGCAAAGCCTCCAAGAAAGCGCAGCGAGTTCGTCAGGAAGCCACGGGCAAAGGACAAGGCCAGAAAGTGAGAAAATCCGCGGAATCGAGACCCACGACCAGCGCGGGCACGAAGATGCTTGATGGTCGAACGGAACCCGCTCGTGATGGGTTTATAAGTCGCGGGGAGCCCTTCGGCTTCGGGTAGGCCAAGGGGTTGTTTCTTATCGATAACTGCCTTGTGGCCGTCATCCACAGCGTCAGAGTAACTGGGGAGAGAAACAACGGGCTCTGGGTTGGGGTCTTCGATGATCGTCAGAGTGGTCACGACCATGCCGTAGGTATACTCGATCTAGAAGATGAAAGTTGTTAGGAACAAGGGCGGAAAATACGCAATCAGAGCCAGCAGTGCAGATGCCTACCGCGATAATGCACCCAACGAAGAGTACGATAACAATGATAAATGCTGCAAAGGACAGAGTGAAGACCACACGGTCTACATCTTCTTGATTTCCTAGTTTCCGGGGAGCAACATCCAGTCCTCGACGGACGATGGCCCCGAGGAAGCGCGTGGAAGCCGACATATCAGGCAGGCTTGGATAGGCTGGGATGCTGGTCGGTAGATATTAAAAATCAAACAAAATATCGGCTGTTAGTAAACGAGAGGAGGCAAAAATATGAACAGAGAGAGGATAAAGAGCGAACGTGTATAATATTTAAATGCCCTACCTAACAAGAGAAGTGAGAAGATGTTCTTTTTTGGGGTTTTGTAGGCAGCAGCGTATCACGTGATGGTTGCTCAGCCTCGACGGCGGTTATAAATACCACCGGCATGGAGTACATACTCCGCCCCAAGTAAGCCATTAAGCATGCATGGATGCATGTCAGCTCAAGGGCAAGAGTACTTTCGTGTTAGACGAACTAGCCAATAATGAGGTGATGAAAAATAAAAAAAATCTAAGGGGTTATATTATGGGTATAGGATGTTTAACTGCCGCAAGAAGAAAGGCTCCCAAAACTCCATCACAATGGCCCTTCACTTCACCCAAGCCCAAACCCATGCAAAGAAAGTTCTCCAATTTCTCCGGGTTGGCCCATGGTCAGGAAATATCAGTCTCCCCTTCCTATGGGTTCCACTTGTTGTTTGTACGCAGTTGCGTAGGTCGTTGGAGCACTCTGCACCCCAGTATGACAGCCGAAGGCCATGCCTACGTATCTTGTAGCCAACAAGTAGCAGGACGAAGACCGGCAGCTATTTGGGACATACCCCTGCTCATTAGTGTGCATTCTGTAAGATAGGTATATATATATAAAGGAGGGGGGGGGGGGGGGGGGAGCAGTTGGGCGCCTATACTTACGCTGATGTATGAAACAATGAATGCCCGGACATCAAACGGATCCTTGAGGAACGGAGGAATCCCATTGAAAACAAGGAGTATAAAACATGCCACCATGCCAAAACTAGCCTTCAACCACTGCCCGTGCGATTTATAGGGATAACGTGGATTTTGACGATCGTAAACGCCATTTTGTGACTCGGCGGTATTGCCAAGTTTATTCTCCTCCTGCAGCCTGCAACCATGATGTTCTACGTCAGCTATGAATGTGGAAAAAGACGGTCTCCTGCATGGTAATACACACGTCAGATAAAAGCGAAGGTATGTTGCACATATAATCCCGTATACAATGAGAAATGATACTGTGCAGTTAGACGAAAGCTCACGTAGCCGCTAAAGGTCGTCGTTAGTCAGGCCACCATCTCGCGCCGTCAGAAGGGTGCGGTCAGGATATATATCTGCTCACGTACATCTCCTGGCCCTGTTCCTGGCCCCAGATACCCCAAGGCCAGTATGGCCACCGTCACAAGTACAGCTCTCGTCGGTACCCCGGCATGGCATTGTTGTAGCCTCTTGGTTATGAACTCGGGCCCTGTTTGGTCCCTTAGAGCCAACGTATGCATCACTCGCGACGCAACGTATACAGAGTTTACCGCGCAGGTGAACGAGGAGAACAGATACATCCCATTGAAAAACTCTCCTGCAATTGGAAGACCGGCTTCGACAACCGCAATCACGAATGGTGACTCCGTGGCTAATGAAACCGCTTGTCCATTGAGGAATGGATGATTATAAGGTACAAGAAAGGAGCATGTTAGCATTGCCAGAACGTACAGTATGATAATCCGGAGTGTTATCTTTCGAGCAGCCATTTTCATACACTCTGAATCTGCGAGAGATCTACTCTCAGCTGCCGTTGCTGCGAATATATCCACCGCTACATAAGAGTATATGACGTTGACGCACGCATTCCTAGAAAGGACGAATAAGACGCCCGGTCAGCAAGGCAGAAAAGGAAAAGGAAACCCTGGTGCCTGATGCTGTGCTGGACGTACCAAACTCCAAGAAATCTTCCTAAACCCCCGTCTATGACTCGTGTGGAGCCGTCTTTGTTCTTGATATGATATTCCGGGTTGAAGAACGAGTATGGGGAGTCCCAATCTTCCGCCACCATCAGCCTCGGTACACACACCATAAGCATG